CGCCTGCTCAGAAAGCCGAAGTAGTAGGGACGAGCGAGGTTCGAGCGCGACTTCTTTTCCGTTGACGCGCGACGATGTGGTTGTCCGACTCCCCAGGCGGACGGGGGTGAGTCGACGGCGGCGCAGGGAGGGGGCCGATGGGGCCTTGGTGCTGCGGCGCGTCTTCTGCGGGAGTGTGCGTGTCAGTCGACGGACAGGAAAGACGAGGGGGAGGGCTGCACGCACGCTGGGGGGACCGTCGGTGTGGCACCTCGTGGTCGTCGTCGTCGTCCTAGCTCCACGCCGCATTATGCGCGCCCTTATCCCTCGCCCGACTGCTCGCCCGTCCGACATGCGCGTCCACCTCGCTGTAGCTCCCACCACCCGCTCCCCCGGGGGAATCTGCGAGGGCGAGGCGGTGAGCAGGGGTGGGTGCGGCGAGACTGGAATGAGAGTTACGACTCACTTTGGCAGGCTCAGCCGGCTCGAGTGGTCGTTGAGGAAGAGGACGAGGAGGTCCACTTCGCCATCAGCTCGTCGACCACGCGGACTTCCGCACCTCTGCTCTCACCAGCTCAGCAGCCTTGCTCGTGCGCCCACTAGCTCGGTCGAGTGTGCACCACCTGGACCCTCTTTGCCCCGACCTCTCGCTGCCTCTCGCTCGACCTCCCCACCTCTCGCCCCGCCAGCCTCTCGCGCACTCGCTCTCCGCCTCGCGACTCCCACCAGACCCCGCGAGCGACCATGCACGACGCTGCACAGCACTCGCTCGCCATCCTCGACGACTATGAAGGCGCTGCTCGACAATACGCCGACTGGTCCTCCCTCGCCTCCCTCCCGACCACCGTCTTCCGCCGCGCCATTCCCCGACCCGACCTCGCCGAAACCCTCAAACCCTTCACCATCCTCCACTGCATGCGCGAGCGCACAAAGATCGACCGCCCGCTCCTCGAGCAGCTCCCCAACCTGCGCCTCATCGCCACGACCGGCATGCGCAACCGCGGCATCGACCTCGACGCCGCCCGCGACCTCGGCATCGTCGTGTGCGGCACCGAGCACGCCACTCACGGCGGCGGCTCGAGCGGCGCCGTCGAGCAGACCTGGGCCTTGATCCTCGCCCTCGCGCGCCGCGTCGTCGACGAGCACGCGAGCATGCGCGCCGGCGCGTGGATCTCGGGCACCGCTACCGGGCTCGCGGGCAAGACGCTCGGGCTCGTCGGCGCGGGCAGGCTCGGCAAGGAGGTGGCGCGCGTCGCGACGGCGTTCGGCATGCGCGTCCGGGCGTGGAGCCCGCACTTGACGCCCGAGCGCGCACGAGGCGCCGGCGTCGAGTTTGTCGCGTCCCTCGACGAGCTCCTTGAGACATCGGACGTCGTGTCGCTCCATCTCATCCTGGCGTCGACGACCCGAGGGCTCCTCGGCGCGAGGGAGCTCGCGCTCCTCAAGCCGACGGCTTTCCTCGTCAACACGTCGCGAGGCCCGCTCATCGACGAGGCGGCTCTCGTCGACGCTCTGCAGTCGGGCAGGCTGCGTGGTGCCGGCCTCGACGTGTACGACGTCGAGCCGCTGCCCGAGGAGCACCCGTTGCGCACCCTTGCGAACGTCGTCCTCTCGCCTCACATGGGTGCGTCCCTCGCTCTCTTTTCCTGTTCTCCCCGTCCGTCGCAGACTTTCACTGACACTCTCGACGTGCAGGTTACGTCGACGACTCGACTTGGGCCGCGTGGTGGCCTCAGTCGGTCGAGAACATCGAGCGGTTCCTCGCCGGGTCGCCCGTCCGACTTCTTGAGTAGCTTGTCTAGATGAGGGCCACCCGCAGTGCAACGTAGACACGCAGTTGAGCTCATCGTGCGGCTGCGAGCGCTCTGCCGTCGAGTTATTGTTATCGGCCGGCTCGACCGCGAATCGTCCGCTCGACCTCAGAAGCCGCGTCGCGCTCGCCTCTCGGCTCCTGCACCGCTCGACCCGACCTGCACAGAGCCACACGATGCTCTCGCGACCACTGCAGCGCCCCACGACGCGCCTCGCCCGCTCGCGCACCTTCTCCTCGTCGTCCGTCGCGCGATGGTCCGCGCCGCTCCCTCGCTCGCCGGCCTCCCGTTCGACATCGCCCCGAGGTCGCACAAGCCCGCGCAGAAGGCCGCGCCATCGTCGCCCTCGAGTCGACCCTCGTCACGCACGGTACGCCCTCCCCCTCGCCATCATCTCCCACCCCACCTCGCCCCGGTCGCTCACCTCCCTCTCGCCCACAGGCCTCCCTCCACCGCACTCGCAGTCGCTCCCGAAAGAGTGCGAGGCCATCCTGCGCGCGCAGGGCGTCACGCCCGCGACGGTCGCCATCCTCGACGGGCGCATCAAGGTCGGCCTCGACGACAAGGACCTCGACCTGCTCGCGGCCAAAGGGTGGGAGGCGCGCAAGGACAAGCGGGTCGCAGAAGGGCTGTGGAAGGTCGGCAGGAGGGAACTTGGAGCCGCATTGGTCAAGGTGCGCCCACCGTTTCTCTCGGTTCGTCGTCCTGCTCGCGCGCCAACTGAATCAAGCTCCCTCTCCTACAGCGCGTCGACGGCGGGACGACTGTGTCGGGCACGATGGCGGTTGCGCATCTCGCGGGCATCAAGGTCTTCTCAACGGGCGGCATCGGCGGCGTCCACCGCGGCGCAGAGACGAGTGCGTCCCCTTCTCTCTCGAACCTCGCCCGTCGTCCTCATTGGCCAAGCAGCTGACAAACACTCGCACCCCCTGCAGGCTTCGACATCTCGTCCGACCTCATCTCGCTGAGCGACACGCCCGTCGCCGTCGTGTGCGCCGGCTCCAAGTCGATCCTCGACATCGGCTTGACGCTCGAGTACCTCGAGGCGCACGCTGTCCCTATTGCCGGCTTCAAGACGTCGGCCTGGCCCGCCTTCTACACTGCCGACTCGGGCTTCAAGGCGCCGATGCAGCTCGACTCGGCCACGCAGGTCGCCGAGACGATCCTCCAGCAGGACCGGCTCGGGCTCACGGCGGCGCTCCTGCTCGGCAACCCGATCCCGCACGAGTACCACCCCGTCGGCGACGAGCTGCAGCGTGCGGTCGACCAGGCCGTCGAGGAGAGCGTCGAGAACGGCGTCAGCAAGAGCGGCAAGCTCGTCACGCCGTGGCTCCTGCAGCGCGTCGCCGAGCTGTCGCAGGGCAAATCGCTCGAGAGCAGTACGTCCCCTCTCCCTTACTCTCTACTCTCATCTCGTCGATCTGACTCGTCATTCTCTCTCTCGCAGACAAGGCGCTCATCCGCAACAATGTCAAGGTCGGCGGCGAGGTCGCGCTCGAGTACGCGCGCTTGCTCAAGGTGTGACTCCCTCGTCCCTCTCTCCCACCCTCCTAGACACTGCAATGGATCACTGAACTCAAATGGCCCCTTCTCCACGTCCCGCAGAGCTCGTCAGCATCGTCGTCGTCATTCCAGCCGTCCCTCCCACCCTCTCCACCACCTTCTCCTCCTCTCGCCGCCGCATCCTCCTCTGCCTTGACCTCGGCCGTACCGCTCGAACCTCTTCCTTCGGCCTCGCTCGTCGTCGCAGGCGTCCTCGCCGTCGACATCACCATGTCGCCCACGGCCGTCTCGCCCTTGTCGACGACCGCTCCCGGCCGGGTAGGCCTCACGCTCGGCGGCGTCGCAGGCAACGTGTCGGGCGCGGCACACTCGCTCCTCGGCGGGAGCGAGGTGCTCCTCGTCGCGGCGGTCGCGGGCGACCTCCTCGGCGGCGTCGCGCGGTCGGGCCTCGAGGGGAGGGGGATGCGCACGGACGGGTTGGTGGAGGGGAGCGGGGCCATGGCGACGTGCGGGTACCTGCTCGATGAGCGAGGAGAGCTCGTGGGAGGGGTGGCGGACATGGCGCTGTCGAAGGAACTGACCGGGACCAAGGTGCGTCGTCGACTTTCTCTTCTTGCTCCCTCTCTCTCGTGACGACCTCATGCCGACTCTCTCGTGCGCGCAGATCGTCCAACGCATCGAGCAGATGCGGCCCAAGGTTGTCTGCTTCGACGCCAACATCGAGATCGACGCCATGGTCGACGTCCTCTTGCACTGCGAGAAGACGGGCTTGCCGAGTACGTCCCTCGCGCCCGCTCTCGTCTCCCTGCACAGTCACTGACTCGACGTGTCGCACACAGCCTTCTTCGAGCCGACGTCGAACGCCAAGTCGCTCAAGATCCTCCTGGCTCTCGAGTCGCGCGCCGTGGCCGCGCTCGGGCCCCTGTCGACCCCGCTCGTGTCGTTCTCGGCGCCGAACATCCACGAGCTGCACGCGCTGTACGACGTCGTCGCCTTTTCCGAGCACTCGGTCTACACGCCCGGCGCCTGGTTCGACGACATCACCGTCTCGGCGCAAGACCTGTCGGTCCTCCTCCCCTCGTGGGCGACGAGCACGGGCGCGGCGCAGATGGCGGTCCGGCTCCTGCCCGTCGTGCGCACCCTGTTCGTCAAGTCGGGCGCCGAGGGCGTCCTCGTCGTGCAGCGCGTGTCGGGCGTCGACCAGGTCGCGGCGTGGCGCTCGCTCCCGCGCCGCAAGGGCACCGTCGTCGTCCCGAATTCGGCGTCGCCCGCCGAGGCCGTCGTCCTTCGGCACTACCCGGCGCTCAAGCTCGACGCGGGCGAGGTCGTCGGCGTGACGGGCGCGGGCGACAACCTGGCGGGCGCGACGCTCGCCGCCATGGCGCGTGGACTCAGGGCCGACGTGCCGAGCGAGCTGGACCGCATCGTCGACCTGGCGCAGAGGTGCGCCCTACTCTCTCTCTTTCTCTCTCTCGAGAGGGCCGGACTGACGAGCGTGTCGCACGATGCAGAGCGGCGGTCGGAGCGCTCAAAAGCGAGGAGGCGGTCGGCGACCACTCGGGTCTGCGAGCGTTGCTGCCGGTCTTGTAGCACTTCTGTATGGTACTTGACATTGCCAGGACAGAGCTGTACGAGCGCGAGAGCTGGTCGACTGTGAGGGAGAGCCGCGGGCGCGAGAGAGGCGGCGAGCGAGCTGCACGAGGTCCTCTTCACCGCACCGCGCCCGAGCCAGCGACAGAGCAGCTCAGCAGCACACACGAGCCTCGACGCAAGTCAAGCCCACGCCCCAAGCCGTCCAGCCGTCGTCGTCCCTTGACCTTGGCCTCATCTCCCTCCGACCCGCGTCCAGCTCCGCCTCGTCGACACCACCTCGCTCAAGCCACCGAGCATGGCCTCCCTCGCCCTCCCTGCGGTCCGCAGCACCCGCCGCACCGTCCACCAGGTCGCTGCGTCGCTCGCCTCGCAGGCCTCGGTTTTCAGCGCGACCCCGTCCTCCTCCTCGTCGTCGTCCACCTCGCGCCTCGCCGCAGCGTTCCCCTCGACCTCGTCCTTCACCCTCTCTCTGTCCCTCGCCCCGTCCACCGCACCCGCACCTGCCGCATCGCCGTCGTCGGCCTCGGCCCTTGCGACCCTCGCGGCCCTCATCCCCGACTCGCTCGCCGCCGGCCTGCGCGAGCTCCTCCCGCCCTGGGTCTTTGCCGTTCCCAAGCGGCAGACCACGCACGGCGCCAAGCGCATGCGCGCGTCCAACAAGGGTCTCAAGGAGAAGCAGAGTGCGTCCCCCTCCCTCTCTCTCTCTTCTCCCCGCCTTTCGCCTGACCCTTCTCTCCTCCCCTCCCCGCCGCATCGCAGACCTCGTCGCGTGCCCGTCGTGCGGCGCGCCGAAACTCGCCCACCACCTGTGCCACGGCTGCCACGTCTCGTTCCGCCGCGAGCTGCACCGGGAAGCCAAGGAGGCAAAGACGGGGCTTGCGCCGGAGCAGAGGGCTTGAGGACGCGGTCTCTGAGTACTCTCGAGGTGCAACGAGTTGGGTCACTGAGCGTCTGAGGGCGATTTCGAAGGGCGAGAGAGCAATGCTGGTCGTGAGAGCCTCGGTCGAGCCCAGCTTGCCTCGACTGGGTTCCCTCTCTCTCTGCGCTCGCGCTCGCTCCGCCGACGGCTAGCTGCTCTCGATAGCTCACGACAAAGCTCGCTGTGCTCGCGAGAGGCTCTCTCACAGAGAGACACGGGCGACCGCCGAGGCGAAAAGTGGGCAGAAGCGCGCGCGGGCGACGATTGAAGGAACAACGATGAAAGTAGGTGGGAGAGGGGGGCGCTACGTGACGACGACGACGGAGAGAGACGTATGGAGAAAAGAGATGGGGAGCTGGGAGAGAGGAAAGGGTCGAAAAGTGGCCGGGAGGAGGGAAGGGGCGCCGTCCTCGACGACGACGACCACGACGACGGCGGTGACGGCGCAGACCTGCGGCGGAGCCGCTTAGGCAGCCTCCTCGCCGGTAGGCGCAGCCTCGGCGGGCTTGTCCTCCTGCTTGGGCTCGTCGACATCGGCCGAGAGGTCCGAGGTCCAGAGGGTCCTGTGGGCGACCAAGGAGGGTTAGGACCGGATCGTTGGCGAGAGTCGGGGCTGTATACTCAGAAATTGTCCCTAAGCAGCTGCATTATCAGCGTCGAATCCTTGTAGGACTCCTCGCTCAGGGTGTCGAGCTCGGCGATGGCGTCGTCAAAGGCGGTCTTGGCGAGGTGGCACGCCTTCTCGGGCGAGTTGAGGATCTCGTAGTAGAAGACCGAGAAGTTGAGCGCGAGGCCGAGGCGGATCGGGTGCGTCGGGGCGAGCTCCGAGGTGGCAATCTCGCTCGCGGTCTTGTACGACTCGTGGGCAGCCTCGGACGCCTTCTCGCGCTGGTCGCCCGACGCAAACTCGGCGAGGTAGCGGTGGTAGTCGCCCTTCATCTTGTGGTAGAAGACCTGGGCGCGACGGGAGGAGAGCGTGAGCGACAGAAACCCGGAAAGAGAGAGAGAGAGAGACGCACCTTGGACTCGCCGGCCTGGGCGGCCGGGATGAGGTGCTGGTCGAGGACGTTGAGGATGTCGTTGCAGACGTCCGAGAGCTCGCCCTCGACCTTCTCGCGGTAGGCCTTGATCTTCTGGACCTGGCTCTGGTTGCCCTTGGCCTCCTCCTTCTGCTCGATCGACGAGATGATGCGCCACGACGCGCGGCGGGCACCGATGACGTTCTTGTACGAGACCGACAGGAGGTTGCGCTCCTCGACAGTGAGCTCGACGCCGAGCTTGGCGACCTCCTTCATCTCGTTGACCATCTGCAGGCGCGAGGGGGGAGAGGTCAGCACGCGACCTCGCGGTCGACCGAGAAAGAGATAGAGAGGGGGCGCACCTCGTCGTAGCGCTCAGCCCTGCACAGGAGGAGGAACCGCAGGGTCAGTTTGACCGCTCGAGAAGGCGAGATCGGAGTTGCCGCGTGCGAGCGGGCGGCGACCACGCCGCGCGACCCGGACACTCGGCGCGCCGCAAGATATGCGCGCAACAAGCGCGTCCACGAGCCCAAGGCCTCGATCTCCACATGCCGAGCCGTGTCGAGTCGAACCAGAGAGGGTGCGAGGGCGCAACGGGCCGCGAGGGGGGGAGGGCGAGGCGGGTGTGTCGTTCGACCGCCCTCGGCGACGACGCGTCGCGGGGTCGGGGGACAAGAACCAAGAGAGAGAGGGGACGCACTGCTCGCTGATGCGCGACATGTAGACATGGGCCTCGCGGGTAGAGTTGTCGGCGGCCATCTTGGGAGGAGGGGGACGGGGGTGGAGAGGGAGAGGGCGGGGGTCTAGCTGTGCGGCGAGGGAGGACGAGGGTGGGTCAGCTGGCGGTCCTAGAGAGCTCTGGTGGACTGTCGACTCACTCAAGAGGTAGCTGCGAGGTCTACGTGAAGCGCGAGGAGGTGGGAGGCTCGCCCCCCTCCTCCTCGTCCTCGTCGCTTTGTCTCGAACAATCTGCAGCTCACCTTTCAATGCCAGCCGGATGTTGGGCTGTCCTGCCTCTGTTGCACGCCTGTTAAGTGCACGCGGGAGCGCCACGATTAAGGCCCCGCCGTCCGGTTGTCGTCGACGCGTGCGAGCGCTCGCTTGCGAAATTCACTGCGCGCTCGCTGTGGCCTCTGGCTCGGATCTGCTCCGGTAGATCTACTGCCAAGAGTGCACTGCATATCCTGAGCCGCTCGCACAAGATCCCGCGGGTCGTCGTGGCGAGCCGAATTCGAAGCAGCCGGCCCGCTCTCGCTCGCTCTTGACTTCATTGACCGCTCGTCCACAACTCGCCGCGATGGTCCGCTGCGCTAGTGCGATCAGCGCAACTGCCCGTGCGCTCAAGCCCAGTGCTCCCGCCGCACGCCGCGCTGCCGCCGCCGCCTCCCTCCCCTCCAGCTCCGCCGCTCCCCTCCTTCTCGCCCGCGCCGGCTCTCCGCTCGCCACCCGCAGCACCGGCTCGAGCCACGCCTTTTCGACCAGTGCCGCTCGCAGTGGCGGAGCCGTCGCACCCCGTCGCCCCGACTTCAAGAAACTCGACGCCGACGATGTCGCCTTCTTCCGCTCCGTCCTGTCGTCGCCCTCGTCCCTCATCACGACCATCGAGTCGCCCGACGGCTCGTGGACCGCCGCCACCGCCGACGACCTGATCGCGTACAACCTCGACTGGATGGACAAGTACAAGGGCAACTCGCCCGTCGTCCTCAAGCCCAAGTCGACCGACGAGGTGTCGAAGATCATCGCTTACTGCTACAAGAAGCGCATCGCCGTCGTGCCCCAGGGCGGCAACACGGGCCTCGTCGGTGGCGGCGTCCCCGTCTACGACGAGCTCGTCCTCAACACCGAGGGCATGAACCAGGTCCGCGACTTTGACGATGTGTCCGGTCCGTCCTCTCTCTCGCTCTCCCCTCCCTGTCCTGGTCGAGCCGCTCCTCCAGCAACTGACACTCTCGTTCCTCAGGCATCCTTACGACCGACGCCGGCTGCATCCTCGAGGTCCTGTCCAACTACCTCGCGCCCAAGGGCTACATGATGCCGCTCGACCTCGGCGCCAAGGGCTCGTGCCACATCGGCGGCAACGTGTCGACCAACGCCGGCGGCCTGCGCCTCTTGCGGTACGGCAGCCTGCACGGCTCGGTCCTCGGCATCGAGGCGGTCCTCCCCGACGAGCACGGCACCGTCATCAGCGTCAACATGCCTGGCGGTGGAGGGGCGGGCCCGCTGCGCAAGGACAACACGGGTGCGTCTCGAGCGAGTTCTCTTGTCGTTGCCGCGAGAGCGGGCGAGAAGGGCTCGAAGCGCAAATGGTCCGCCGATGAGGGACTGACGGTCGAACCTCTTCTTGCGCAGGCTACGACCTCAAGCAGCTCTTCATCGGCGCCGAAGGCACCCTCGGCATTGTGACGGGCGTCTCGATCCTCACGCCTCGGCTACCGAGCGTGCGTCTCTGCTTCCTCGTCGTTTTCGCCGCCGAACCCTCCTGACCTCGTCCCGCCGACTCGCGCAGGCCGTCAACGTCGCCGTCCTGTCCGTGCCCGACTTCAACTCGGTCAAGACCGTCTTCAAGGAGACCCGGGCGCAGCTCGGCGAGATCCTGTCAGCGTTCGAGTTCTGGGACCAGGAGGGGCTCGACCTCGTGCTCGACCACACGGGCGCCAAGTCGCCGTTCGAGACCGCGCCCGAGGGCGGTCGGGCCTTCTACGTCCTGATCGAGACGAGCGGGAGCAACAAGGACCATGACGACGAGGTGCGTCCCCAGCTTCCTCCGCATCGCCTTCCCAAACCCTCCACTCCCTATCCTCCCCTCCTCGACGGAAAGCTGACCTACCCCTCCCTTTCCTCCCACAGAAACTCGGGGGCTTGTTGGAGAAGCTCCTCGAGGAGGGCATCTGCGCCGACGGCACGCTCGCGCAGGACGAGACCCAGGCCGCCAACCTGTGGTCCTTGCGCGAGTCTCTGCCCGAGGCCGCAGGTAAACTCGGCAAGGTCTACAAATTCGACGTGTCCGTCCCACTCTCCGAGTATTACTCGCTTGTCGAGGAGACCCGGGCGCGCTTTGTCGAGAACGGCATGGCCGAGGACGGGACGATCAAGACGACGGTCGGCTACGGGCACATCGGCGACAGTGCGTCTCCTCTCACTCTCTCTCCCCTCTCCTCTTCCCTCGTTCTCGTCGACGGCGGGCATGAGTGCCGAGCAGTCTGTATCTGCCCTCGAACGCGTCGTCCACGTCCACGTCGTCGCCCCTGCCCTCGCCGAGCTCGAGACTGACTCTCACCCCTACCCAGGTAACCTGCACATCAACATCGTCGCCAAGGAGTACAACGAGCGGACCGAGAGCGCGATCGAGCCCTGGATCTACGAGGCCGTCGGTGTGTCGCGACCTTTCCCTCCCTCCTTCGCCCTGGAGCCCTTCTGACCCATCCTCCCCTCCCTGCAGCCAAGCGCAACGGCTCGATTTCCGCCGAGCACGGCCTCGGCGTCATGAAGCCCAACCACGTCCACTACAGCAAGACCGAGCCGGCCATCGCCCTCATGCAGCAGTTGCGGCGAGTGTTCGACCCGCGCGGCATCCTCAACCCGGGCAAGTACCTGCCGCCGTCGGAGCACCTTCCCGAGGAGGGGCAGGAGAAGGTCAAGTAGAGCGGGTCGGCCGTCACAGGGTGTTGTAGAAAGGAGAGCGAGGACGAAGCGCTCGTGCTGTTCCGTGTCGGCGTCGTCTCGCGTCCCTGCTCGTCTGCGAGAGCCTGAGAGCTTGCGTAGCTCCTCTGCTGCATCTCTACGAGCTAGCGAGCGCACCTGCTGGCGAGCTGTCGCTGCGTCGACTTCGCAGAGTCGCACCTGCGCCGCCTCTCGCTTTCCCTCGTCACTCACGCTCTGCTCGCGGCCTACTACGCCCTCGCGCGCACCCGCACGAGCTCGACACGGTCACCTGTGTGGCCACCGAGGCCGCCCCACGCCGTCCCTCGCCGTCCCTCGCCCTCCCGACGCCGCCGCATCCTCATCAGCGCCCCGCACGCTCGCACCCTTTCCTTCCCTCGTCACACCTCCAGGTGCGGCTGCACCCCACCCAGCATCGTTCAGCAGCGTGTGCCAGCCCATGGCGGTGAGCGAGACGGCGCCCCAAGCCGACGGCGGCTCGTCGACGACGGTCGACCATCCTCCCCCGACTTCCTCGACCTTTACCTTCCTCGCGCCGACGCCTTTCTCGTTCGAGTCGGCGGCGGTCGATGAGCAGAGCTCGCATGCCGGTCAGGGCTCGAGCGTGGCATCGTGGGAGGGCAGGCCGCCGCGTCGTGCGCGTCGAGCCGGAGGCGAGCGAGAGGTACAGGGTGCGGGTCGGTCAGACGTCGTCGCGGTCAAGGTGCGGGATGTCACGATGGGCAGAGAGCGGTGCGAGGAGCGAGGAGAGGGTGCGACGTCGGGAGCGGGCGCGAGGTGGACATTGGCGGGCCTGAGCGAGGGTGAAGAAGGTGCGTCTCACGTTCTCTCTCCAACGACTTTACTCGGGTGCAGCAGTGACCGTTCGCGCCCACTAAGGAGGCTCGTCGGACGACTGCGACTCGCCGAGGCGCTCCCGCAAGCGTGTGTGCCGCCGCCCGCCTTTCGACCACGTCCAGCACCTCTTCCCACCAGCTTCCCCGCCCCTTTCCGGCCCTCCTCAGCAGCAGCCGGCCGCTCGCTCGCCCACGCCAAGCTCATCTGACGAGATTCGTCGACCACCATCAACCTCGGGCCGCCATTCGCCTCACGAGCTCGCGTTCTACGCCGACTCGGCGAGCGACTTGAGCGACTCGGGCGAGGACTCGTGCGGCGCGCCGTCGCAGCCCCTGTCGGACGCCGAGACGTCTGGCGAGAACCAGGTGCGTCTCTTCTATCCTCTCATGGCGGCAGCGACGACGAAGAGCCCTTGACACCTGACATGCACCCGCACTTGCAGCTTCGTCGCACGCCTCCTCGCCCTCACACCCTCGCGCGCTCTACCCTCTCGCCCATCGACAACACGAGATCGACCGACTCAAGCACGCGACACGGCCCGGCACCGGGCGCCTCGCCGTCGTTGACTCGCGCTCGCTCGACCGCGCCGCGCAGAATGTCTTCGCCGGCCCGCACCGCTCTCGCCGCCAGCCTGTCGGCTCTCGACCTCGTCTCGACGTCGGACAGCGACTCGAAGACCGACTCGGCGGCGCTCGACGAGCGCGAGGGCATCTCGAGCGACGAGTGGGAGGGAGCGTCGGTCGAGGAGGAGCAGGTTTGGCGCTTCGAGGAGTGCCCGGTCGGCAGTTTTGCGTCGACGAGCGCGACGGCTTGGTAGTTGAGGGCCGAGGGCTGCAACTGCGCGACGTCTGTGACCAGATCCGAGCGGTGCAGCGAGCGAGAGAGGCTCGACAGAGGCTCGAGCGGTGGTGGTCGAGTCGGCGAGGCCGTCTCGGCGCGCGCCTCGGCCTCGAGGCCCGTCTGAGATACGAGAGAGCTTATCGACGCAAACGCTGGCCTGGAATGGATCGAGGCGGTCGACTTCCGGCGGCCCCACTGCCGCTCGCCCGCAAGAGCGTCCTCGGCTCGCGTTCTTGCTCTCCTCGCTCGCTCACGCTCGCTCAGGGCGAGCACCAGAGCAGCACCTGCTGCTCTCTGGACCAATCGACACGCCCTGCGTCCTTCAACGCGCGCATCCACGCCGTCTCTCGCGCGCGCTTCCTTCATCACTCGCCACGACTTCAATGGACTCGAGGCACCAAGCCGTGACCCTGGCCTTTGCGACGGTCGCCGCACTGTCAGCAGGCACCAATTATGCGTGCGTCCACCCTTTCTCCCAGCCTCCCCCAAGGCTCGTGAGCGCGAGCTGACCCTCTTCACCTCCCCGCCCCACTCCTTCCCCTCCTCGCCCTTGCCCCGAATGCAGCGTCGGCGCCTATCTCCCGCAAGTCGGCGAGCGGCTGCATCTTGGTTCGCTCGCCATGAACATCATCGCGGCGTCGGGAAACGCCGGCGTCTATTTGAGCGGGCCCATCATCGGCTGGGTCGTCGACCGGCGCGGCCCCCAACCCGTCATGGTCCTCGCCGGCGCGTGCCTCTTCATTGGGTACCTCGGCCTCGCGAGCATGTACAACGGCGGGCCAGACGGCCTCTACGCGGCGGGCGGCTTGCCCGCTCTCGCGCTCGGCCAGCTCCTGACCGGCATCGGCGGCAGCGCCGGGCTGTCGGCGGCGCTCAAGGCAACGAGCCTGTCGTTCGCTCAGACAAGTCGCGGTACGGCCATCGGCATCGTCGTTAGCGGGTTCGGCCTGTCTGCCTTCTTCTATTCGACGATCTCGCGCGCCCATCTCGTCGCCGCGGCCGACCCGACGTCGGCCTTCCTCGTCACGCTGGCCGTCGGCTGCGGCATATCGATGTTCCTCGGCGCCGTCTTTGTTCGGCCGCCACCGCCTACGTCGGTCAGCCCGTCGGCAGCCCTGTACGAGCCACTCGCGTCGTCCGCCCCGCACGGGCACGATGCGCTCTCGTCAGACGACGTGCGCGGCCTGTCGCGCTCGCGCAGCCACTCGCCAGCGTCAGCGCCGCCGCATCATCTCGCAGACGAGTACAGCCTTCACTCGGGCATCGTCGTGCGGGACCGCGACGACGAGGAGCAGGGCGGCCTTCTCGAAGCGGACCGCCCCGACTACCTGCGGCGGCGCAGCTCGACGCCGCTCCTCGGCAAGCCAGGCGACGACGGCGATCTACGAGGCGGCGGCGGCGCGCACGGCGCGGGCGACCTCGACGTGTCGGGCTGGACGCTCCTGCGCACGACCGACTTCTACCTCATGTTCGCCTTCCTCGGCTTGTGCAGCGGCACGGGCCTCATGTGGATCAACAACCTCGGCACTCTCGTCGTCACCCTGTCGCCTCCAGATGCCGCACCGCTCGACGTCGCGCTCGCCCAGTCGCGCCTCGTGAGCCTCCTCAGTGTCCTCAACTGCGCTGGCCGGCTCGCCGTCGGGTTCGCGAGCGACTTCTTCACGCATCGCGCCGGGCCGGCGCGCTTCCCGAGGGTCTACTGGCTCGTCGTCCTCTCGGGCGTGTTCGTCCTGTCGCAGCTCGTCGCCGGGCGGGCCGAGCGCGTCGAAGACTTGGCGCTCCCGACGGCCATCGTCGGCGCCGCGTACGGCATGCTCTTTGGCTCGTCACCTGTCGTGTGCCTCGAACGGTCCGTCCCTTGCCCTCTCCTCTCGTCTCGTCTCGGGCGGCACTGACGATCTTCGTTTCGGCGCTTGCAGGTTCGGCCTCAAGTTCTTCTCGGGCAACAACGGCTGGCTCATGCTCTCTCCGTCAGTCTTTGCCAACTTCAGCAACCTTCTCTTTGGCGTACGTCTCTCTCTCCCTCTCTCCTTCGAGGCGCAGGTTCAGTACTCACGTTTCGTGTTCTCGCCGTCGCCGCAGGCCGTCTACGACGCCCACGCCTCATCTCTCGCTCCCTCGCCCTCCCTCTCCTCTCCCTCGTCGTCATCGTCGATCGACTCGACGATCTCGTCTCTCGCGCGGCGAGCCGGCACGGCCCCGCCTGCGCATCGGTGCACGCTCGGCCGCGAGTGCTTCGCGACGGCATTTCGAGCGACGACGCTCATGAGCCTCGCCGCCGTCGGGCTCGCGTGCTGGATCTCGTCGAGGCGGTCCTTTCAGCCGGTGTACCGCTCGTAGTGTCGAGGTGGGCGAGGAGGAGGACGGCGAGGAGCTTAGAGACGTCGTCGCGCCCGAACTTTGTAGACGATCTCCTGTTGTGGTGTACAGTTCTGAGGCCTTTTCTCTCTCTCATTCTCTCGGCCTTTCGAGAGTACGAGCGAGTCGCGAAGAGAAAGCGAGACGAGATAAGGCTCTTGCACACGAGCTACTGCGCCACTCCCTCGCCCTTGCTCCAGCCCTTGACGGCATACGCTGTGACGCCCCTCACGATGCCGCTCACGGCGTCAGGCCGGCGCACCGACGCCGAGATGACGGTGCCGCTCGCGAGGGCGAAGACGGCGCGTTCGGCCCACCGCGCGAGAGCCTTCCCTGCTGGCGACGCGACGAGCGAGGCGGGGACGAGCTCGTCGAGGATTGCGTAGCTGTGACGAGGTACAAGGACGACGAGAGGAGAGGGTCAGTCGAAAGTCGAGGAGGACGAAGGAAGAGAGAGAGAGAAAGAGGGAAAGAGAGCGCGAGGCAGGGAAGAGAGGGAAAAGAGAACGAGCGACGCACAGGGCCCTCGGCGCGCAGTACAGCGCCATCTCCCTCCTCCTGCGCTTGTTCTCGATCAAGACACTCGCGCCGCACATGGCGCACCCGACGACGACGCACCACCCGGCGTCGAGCGGCTGCTGCGCGATGGCGCCCCTCGCGAGCTGCGGGAGGCGCGTGCGCGTGAGGCACACGCCGAGGTAGACGCTCGCGACGAACGTGGCAAGGAAGGCCGACGAGCGCGAGGCGGCGACGAGGATGCGCAGGAGGGACGAGGTGGGCGAGCGGAGGAGGCGGCGGAAGTTGAAGAGGAGGGGAGGGATGGCGTGAACCTGCGAGACATGGATCGAGAGGGTGTCAATGAGGCGGTTGAGGAGGTAGGAAAGGACGAGAAGAGTGCCACGCACAGGGAGGTAGATCAAGAGGCAGTCGAGGAACGCTCGGGCCCACCGCTTGAGCGCGTTCTGCTCGCACGAACCGGCGCCGAGTCGACCGTGGACGAACGAGCAGTCGAGGCGCTCGATGAGGGCCGGGTTGACGAGGCTGCGAGACAGTCGTCGAGGGTCAGGCCGGGGCGAAAGAGGCGCAGTAGGAAAGAGAGAGAAAGAGGGCGCACCTTGCGTCCTTGCCGGCGTGCTTGGCGATGGCCGTGCACATCTCGAGGACCTCGGCGTCGGGCTTCTTGCCGTACACGAACCGACCCGCTCGCGCATAGCGCAGAAGCTGAAGAAGGCGAGGGTCCATGCGGGCGAGCTGGAGGATCCACTTGCCGTAGCTCGGCGGGAGGAGCTCGGGCTTGTAGAACCAGGCCGTCATTATCTTGCTCGATGCAGTCCAGAACACGAGCGTCTCGCAGTGGTCGGCGAGGAACCGCAGGACGGGCGCGGCGCGGCCTCGGGCCGGCGGCGCGCGCTCGTAGACGAGTCGGGCGAGCGTGTCGACGCCGCGGACGAGGACGAACAAGGTGAGGTCGAGGGTCGGCGACTGGGTGGCGCGCAGCTGGGCCGGCGAGAGGGCAGGAGGGGGACCGCCCGAGCTGATGACGCTCGGGAGCGGCGGGGCGTAGGGCGTGAGGAGGACGTCGACCTTGTCGTCCGAGAGGGCGGGCCCGGCGAGAGGGCGAACGGGACGGCGGTAGCCCGTGCCGCTCTGGAGGATGAGGAGGGCGACGAGCGACGACAGGGACCCGCTGACGAAGGTCGACAGGGCGCGCACGTTGCGCTCGTCCTGGGCGACCCGGTCCTGCGCCGCCTGGGCGAGCGAGTCGTCCGTCTCGCGCGCCTTGCCCTTGCCCTCGACCTGCACCGCCCGCTGATGCAACTCGGCGAGCGTCTCGTGCGCGTCACCCTTGCCCTCGTGCCCGTTTTGGCCGTCGCGGAGGGAGCGCGCCCGCTCGATGCCGGCGAGGTAGGCCCTCCTCACGACGGCCTCGACGAACGGCTCGCCCCATTTGGCTCCTCCGACTGCGACACCGAACGCGAGTGCGAGCCCACGCGGGTCGAGCCCCTTGGCGAGGGCGGCGGCGAGCTGGGCGCCGAGTTGGCGGAGTGGGCGACTGCGCGAGCGGGACGAGGTCGCGGCGCCGAGGAGGACGCGCAGGAGGGCGGGGACGGTGGTGGCAGCCCAGCCGAGGGCATAGGCGCGCAGGAAGGGCTCGGTCGAGGGGTGGGTGCGGTCGACGAGGTGCTGGCACCGAGCGATGAGATTGGGTCGACGACGCGATGGTGCAGGAGGGCGAGGGCGAGCCATGGTGGGCCGCTTGATGGTGGAGCACGCGCTGTAGCCGCTGCTGGGTGCGCTGGGCGGTCGTGGAGCTCGCACGAGCGGGTGAGGAGAGACAGCGAGGGGGGACCAGGGCGAGCTCTCCGGCCGAAGTCGCGCCGCGCCTCGTCGCTTTCACGCCCAACTCGCTCACCTCTCGCGTTCACCGACAGCTCGACACTCGAGCACAAGGGTCCAACGAGGCCTTGCAATGCACGCGGGAGAAATAGCTCCGCCCCCTTCGTCCTCCTCGTCCGTCCAGCTCTGCTTCTCGCCGACCCTCCCTCACGAACCCTGTTGCCGACGCTCCTGCGCCCTCGAGCCCGGCCGCGACAAGCTGAGCCGCTCGTGGTACCGCCGCGGCCGCTCGTCGTCGTGGGGAGTCGAGCGCCTGCTGGGCCACCCTTGGTCGGTGAGGTGCGCCGTCTCGTCGCCGCCGCCCAGCTCAAAGCCCGACGAGTCGAGCGGGTCGTGCACGTCGAGCGCGACGTGGTGCCGCTTCTCGTTGTCCTCGTCGATCTCGTCGCTCGATGGACCGCGGCCGTGCGCCTTGACGTGGTCGTCGTACTTGTTGACGGCGGCGTCGCGCTTGGCTGCGGGCGACGAGGCGCACGAGTCAGGCTTGGTCGACGTGCGCAGAGAGAGAAGAGAGGGAGAGAGAGAGACGACCCACCTCGCTTGGCGATGCGGGTGTGCAGGCCCTGAATGACCGGGTGAGATTCCTGCTGGGCGTACTCCTGGCGGACCTGGTGCACGTTCGCGTTGTGCTTCTTGGCGTGGCGCTTGTCCCAGAAGCCGGCGCCCGGCTTGACGTCGACGAGGTCGTCGTCCTTGTCCTGCAGGATGTCCTGCAGCGTCCACTCCTCCTCGCGCTCCTCGAGCTCGTCCTTGAGCTTCTTGCGCACGTTGTCGCGCGTCGCCCGGGCCGCCTTGATCTTGCGCCACGCCGGGTTCTTGTCGTTGAAGAACTTCTTGCGCCACACCGTGATGCGCCACACGAGGATCGAGTCGAACAAGATGGACAGGAGGGAGCCGATGATCTGGCAACGGACGAGGCGAGGAGAGTCAGTGAGGGCTCGCCGAGTATAAGAGAACGGTCGAGACGCACCCAGGGTGACTCGACCTTGATATAGTCGACGTCTCGCGACAGCGTAAAGATGGACGCGAGGTTGAAGATGTCTGCGAAGGGCGAGAGGGTCAGTGCGTCGTCCTGGTTCGAGAAGTGGCGAGGGACGCACTCTCGAGGATGAGGTAGTAGAAGAGCGGGTCGTCGAGGTCGTGAACTGGCTCGTCGTCTGCAGGCGAGGGTTGGTCAAGACGAGTGCAGGTCGGAGGAGGCGAACTTGAGAAGGTCGGACGCACTGCGTTTGCTGCGACGCTCGCCCGAGATGAATTCGGGGATGCGCGCGAACGAGAAGATGAGGCTGCGAACGTGGCGAGAACGAGTGAGCGACTGTCGACTCAAGAGGAGAGGGAAGAGAGAGAGGGACGCACGAAGCCGAGATGCCGAGCGCGAACGAGATCGTGTCCCACTCGGTCGGCGCGTGGACGCTGAACGAGTCCGGGTTGAGCCACAGGCCCGTGGTCATGTATGCGCCCCAGATCGTCGTGCACAGGAGGACGAGGACCGTAAGGAGGACGATGTCGTCCCAGACCGTAGAGTCGCGAAAGTGGGTCGTGAGCTTGAACCACCATGGCGTCTCGTGGCGCTGAATGCGGCGGATGAGGTCCTTGGCGCGCTTCGGGTCGCGAGTGCCCCAGTCCGAGTGGCCGAAGAAGCCGAGCTGCGTCGCGTGGGAAGGTCAGGTCAGGGACGGCGAGAAGGAGAGAGTACGAGTGGAAGGTGGACGCACCTCGAGAGCGAGCGCACCGTCGGCGACGCAGTACCACGCCGCCAAGACAATCTGCGTCGGCTGCGCGCCGAGGAGCGCGATCCCGGCGAGGTTGACGGCGTCTGCGACGAGCCAGGCGAACAAGAAGCCCGGGCCCGTCCCGCTGCGCCGCTTGACGGCGTTGGTCGCGATGAGCGGGACGAAGGCGGCCATGGCGACGCCGGCCGTGATCCAGCCCAGCAAGGAGCTGATCAAGGCCTCGAGGGTGAGCGCCATCTGGACGGGCGGACGAGGCGAGCGGCGAGATCTGGCGGGCGAGCTCGTGCGGGTGGATCTTGAAGTGTCGGGTCGGTGCGTCGATGAGCGCCACCCTGCAGCTGGGCGATAGGCGAGAAGCGGGATCCAGAAGCAGAGGAAGCGAGAGGCTGAGCGGCGGACCGAGCGGGCGGACCGGAGCCGGTTCTCGGCGCTCGGCGACGCCACAGACGGACTCTCCGGCTGAGACGAACAGGAGACAGAAGCGAGAACTCTGAGCCGGACAGGGGAGCGAACGGCTCACATTTCCATCGCCTGAGACGGAGCGGCGTCGACGCCGGCGGCGTCGAGCACCTCCAGTCGCCGGCCCTCGCCGCTCAGACTCGCTACGAGCTGTCGCCCGCTTGGCGTCGTGCGGAAGGACAGTGCCGAGGGAGGATAGGCCGGGTCGAGCGCGACCTGGCGCGAGAGCGGTAGTGGCGAGGCGGCCTACGGGACGAGGAAGAGAGGCGGCTCGAGCGCGGTCAGGACTTTCCGCGGAACGGGGGACCCGACGACGACGACGAGAGGAGGCGGGAACGCACCGATCGAGGATCAGGAGACCAATCGAGGTCGGCGAGCTTGACGCGGGCGATCAAGTGCCGCGGCGCAGCTGTTTCGAGAGGGGGAGGGAGAGAGCGAGGTCAGCCGCCGAGATTCAGGCGGACGACGAAAGAAGGGACGAGACGGGCTCACCACCGTCCTTGAGCACCGAGACGCCGAGTACGAGCTCATCATCGTCGATAAAGTCGAGCTCGACGACGCGAACAGGTGGCCCGTCCGCGAGGCGCAGGTCGTGCGAGGCCGTCTCGACGGCCGACAGGTCGCCCTGAACAAGTTGACGCGCAAAGGTGACTGTGGGGCAAGAGCTAGGTGAGCGAGAGGAACATGCAGAGAGAAAGAGAGACAGAGAGAGAGAGAACGCACTAGTCGACCCCCGCACCCACACCTCCTCCAGCCGGCCGTCCTGCGCCACTCTCGTCCTCAGCCGCAGCTCGTCCACCTCGCCGTCGACGTCCATCGTGCCCTCTCCCGCATCGCGCACGACCGGCTCGCCGAGCACCGCATGCGCGCCCGTCGCGGCGCGCACGCCCCGGTCCATGACGCCGCCGACGAGCCGCGCCGTGAGGTGCAGCAGCGCCGGGAGGCTCTGCGGCGCTTTCGGTTTCTTGCTCGAAGACGACACCACCGTGCCGCGGAACGGCGAGGGCGGCGACGTGGCGCCGGTGAGGGGCGGTCGCGGTCCTGCGTCCGGGTCGGGCACGACGTCGGCCCACGGTGGCACGTCCTCGAGCTTGGCGGCGGGCGCAGGGTTGAAGCCGCCAGGCAGGCTCGACGTGACCGCCTCCTTGGAGCCGACGCGAGCGCGCGCCGCGAGCTCGTCGGCGTCGACCTGGCCCTGGACCTCCTCGGTCATGCGGCGCACGAGCGCGTCGAGCCGCCGCTCGTCGTCGCCGCCGCCCGGGCGCATGTCGTCGCGCATGTCGGCGCCGTCGACGAGCCCGAGCTCGGTGTCGCGCAGGGCCGGCGTCCCGACGGGCAGCTGCGCGACCCACGCCTCGGCGCCCTTGAACTCGGCGCAGTCCTTGAGCGGCGCGCTCGCGAGGCCAAAGGCGAGGAAGGGGGCGATGGTCGTTGCGGTGGACGGGAGGCGGTGCTGGATGTAGTGCGAGACGGGGAGCGGGTCGAACGCGGCGACGGGGCGGATCTCGGACCCTTCTTGCTGTGCGACCTTGTCGAGCTCTGCGGGGTGAGGTCGTCGACGTCAGTGACGGACTCACTCGTCGAGCTGAAAGAGAGATCAGGGCGACGGACCGTAATGAAGCCAGACGCTGAACTGCTTGAAGCACCGCTCCTCCTCCTCGACCTCGCGCTGGAAGAACGCGCTCGCCCGGACCGCCTCCCTGGCCGACTCGGTCGCGCGCAGCACCTCGTCGCGCTCGAACGAGTACGTGCCGAACTTCTCGGGCCTGCGAGCGGATCGAGGAGAGGCGTCAGGATGAGGGGCACGAGCGCGAGGGTAGGAAAGAGAGCGAGGGACGCACCATCTTGCCCAGGCGTCGACCTCGCGCAACAGGACCACGACTCGCTCCATCGCCGTCGCGACGCTGACCCACCCGACGCGCCTGGAACGCTCGAGCGCGAGGCCCATGGCCTGCTCCCACTTGACGAGGCCGCGCTCGTTCATCTTGCTCGCGAGAAAGTCGTGCAGGGCGCGGGTCGGGCGGCCCGTCAGGAGGAGGAGGTGAAGCTGGGTCGTGGGAGGGGTCGTCACTGCGCGAGAGGGCGAGAAAAGTCAGGCCCGCTCAGGCGCGAGGAGACGGACAGAGTGGAAGGTGGGGACGCACCGCCGTGCGGCCTCGAGACATCGGCGATGCGCTGCAGCCACCCTTTGCCGATGCGCCTCGCCTCGTCCCACAGGTTGCGCGAGTCCTGGAGCGCATCGAACGCGTGCTGGAGGAGGGCGCGCAGGGCCGACGACTGGCGGAGGACGGCCGACAGGGTCGCCGGGAGCGGCACCGACAGCTCGCGCACCGAGAGGGGCGAGGCCGAGGTCGACAGGTGGACGACGAACGAGGCGGCGGACGAGGGCGACGGCGAGGGCACGCTCGTGACGGCGAGGACGGGCTCGCCGGCGTCGACCGAGCCGAGGTAGACGGTGCCGCCGAGGAACAGGTGGCAGCCGCCCTTCTCGTCGCCGACGCACAAGACCGTGTGCTCGACCGCGTCCGCCTCGCCGCCCTCTGCCCTCGGGCGCAGCATGGCCCTCACCTTCGGGTCCCCTCCCGCCGCGCCCTCGTCCTCGGGACGCGCGGCCGGCAGCAGCGTCGGGAAGCGCTCGGCCGCGTCCTGCATGCTGAGCGGGCGCTGCGCCTCCTTTGCGCGCTCGCGCTCGAGCATGGCCTGCTTGGCGCCGAACACGCCCCCACCGCCCCCTCCTCCGCCCGGCCCACCTCCCACACCCGGTCCACCTGCGCCGCCCGCGCCGAACGCCATGCGCGGTGCGCCACCTGGCCCGTCGGCGGCGCCTGCGGCTGCGAGGCCGTCCTTGGGGATCTTGGGGAGGGCCGGGAGGCGGTCGACGAGGGCGAGGCCCCACGAGGGGAGGAGCGGGTCGTGCACGAGGGCGAGGCGCTGCCACGTGAGGGTCGTCGGGGTAGAGGTGCTCGGGAGAGGTGCGGCGGGTGGGACGAGGGGTGCGCCGGTGTGGATCGAGAGGAGGGAGAGGGTCGAGGGGGACGAGGAGGAGGATGCGGGTGGGGCGACGAGGACGGCGACGGTGTCGCCTGCGGGGTGCAGTGTCAGTGACGAACCGAACAGGCATTGTATGACGCACAGGGTGTGCGAGCAGGGACGCACCTTGCGGGTTCCACGCAATGCGAGCAACCTTGCCGACGGGCTGAGCCTTGCCCTTGCCCTTGAGGAGGCCCAAGCCGCCGAGTTTGCCCGTCGGTGGGGGAGCTGGAGGCGGTGGCGGGACCCACTCCCACACGCGGTCGGGAGCGGTGCCGGTGCGGTACAGGGCGAGGCGCGAGTCGGGCGCGTCCGGTGGGGAAGAGAGGGCGCACAGGTCGAGGTCGGCGGGGCAGAGGCTCGACGGGTGGAGGGCATGGGCGACTGGCAGAGTCTTGCTCGACAGGACGGGCAGGCTCGTGTCCATCTCGGCGTCGTGGTGAGGGGGTTTGACGACGCGGTTGATGAAGATGGCGGCGAGGCGCCCTCGTGGCGGCAACTGCAGCGAGAGGCTCGCGGAGGGTCGTGGGCGTGTCGTAAGCTACTGCTGGGCGTGTCGAGCAGTCGACTGTCCGGCCAGGCGGGGATGGCGACGGTGGGCGAACGCCAACGACGACCCGGCTCGCTCTCGCCTCGAGTCTCTCGCCCCTCATCGCTCGACAGCGCTCAGCTGCAGCTGCCACGAGCTACCAAAGCTGAGCAGCAACCCGCCAACGCGTGTCCAGCCGCGCCCTCGCCGTTGCCGCCTCTCGCCTTGTCACCGACCGCGCCCTCCCCGCTCGCGCCGACCACCTCCCGACCAGAGCACAGCGTCGCGCACCGCAGTACGTGGCAGCATCTAGCTGCAGGCAGGTGCGCCCAGCCTCTCTCCTCCTCTCTTGTTGGCGCGACAAAGGGACCGGCCGGGCGACCTGAGCGGCGACATCCTCCGCACCCAGGCCCGGGCAGCTGCAAGAGTGCGAGGCGTGTGCCCTGTGTGCCTTGTGTGCCCACCGGAAGCGTGTCCTGACGCCCCTTACGTCCCGTCGCAGCTCGACCACGACTCGCCTCCTCCTCCCTCGAGTGCACCGCCCCCACCTCGTTCGGCTCGCCTTGCCCTCGCTCGACCATGCAGCAGCGACCAGCAGACGCACAAGCCTCGTCCCGCAGCTTGCCTCGAGACGCCGGCCTCGAGGCGAACGCACCAGTCGAGCGACCCGTCGACACGGCGTCCACCAGGTCCGGGCGGTCCGCCAGCTCGCACCGCAGCGCTCGTCCGCCCGCACCGTCCGCCAACGACCAGGCCACCCTTCCCGCCCTCCCCGACGAGCTCCTCGCCGCCTTGTCGAGGGCACCGCCAGGCGAGGTCGGCCCGTCGGCGTCGGCGTCGAGCCAGGCGCACGGGCGCGCCAGCCTCGCTCTCGACATCGACCGCCCGACCTTCCTCCACCCGTCGCCGCCGACCCTGCCCGACGTCCCGCCGCAGAGTCCATTCGGCCTCGCGTACGCCTACCCCCTCGCGTCCTCGTCATCCTCCTCATCCGCCCACGCCTCGCCCACGACGCCTCGACCTCCCCCTCAATCGCCTGGCGCCACGCCCACGGCGCCGCTCGGCGGCTTCTCGTCAAACCGCACCGCGGCCGCCGTACCTTCACCCCCTCTCGATGCGCCGTCTCGCTCGCCGGCCCCGCCGCAGCAGCGACGCAGCCCTGCGCCGTCCCCTCCCATCTCGCGCACCCTCCCCTCCGTCTCGCCGAGCAAGCGCAACGTCTTCAAGGCGTTCAGCTTTGGCCGCACGACTCGTCCGCCGCACCCTCCACTACCCGGAGCGCCAGCCTCGAGCGAGTTCGCCGTGCCACCCAACCTCTCGCCGCCGGCGAGCGCATCCAGCGGCGAGTCGCGCCCGCCCTCGCAGTGGTCCCGCATCGCCAACGCTCCTCCCGCTCTCGCCACCACCTCGGCGCCGCCCATCTCGGCCGGCGCATCTTCGTCTCCCTCCCCCTCATCGTCCTCGCCCTTCCCCTCGTCGCGCGCTCGATCCGCCGTCCCGCCCACCGCGCTCCCGGCCCTCGAGCGCACCCGCACGGGCTCGTCCGCCACGACGGCGCCCTCGCTCGACACGGACGGCGACGACGGCGGCGGCAGCGGCGAGGCGGACGAGCTGTCGCGCAGGTGGAGCGCCCGGCCGGGAACGGCGGCCGAGCAGTTCACGCGCGACTTGCGCGGCGCGAGGCGCGAGAGCGTGCGGGCCCTGGGCGGCGCGCAGCACGGCGAGGTGGAGGAAGACGACGAGGAGCGGCTCGTGTACGATGACGAGGCGGACGAGGACGAGGGCGAGGGGGACGAGGCGCTCGGACCGCGAGGCGACGAGGCGGCGCTCGGGCGGCGCGCGAGCACGATGAGCTTGCGGCACCAGCTCGCGGCCTTCCCGCAGGTCGAGGACCACCCGCTGCCGCTCTCGTCGCTGCCCGTGCACGTCGAGGGCGGCGACGACGACGGCCCGGCCGAGCGCCTGTCGAAGCTCGACCTCGACGGCGTGTCCGCCGAGCGCGAGGCGTCGTTCGCGTCGTCGGCGCACGAGCCCGAGCTGGAGCAGCGCTCGCCCGTGTCGAGCGCCGACTTTATCGTCGCCGTCGTCGGGCCCCGGTCAGCCGGCAAGTCGACCGTCATCCGGCGCGGGCTCAAGCGACCTCCCTCGGCGCCCGTCGTCTTGCAGGAGGACGCCGAGGGGAGCCGCGTCACGACGAGCACGACGTCGTTCAGCATCAGCGGCGCGAGGAGGACGATTGAGGTGCTCGAGATCGACATGGGCTGCCTGCGGTACAGCGACGAGGGCGTCGTGTGGCCTGACGGCCTGCCCCAGTGCGAGGGCGCCATGCTCTGGTGCGTCCCACATCTCTCTCGCTCTCTCTCTGCTCGCGATCGTGGACCGGCATTAACGACTCGGCGCCCCGCAGCTACGACTCGACCGACCCCGACTCGCTCGACTCGCTGTCCCTCCTCCTCAAGGCGTTCTGGACCCGAGGGTCCGACGTCCCGCTCATCGTCCTCGCCTGCAAGGCCGCCCCGCCGACGACCGACTCGAGCGCCGCCGGCATGAACGCGACCGACCCCAAGGCGGCGGCGGCCGTCTGCAACGTGTACGGCGCCGGCATCGTCACGCTCGACGGTGGCCTCGACGACCCGCAGCGCAAGACCAAGGAGTGCTTCAACTGGCTCATCCGCCAGATCATGGACAACCGCGGCGAGCTCGTCCGCCCGGCGTCGGTCGCGTCGGCCACGGCCACCGCCTCGACCTCGTCCCCTACCACGAGCCGCCGAGGGTCGTTGCGCACCGCGACGCCGCTCGCGTGGGCCACGACGTCCTCGTCGCCCATCACGTCGCGCCCGCCGCCGACCGGGCCCTTGCCTGATCCGCCGTCGACGCCGCACGGGCCGCGCTCGAGCCGGCTCGTCCGCTCGGGCTCTGCGTCGCTCGGCCTCTCGGTCGTCGAGGAGGCTCCTCTCGGCACCTCCACGTCGATGTCGAGCTCGAACGTGCCGGCAGGCGACGGCAACGAGCCCGACTACGAGGCCGAGGCGCAGGCCGTCGTCAGCGCCATGCTCGCGAGCGTCGCCGCCGACGAGGACGACGACGGGCCACACGCACCATCGTCGCCTGTGCCGCGGCGACCAAGCGCGCCGGTCGAGCCCGGGTCGGCCGCGCCGACCTACAGGAGCGAGGCGCCGTCGTACCGCTCGCGGCAGGAGGAGAAGGAGGGGTCCGAGCGGGAGAAGGACCAGTTTCACGCCGGCGTCGTGCCGTATCCTCCTCCAGCAGCAGTCGAGCGACGAGGGTGCGCCCAGCTCTCCCTGGTCAAGCTCGAGCGAGCGAGCATGTCCTGACAAGCATCTCTCCCCCGGTACAGGTCGACCAAGCCTCAGTCGCTCGACCTCTTCTTCAAGCGCGACGACCTCGTCGACAAGTTCCTCTTTGCGTCCGTCGCCGGCAACGGTGCGTCCGGCCTCTTTCAGGCCCGCCCCGTCCGCACTGGCCCTGACTCGCCCTCCCGCTTGCAGACGAGCAGTTCGTCACGCTCTTCCTCATCACGTTCCGCCGGTTCGCCCGGCCGTACGACGTCCTCGAGAAGCTCGTCGAGCGGTTCCACTTTGTCGCGGGCAAGATGGCGAACGATCCGCTCCTGTGCAGGTTCGGCCAGATGAAGTGCGTCGCCCGACTCTCTTCTCCCTCCTCCTCGATCGCGCTCTGACCTCCCTCTCCTCACCTGCAGGCTCTGCAGCGTCCTGTCGACCTGGATGCAGAACTATCCGGGCGACTTTGCGGCGCCGGCGACGTTCGACCTCGTCGAGCGCTTTCTCGAGAGCCTCCTCCCGAGCGGCGCGACCTGGGTCGCCCACTACGCCTTCGAGCTCGTCCCGCTCCTGCCGTCCATCGCCAAGCTCGTCGACCCTGAAGCGGGCTGGGCTCTGCCCGACAAGGCGCACGTCGATCCGGCCTTCTCGCCTCCTCGTCCTCCTCCTGCGCCTCGACCTGCCGCACCGCCCATGTCGCGTCGCGGCTCTCTCGCCCCGTCGTACGACTCGACCTCGAGCGTCACCCACGACGCGCCCAACACGAGCCCGTCGGCGTCACGCCTGTCGGTCCCCGGCTCGGTCGACAACCCGGGCGAGCCTTCCGCCAGCTTGGGCTTCGGCCTCGGCGCCTCGATGCAGCGCACGACGAGCGACACGGGCACCGACGGCTCGAGCAGCATCCTCGCTCGTAACGGCGTGCCGAGCAGTGCCGTCCTCGTCGACCTGAGCAACGCCGTCGTCGAGATGCGCGAGCAGGACGTGGCGACTCAGATCACGAGGATCGCGTGGGACATCTTTGGCGGCATGTCGGTGCGTCCTCTCTTCGTCTCTCTCGGATTCGTTTCGGCTCGTCATCGCGATCAGGGCGCTCACACTGCGACTCGCCCGCAGCCTCGCGACCTTCTGCGACACGTTCTCGCGCCGAGGGACCCGCACAACCCCGAGGTGGCTCTGCGCGACTCGACAAGCCCTGTCGCACGCTCCATCAACTTTGTCAACGTGCGTCCCTCATTCCTCTCTGGCGCCGCACGGACCTCGTACCCGGTCTGACTTCGTCGGCTCGCCGCTCGCAGCACCTCGCGAGCTGGACGGCGACGCTCATCCTCGTGCAGAGCAAGGTCAAGGCGCGCGCTCGAGTCGTCGAGAAGCTCCTCCTCGTCGCCGTCGCCCTGCGCGAGCAGGAGAACTTCGACTCGCTCATGGGCGTCCTCGCCGGCCTCAACTCGCAGCCGATCTTCCGCCTCACCGAGACGATGGAGCTCGTCACGACCAAGCTCGACGGCGATCCTCGTGCCCAGCCTCACCGCATGGCGCAGCCCGACGGCGACAAGAACCGGCTGCCCAAGAAGCTGCTCAGCCTGAACCGGCTCATGGCGGCGTCGAAATCGTTCGCGGCGTACCGCCTCGCGCTCGCCAACTCGGGCATCAACATGATCCCGTACCTCGGCGTCCACCTCCAGGACCTGACGGTCACGAACGAGATGAAGAGCGACATGCGCGGCGGCAACGTCAACTGGTCCAAGATGAGCCAGCTCGGCAAGAGCGCCGCCGTCGTCCTCGATTGCGCCCGGGTCGCGCCCAAGCTCGCCGTCGACCGCACAATCGAGCGCTGCATCCTCAATGCGCCCGTCCTCGATGAAGATGTGCGTCCTCTCCTTCTCTCTTTCTCTCCAATGCCCGCCGTCGTTGCGCACGAGCCTCTCAGACTGACTCTCGCTTCCCGGCCCCTCTCTCTCGCAGCGTCAATACGCCCTGTCCTACGCTCACCAGCCTCGGCAGAACGGCAAGTCGGGCGCACGAGCTCGTCTGCGCGAGTTTGCCAAGTCGACGTTCTGAGCGGCGCCCGCTCGAAGATACCCTGGCTCGATGAGATACCCCCTTCTTCCTCCCTTTTGTCACTCGCTATACCTCTGCAACACAGCTCGTTATCCTCTCGATGAGTCATGCAGAGAGACAACACGGTCGCGAGGATGCAGAGAGATAAAGACAAAGCTACAGCGACGAGTCCGACTTGACGCTCAGTCCTCCTTGTCGCGCTCGTCGAGCTTGCGCTCGAGGCGCTCGACGGTGGCGACGAGCCCTTGGATCATGGCCACGAGCTGCGCCGGGCTCGCCGCACTCGCCTCGGCGCCCGCCTCTCCTCCACCGACGCCCGGGCTCGCTCCTCGGCCGCCGAACGTCGCCCAGTTGCGCGCCTGCACGCTCGTGCCCGCCCCGGCTCCCTCGCTCCCGTGCCGCCCATGGCTCTGTCCCATGCTCATCCTGCGCCGCATCGCGCCGGCCCTCGTGCCGCCCGGCGCCGCTCCCGCTCCAGCCTCGAGCAGCTCGTCGTCGCCCATCTGCTGCCCGTACAGCCTGGCTAGAGGGCTCTCGCGCAGCGGCGCCGACGTCGACGACAGGAAGTCGAACGCGCTGTCGTTGTGCCCGCCGCCGCTGCCGCCCGTGCTCGAGCGCGTGTTGTGCCCGAACGAGCTGCGGCGAGCCTTGCCGCCGCTGCTCGTGCTCGCGCTCAGGCCGCCGCTGCCGCCGCCGCCGGCGTTGGCGGGCAGACGCTCGCTAACCGTGTGGGAGCGGCGCAGCTTGGTGCCGGCCTCGGCCGCCGACGAGTACGGGAGGACGGGCTCGGGCGCAAAGTGCGTGCGAGGCTGGGGCGGCGCACGGCCCGAGTCCTTTGGCGGCGACTCGGAGAAGACGGCGGCGATGCTCTGCAGCGGCTTGGTGCGCTCAGGCGAGATCTTGCGCGGCAAGGTGGTGCTGCTGGACGCGGGCGACGAGCCCGCCGGCGGCGAGCGAGCGACGCCGAGGCTCGGGTATCGCGGCGGCCGCGACTTGGACGCCGCCCGGATCGTCGACGCCTCGCTCGCGCCTGCGAACGACGCTTGCCGCGAGAGCGGGACGGGCGCAGACGGCGTCGAGGTGCCAGAGCCGACGAAAGACGACGCGCTCGAGCCCGTCGCGCCGTGCGCCATGCGCTCGTGCGCGGCGTTCATGCGCGCCGGGTCGAGGACGACCGAGGCGCGGCTGCTGATGCGCTGCGGGACGGGCGCCTGCTGGATGTTGACCTCGGCGATCGCCTCCTCGACCTCGTCCTCGCCGCCGAGAAACGAGTCCTCGTCGAACTCGTCGTCGGTCGAGTCCTTCTCGTCGCCTGACGGTGTGTACTCAAAGACGGCCTCGCACTCCCAGTGCGCGCCCTCGAGCAGGCTGAGCTTCTGGGCCCACTTGCGCGGCAGCTTGGCCGTGATGGCGACCTTGGCGTCGGTGAACCAGTCGACGAGGACCGAGCCCGACGCCGTCTGGCGCTCGTACAGGGCGATAAAGAGGAGGATCGGGAGCGACAGGGTGCGCGTGGCGACGACGTTGACCTTGTGGAACCACCGCGGCGAGAGGAAGTGCGAGAGGGGCCACATGACGCCGAGCGCGACGAGGTTGAGCGGCGGCACGTCTGTAGATGCGCAAGAGTGAGGACAGGAACACTTGAGGAGACGGTGCGAGACGGCAAGAGGGACGCACAGTCGAACAAGCTGTCGGCCTTGACGCCCTCGAAGCACGAGACGGCTTTGCGGAACATGTCCTCGGCAGCCTGCGTCGTTCGTCAGGCACGTCAGTCGAGGAACGAGAAGGAGAGGACGAGGGAGAGAGAGAGGGACGTACAGCATCCGACGCGATGCTTGCGTAGGTCGTCGAGAGGATCGCGACGAGGACTGAGGTGAGGAGCGTGTTGCTCAAGGCGGCGAACGAGACGAACAGGATCGGGCCGAGGACAGGGTCGAACTTGGGCGACTCGTCGATGCCCGAGCCGTCGAGGCCGAAGAAGATAAAAACAAGCCTGCGAGGGAAGAAGCTGAGTCAGGAACGGTGGCGAGGAGGCGCGAGAGAGGACGCCCAGGCGCAAGGACGCACCACTCGCTGATGCGGATGACCGAGTAGTCGCCCTCAGACAGGTGGCTGAGCGCAAAGACGAAGCCGATGAAGCAGAAGACGGTGATGCTGCGAGAGAGAGAGGGACAAGAGGTCAGTCTCGACCGGGAGGAGAGGGGGAGGTGGGCCGCAGAGAGGACTCACCCCATGAGGTAGAAGAAGTCGGCGAGCATGGCGCGCAGGCTCAGAATGAGGAGGTTGTTCGAGATGGTGGCAAAGGCGAGCCTGTGGCGGAGCGAGAAAGGTCGTCAGGGAGGGGCCTCGAATGAGAGAGAGAGGACGGCGCGACGCACCTCGGGAAGAGCAGACAGGCGGCAATGCTGAGGATGGCGTACGAGCGGTCGCTCGCCTGCATGTCGTTGTGGGCGACGCTGTGCAGGCGAAGGACGAACGCGGCGACGTAGATGGGCACGCTCGCCGCGTCGAGGCCGTTGGTCAGGCCCGCCGCGTAGACGGACCAGCCGTGCTCGGCGATCGACGCGAGCTTGTCGAGCGAGTACCCGAGCGAGTAGATCCACCACCACACCTCGACGAACGACAGCTCCGAGGCAGGTAGCTCGTCCTGGCGGTTGTGGCGGTCGATGATGACGAGGAGGAACGAGACAAAGAGGACGATGAAGTTGCCGTTGTCGATGATGGCGCGGTACTTGGGCACGCGCAGGCGGTAGTGGTCGAGGAGGGGCGCCTCGCGCACGTTGTAAAGCGCGATCTCCTTGCTCTTCCACCGGTCGCCGAGGACCTCGATGAAGCTCGAGCTCGAGTACGTGATCTTGCCGTCGTAGATGGCCGTGATGACGCGCTGGGTCGCCTGCGACTTGATGAACAGGCGCGCCTTGCCGAGGATGGCGAGCTCGAGGGCGTTGGTGCGGCCGGCGCCCTCGGCGGCGACCCGACTCGCGTACCCTTCTCGCTGCCGGATGCGCTCGATGACCTCGTCGCTCGCGCCCTGGAACGCGTGGAACCCGCCGACGAGCGCGCGGGCCATGGCGAGGATGCCCTGGTTCGGGCCCTTGACGAGGGCCGCCTGGTGCCGCAGGAGCTTGATGGCGAGGAGCTCGCACAGGTGGGCGCGCGTGTCGTTGAGCGTGCTCGAGGCGAGGAGCGAGTCGCGCTCGCGGATGAATTGGAGGCGGCACAGGAGGAGGACGTAGACGATCGAGGGTTCCTCGGCGGCGGCGAGGAGGGCCTCGAGCGGCTGGATGATGGCGAACTGGATCTCGGGGCTGCTCGAGACGAGGTGTCAGTACACTGTGCAACCCTGCTTGCGCCCCTAGAGAGAGTGGGGGAGGGCTCACCTCCTCATCTGCTCGTCCGAGAGAGGGACGTCGACATAGGCTTGGATCGTGCGGAAGGTCAAATGGCTGCGCGCATACCAGTCGTTAGATACTGCTCGAGGCCCGCACGCTGCCCCTCCCGCCCCTCAGACGCCTGCGCCGCCCGCTCCCTCCCCGCTGACGAGGGCGGATCCCGCTCGCTCGCCCGCCTCGACTCGCCACACAGAGTCAGAAGGGAGAGAGGGACGCACACCGAGCCAAAGACGTTGCACGCTGCGATCTGCTCGTCCTCGTCGAAGAAGCGGTCGGCCCTGCGCGCCTTGCACACCCGGCTCTCGGGCTCGGACGAGGTCGGCGCGTCGTTGCCGCTCAGGCGGCCGAGCGGTGGCGGCGAGGAGAGGAGAGGTGTGCGCTCAGAGGCCATAGTGGCAGAAGCCGCCGCGGCGGGGCGAGGCGTGGTGGTCGAGGAGACAGGAGAACCAAGTGCGAGGAGGCGGTGCTTCTCTCATTCTCGCTTCGACCTCGTGCTTCGCTCTCTTGCTCGACAAGCTCGTGCTCTCGGCAAACTCGGCTCACTGCGACGCTCTGTACATTTCGCTGAGGAGGCCGCTCGACTACTTGTCCTTGGCCGACTCGCTGTCCTCGACCGTCCAGCTGAACCGGCCCGTCGCCTCGAGCCGCTCGACGAGCACGTTGCCGAACGCCGTCGCCGGCGTGAGGAACCCGCCCTGCTTGGCCAAAGGCGACAGGCGATCGTGGTCCTTGAGGAGGCACAGCGCGCACGACGAGATGAGGACGGCCGTCGCGGCGTAGCCCGGGTCGCCCTTGCCCTTGCCGACGACCTGCACCTCCTTGCGGCCGTCGACGCTCTTGGCGACCGTCGTCACCTCGTACCAGCCGTTCTTCTGCGACTCGGCGCTCGGGCCGTCGCCGGCCTGGGTGACGAGCTTCTTGACGAGCCAGCGGAACGGCGGGAAGAACACTGCGTGGCCGAGGGGAGAGGTGAGCCCGTGCTCAAGAGAGGAGAGAGAGAGAGAGAGAGAGAGAACGAGAGGGACGCACACGTGGCAAAGGCGGAGAAGAAGGTGAGCGACCCGAGGAAGGCGACGAGCGGGCCACCGGGGACCGAGAGGAACTCGGCGTAGTTGAACTTGGGGCCGTACGCCTGCGCGCGCGACGCCGAGTCGTCGGCCGCCTCGAGGATGCCCCACGAGCGGTTAACAACTTGCTCGTTCAGCGGCGCCATCAGCCAGTACATGCCCCACTGGGTGCGGCCCTGGTACGTCATGCGGTCGATGAACGCCGGCACCTTGGAGCGCGGGCCCGTGACGGGCGACAGGGCGTACGGGCCCATCGAGCGCTTGCGCTCGTCCTTGTCCGGGTTCTCGAGGACGCCCAGGATGGACGCGATCGTGCCGCCCGACACGCCGCCGCGAGCTTGGAAGCCGCTGCGGACGTGGCCGGCGTCGGCGCCGAGCTTCTTGAGGCGCTGCACGGCGAGGTAGGCGCCGATGTCGGACGGGATCGAGTCGAAGCCCGACGTCGAGACGAGGATGGCCTTCGAGTCGAGGGCCGAGCGGGCGTAGCGAGTGACGGTGCGCTGGATGAAGGGGCTCTCGCCCGACAGGTCGCAGTAGTGGACGCCCTCCTCGGCGCACACCTTGACGAGCGGCTCCCCGTACTGCATGTAGGGCCCGACGAGCGACGCGACGACCTTGACCTGCTTGACCATGGCGCGCAGGCTCGCCTCGTCGCCCGAGTCGGCCGTGAGGACGACGGCGGGCTTGACGCCGAGCTGCTTCATCGTGTCGTCGAGCTTCTGGCGGTTGCGGCCGCCGACGGCGAGCTTGAAGCCCTGCTGGACGGCCTCGGTCGCGAGGTACTTGACGACGAGCTGGCCGGTGAAGCCCGTGGCGCCCCAGACGAGGATGTCGGCAGTCTTGGCGCTCATGCTGGTGGTGCGTGTAGGCTGTGGGAGGCGGAGGGTGAGCTCGAGAACGCGGACGAGGTTGCGCGTGAAGCGGGAGCTCACCGAGTCGGCGAGGGGGAGGGGCGGGGGCGGGACAGGCGGTGCGGGATGATGCTGAGGGTCGAGTGGATCGAGTGCTGGTGCCCGTGTGCTGGTCTGGCGAGGCTGGATCGAGCGGCGAGACTGGTGGGAGGAGAACCACCGCGCTGCCCTCCCATCGCTCCGGCTCCGACTCGGCCTCTCGCCGACAAGCTCAATAGCCACGTTCGCTGCGTCCGCACGCTTGTACGCAGCAGCCATGTGGCGCTGTGCCCTGCGCCCTGCGCCCCGACAGCTGCTCGGGGCTGCCGGCGCATCTCGACGAGGAGCGGTGACGCGGATCGGCTCTGGCGCAGCGCCACAGATCTGCAGAGTTCGCTCTCCAGCACGCTCGAGCACGGCTTGTCCGCGCGCACCACTCGTCTGACGGACAGGGGCGCCGGACGGACGCCGCGAGGAGCCCGCTTCGCCGAGCAACTGCCCGACCTCCTCCTCCGCCTCGAGCCGGTCGTTGCGCGGTCGTGCAGGAGCTGGACACTCTCCAGGGTGCAGTTGGAGCCGTTACAGCAGGCCGGCAGACAGGCGAGGACCTGCAATCGTGCTTTCTCTCTCCTCGAGCGCGACGCGGCGGCGCAGCGAGCGGTTCTCGACAGACCGCTCGTCCGGCAGCTCCTCTTGCTGCGCGCTCGCGCAAGCTTCCGACTGCGACGCGTCAAGCCGAGATCGGCCCTCGCTCACACGAGCGGAAGCGGCGTGCTCGCGCTTCGTCCGCCCCGCGTTCCGTTCGGTCCTCTCGCCTCGTGTTTGCTTCCTCTCGCTCTCGCCGTTCGCTGCTTTGCCACACCCGGGACTCAGACGAGCTCTAGCAAGCTTGCTGTGGCCTCAGTACTTGGCTCAGCCGCCTCGCGCCGTCGCCCACCTCGTCGACGACCTCGTCCGCCAACCTCGGTCGCCTGTCGCCTCGATGGACGCCGCCGTGCTCTGCGTAACACTGGGCGGGGCTTGCCTAGCGTGCGTCCACGTTTCTCTCTGATGCCGGCAGACAACGCGAGCTCACCTCAAGCGCAGCTTCGTCTGCTCGACCTACACCACCCTCCGCACCCTCCTCCCGCTCCTCCCAGGTCACCCTCTCAACCCTCGACCGCCGCCTGGATCGACCACACCACCTCAGCGACCCCGCCTCAAGTCGGCTCAGCGTTTCGCCGCCTACCTCGCCGCCTCGGACATTCGTGAGCTGCCCCTCTCACCGCTCCTGTTCGCGCATCGCTAAAAGTCCCTTTCCTGCAGTCGCCGTTATCGTCCTCGTCATCGAGGTCGCTCTCGCCGTCGGGCGCAACGTCGAGCTCGGCGCATCCAGGGGCGCGGCAAGCCGGCTCTACCTCGCGACGACCGCTCGACCGACGCTCCTCCTCGTCGTCGCCATCCTCAGCTACACCAACGTCGTCTTTGGGCGCTCGATCGAGCTCGGTCGCGCCGACTGGATCGTCTGGCTGCCGGCCCTGTGCCTGTACGGCGTCGGAGCCGGACTCGCAGCGCTGCCTCGTGCAGAGAGCCGCAACGTCTGGATCGGTCTCGCGAGCTGGCTCTCGGTCGTCACCCTCATCAGTGCGTCCTCACTCTCTCTCTCTCTTTGTCTACAGCCTGGCGAGCGTGAGTCCTGACGACCCCCTTTGCCGCAGTCACGGTCTGCTTCGGCCGCCTCCTCGTCGCCATCCTGCGCGTCCGCCGCATCACGCAGCGCGAGCAGGCCTTTTCGCCGTTCGCCCAGCAGCAGCAGTACCGCGTGCCCGTCTCGCAGGGCGACATGCCGTACGACCCGACGCTGCCCGCCTTGCGCCACAACTTCTCGGGCCTGTCGACCTCGTTCGTCCACTCGATCGGCCGCTCGACCTCGACGCTCGACGTCCTCAACGCTCGGCCGTCCATGGCGCCGTCCTGTACTTCGACCGAGGACCTCCACTTTGATCACGCCCGCGAGTTTCGCTCGCCCACGCCCGGGTCGGCGCACCTCCTCCTGTTCGACCGATCGACGACCGCCACGCCCGCCTCGTACCTGTCGGGCCGCAATACGCCGCAACTTGGTCCTCGGCTCCCGGCGTTCGAGGACGAGCGCGAGGTCATTGCCGGTGCGCGCGGCGACGAGGGCGGCGGCGGCAGCACGCGCCGCAGCGAGTCGGTCCGGTCGAGGGTCTCGCTCAGCTCGATGACGTCGCGCGCCTCGACGTACCTCGCGCCGAGTGCGCTCGTCGGCGGCGGCGGCGGCGCGGCGGTGCGCAACGCGCTCCTGAAGGAGGCGTGGGGCGGGCAGACGCCGCCTGGCACGGGCCACGCGCCCAAGGTCGAGCTCAGCTCGAGGGAGGCTCGAGGCGCGCTCGTGCGCATCGGTGGGCACCTCCTCTGCGGCCTTGTCAGCTACGTGCGTCCCCTCTCGCCACTTGCCCCCTCCTTGTCGAGCGAACCCTGATTAATCGGCCTTCCCAACTTGCAGGCCCTCGTCTCGCCCTTCGTCTTCCGGCGCCTCGTCCGCGCGAGCGCCGCCGCACCTCTCGCCACCTCAATCCTCCTCATCCTCGGTGTCGCCCAACCCGCCGTCATCCTCGCCTGGCAGTGCTGGGCGAGCGAGGGCTTCTGGTTCCGCCGACCGGCGCCACCCGTCCTCACCTCGTCGACAGCGGCGCATTTCGAGGGCGTCACCGTCGAGTCGACCCGGGCGAGCGGCGACATGTACGAGCGCTCGCAGAGCCGCGCCTCGACGCCCATGTCGTGGCGCACGGTCCCGCCGGGCATTTCGCCCGACGGCGAGGACTGCGCCCCGGCGCCGCGCGGCACGATCGGGCGTGCCGTCTCGATGCTCGCGACGCACCCCAAGCTCCAGGTGCTCCCGAGCGACGGCGCCGAGCCGTACTCGATCGCGTCGGGCTTCGCCAAGTCGGCGTCGGCCGGGCACGCCCGCCTGCGGTCGCTCAAGCTCTCCAAGACGACGCTCGGCGAGCTCGGCGCCGCGGGTCGCGCTCGTTCGTACAGCATCACGAGCCGCAAGACGGTCGGCGGGTTCGAGCACGCGCGCAGGGCGTCGGCGCCCGTCCACGTCGCGACGGCGACCGACGAGCTCATCGCCCTGTCGCTCCTGCGCACGCGCAAGCCGTCGACCGACGAGCCTCGCCTTCCCGACAAGCCTCGAGTGCCGTTCGGGTTCGCTCGCTCGACGCTCGACGTCGTCGGTCGCGCGAGGAGCCGCTCGAGGTCGCGCTCGCCGTCGCCGGCCATCACGCCGACCGACTTCCACTTTTCGACCCGCGAGTTTAGCCTCACGCCCACCTCCTCCATCGCGCCCGCCTCGCCGCCTCCTACCCAAATGCCAGCGCCGCACGATGCCCTGCCGACGATCGACTACTTGTCGGCGCACGTCCTCCCGCACCTTGTCCCGTCAATCAAGCTCGGCAGCAACGTCAAGGTCGGCCCCAAGGACGCGCCGATGCCTCGTCGCCCGTCGAGCGTCGCCGCCGCACCTCTCGCCGCGACGCACGCCTCGGGCTCGCTCGGCGTCCGCTCGGCGAGGTCGCTCGCGGCCTTCTCAAACGGCGGGTCGCTCGGCGCTCGCAGCGCACGGGCTCGCCGCCGCATGTCGCTGCCCCTGTTCGTCCAGCAGCAGTCGCCGAGCGCGCCGAGGCCGTCGCAGGACGTCTGGGTCGCCGTCGACGAGGCGCCGGCGCCGGCGGCCAACGCGGCGCAGGAGGAGGTCCGAGCGGCCTCGCGGGAGGAGGCTGCGCCGCCCTCGCCGCCGACGCTTCATGCGCCGTCGTCGGTCGACGGCGTCGACGCGCGACGAGCCAGCAGCTCGCAGGGCGGCAGCGCCAAGAAGTGGGACGAGGTCGAAGCGGCGGCGAGGGAGGTCGAGGCGGCGGTCGAGGCGCTCGGCTCGCGCAGCCCGTCGCCGGCCGTCCCGCGCGAGTCGACGGGACGTCTTCTTCCCAGGACGGCGTCGAGCGGGACGCTGCTCGACATCTCGTTCGAGTGGGAGTGCGAGACGTCGGTCGAGGTCCTCGACGACGAGGCGGGCACGCTCGCCGACGAGTCGTCCTCGTCCGACGACGACGACGACGGCGACGACGCAGGCGCCGAGGCGACCGGGCCCGAGGTGCACCGGCATGCCCGTCGACTCGGGCCGCCCTCGTCGCCGCTCTTCTCGCCGACGACCTCGAGCTTCGGGTCGCTCTACCTGTCGTCGCCGAGCGCGCAGCCTCGTCGCTCCCCTGCCGGGTCGGTCATCCTGCGTGGCTCGCACGTCATGAGCGAAGAGGACGTCGAGGACGCCCTCACGGGCACGGTCCACTGCGCGACGGTCCGCCCGATCGGCCGCGACTCGGACTCGGACGCCGCCGAGCTCTCGAGCTTCGGCCTGCGCCCGACCCACCCCGCCGTTGCCTCGATCGGCTCGGCGGGCTCGTTGGCCATGTCGTCGGACTACTCGTCGCTCGCCACGTCGCAAGAACGCCGCAACATGCTCTCGAACGAGCGTACGTCTCTCTCTCTTTTTCTCTCCCTGCCCTGTTCGCCCCTCTTTCCCTGCGCACGACTGACTCGACTTGCGTCTCGCAGCCTGGCACGTGTTCTCGAGCGACGGCGGCATCGTCTCGGCCAAGCAGGGCAGCCGGCGCGCGCTCCCCGTTCCGCCCCGTCGCCGGTCTTTCCTCGGCCAGCGCGACCTCAACGACGGCATGTCGCTCTCGGACGACGACGACGACGACGACGACGACGACGACGACATGCGCGAGACGGTCAAGGTCGTGCAGCTTTGCGGCGCCAACGACGAGCGCGACTCGAGAGCGGCATCGTCTTCTCGCTCAAGCGCATCTCGTCCCTCGACGTCAGCGATACCGCCGGCGCTCGAGGACCTCGCCAGAACCTCGTCCTCGTCGCTGTCCGCGGCACCGCCAAGGGCGGCGAGGCAGCTCGTCGAGCGCTCGGCAACAGGCTCGTGCGCAAAGCGAGCGACGTCGCCGTTCGAGCGCGCGAGCGGTTCTGCGTCCGGGGCCGCCCAGTCGAGCAGTACGACCCTCGTCACCTCGACCATGACATCAACCGCCGGGCCGCACGAGGGTCGCGCCGTCGGCGAGCGCGTGCCGGACGAGAACGTCGACCCGAGGTAGGTTGGGTCGCTCGCCGGTTTGCGCTCAAGGCCGCTCCCGGCGCCGCCGCGCCGCCGCCCGGATGGTCATGGCGGTCTGTGCGGTCCGCGTTGAGCACTCTCGCCGTAGCTCTCGTTCGTAGCTTGTACGTGCGGCGCCAGTCCGATTCCAAGTCCGTCTTCCGACTTCCTCGAAAGGTGCACGAGCGAGATAGTTCTGCCTCGCTCGCCCCGTGCATAGAGAGCACGAACGATCCTCTCTCTCTCGCTCGAAGACGGACTTCTCGCTTTCAGTGAGGACGCAGAGTCGAAGAGACGGCCACAGATGCAGTGCGAGAGAGAGAGAGAGGGAGAGGGCGACGGCTCTGACACGGGGTGCGAGCGTCGCGGCCGACGAGGGGAACGAAAAGGAGAGACGAACGAGAGGCGAGAGCGCTGTGCGCGACAAAGATGGTAGGGAAGACAACGACATAGGGAAGGTACTGAGGGGGAGGATCAAGCGAGGGGCGGAACGAGAACGAGGGAGAGCTAGGGGAGGGGGTCCTGGCGAAGCTGTGCGACGCAAAGGGCGAGTGAGGGTCGGCGAACGCGGTCGAGGAAGAGCGGACGAGTGGGGCTGACGAGGGTGAGGAAGGCGAGTGAGGGAAAAGGGGCGAGGTAGGGAAAGAGGCGGGGTGCATGAGGGCGAATGGAGCTGCGCGAGAGACGACGGGTGAGTTCTGCGCGGACCAGTCTCGAGAGTGGCACATTGAGAGAGTAGGAGGGGACGTACAGTGAGTTGAGCGCCTCGTCGGTCTCAGGCGTCCTCCTCCCGCCTCTGGCCGTGCGGGCCGCTCGAGCGTTCCGGCTTCGAGACGCCGGCACGCTGCGGCGCCGCGAGGCCCTGCCTCTTGACCCGCTCCAGCCTGTCTGCCCGGTCGAAGCGCCTCGCCTGCTCCTCTGCGCTCATCGCTCCCGAGACAAGCTGCTCGGCGTGCACGACGCCGCCGGCGCCCTTGTAGCCGTAGTTGACGCCGCGCAGGTCGGACGAGACGAGGGGCGCGCGCAGACCCGCTCGATGCAGCTCGTGGCGCAGGATCTCGACCTCGCGCCTTAGGCAGCGCATCTCGCTGCGGCGGGCCTGCGCGTCGGCGGCGTTGCCGAGCTGCTGCTGCGGGTCGGGCGCGTGCTTGGCGGCAGCAGCGACGGCGGTGGAGGGAAGAAGTGCCGAGATGACGGCGCCGCGAGCGACAGGAGGTGCACCGGCCGACGTGCTCGCCGCACTCTTGACGCCATCGCCCACGCCCTGGTAGTCGTCGCCGCTGTCGACCGCGTCGCCGCCGGCCTCAGACACACGCCGCGTCCAGACCTCGAGCGCGCGCCCCGTGAGACGAGCGCTCACGACCTCCTCGAGCCCGAGCAGCCAGTGGGCGATCGACGTGCGCTTGCCGCGCGAGGCGACGATGAGGTGCTTCGAGATCATGTCGACGAGCTCGTCGAGTTGCGGCTGGAGCTCATCGATGGGGGCGCCGGTGCCATCGAGCGCGGCGACGAAGAAGGCGCGGACGTCGTGCGAGTGAAGGAGGTGCGGTGGCGGTGTGGCGAGGGCGGCGAGGTCGAGAGTGCGGGTGCAAGACGGCCCTGCGACAGGCTGCGGACCGAGGAGAGGTCAGCGCGGGGCGGACGAGGGAGGGGAGGAGGACGACGCGAGAAGAGGAGCGCGTAGGACGCACCTGCTGGGCCGGCGAGGCCATGCTGGAGGTTGAAGAACCCGACAGGTTGTCGTACAGATAGAGGCGAGCACTCCTCGAGCTGGGTCGACGACGAGTTGGGCGAGTTTGGACGCGGCTGATGAGGACGAAAGCGGCTCGACGGCAGGCTCGGGGCGCGCGGGAACTGGAGCGAGAGGATCGAGAGAAGGTGCTTGAGGGTAGCAGTGCCGGCTGCTCGCTCTCTGGCGGTGCGAGGCGAGGTGCGAGGTGCGAGAGCACGCGCTTCGTGCGGGGGGAGACTCGGACTCGCACCTCGACTTGCGCTCGCTCGCTCTCCTCTCGACGGTGCTGCACGCGGTACACTCTCTCGAGACGACGGGGCGAGAGCTGGGGAAAACGGCCACAGATGCAGGGCAGGAGAGAGAGAGAGCGAGGGCGATAAAAGGAGGTGCGAGCGTCGCGGCGACCGGGTCTGACCAAGAGGGGAGAAGACGACCGAGGCGAGGCGAGAGCTGCACGAGGGCAGACAAGGTAGGGAAGACAACGACATAGGGAAGGTACTGCGAGGGAGAATCAAGCGAGGAGGGGGAACGAGAACGAGGGAAAGGTGGGAAAGGCGAGAGAGGGAGGGGAGGGGGAGCGTCGGCGACCGCTCGACTCGTGCGACGGCGTGCGGGGCGGTGTTGAAGGAGAGTGCCTAGCGTCGTCGAGGCGGAAGAGGAGGAGCCGGGACGGGTGCGGCGAGGTGAGGGCGTGAGGTGAAGGGAGGAGGAGGGGGACGAGGTGTAGCGAGGTCGGGTTAGGGCAGGTGCAGGTGTGGCGGATCGTTGAGTCCGGTGACGCGTTGCACAAGATGGGTCGAGGAAGGATCGGTGTGCGAGGCGAGGAGGGCGAGGAAGGCGAGGAAGGCGAGAAAGTAGAGACGGGCGGCAGGAGGTCGAGGCGCGGCCGAGGCGAGCAAGAGAGGGGAGCTGCACGACGAGAGAACGTGTCAGTTCCGTCGGGCCTTATCAGAAGGAGGAGAAGAGAGAAAATAGGCGCACGAGTGCTCGGTCGACGGCTCGGGCGCCTCAGGCCTCGTCCTCGTCGCTCCACCTCTCTCGCTCCTCCTCCCGCACGCGCGACGACTCGTCCGAGTCCTCCTCCGAGCTCTCGCCCGAGCCCTCATCCGAGCCCTCATCCGAGGCCTCCTCGACGGCGGCGGCGACGGCGGGCGCCGCAGATCTCGCGCGAGGGCGCCGGACGTCGTCCCGCAGCGCGTCCCGGCGCGCCTGCTCGTCCAGCTCCTCCACCGCTGCACCGTGCTCGGCTCCGCCCTCGCCCTCCTCGTCCGAGTCGTCGCTCCCGGTCGAGGACGCGACCTCGACGGCTCGCTCGTCGTCCTGCTCGCCCTCGAGCGCCGACTCGTCGTCGTCGTTGCGCTCGGCCGACTTGACCTTGTGCTCGAGCGAGCGCTCGTCGGTCGAGTCGTCGACGGCCGAATGGTCGGCGGTCGAGTCGTCGGCGGTCGAGTCGTCGGCGGTCGAGTCGTCGGCGGTCGAGTCGTCGGCGGTCGAGTCGCCTTGGTCGTCGTCGTCGTCCTTGACGTCGTCGCTCGCGACTGTGCCGGCGCCCTTGACCTTGGACGACTGGTTGGCGGTCGGCGCCGCGTCGTCCTCGCCGTCGGGCTGCTCGGGCAACGGCTCGTCGTCGTAGTGGTAGTCGGGCGCCTCCCACGCCGGCTGCTCGAAGTACGGGTTGTCCGACGGGTCGCCGCCCTCCTCGTCGTCGTACAGGACGCCGTGGGCGTTCCTCCAGCCGATGACGAGCCCGTCGCGGCGGCTGATGACCGGCGTGCGCCCCCCCAGCCGCCACACCTTGTCCTGCTGAGCGTCGATCAACCGCCCGTCCTGAAGCCGCAGCCACAGGAACAGTCGGAGATCGCGGCACAGCTCGTCGAAGCTGTCCACCGCGAGCTGCTGCAGCGTCAGGGTGACGGCGGACTCGCTCGACGGCAGTCCTGGCTCGAGCGCCGCTGCCTGCTCGGCGAGAGAGGGCAGGTGCAGGGCGCTTCGAACATCGTCGCGAGGCCCAACGACGTGCTCGACGATGTCCTCGAGCTTGCCGCGCTGCGCCGGCGGCGTCTTGGCGATGTCCTCGCGGATGCGCTCGATCTGGAGGCGAGCCGGGTGAACATTGAGGACGGCGTACGTGACGTCCCGGCGCAGGTACGGCGCGCGAGGAGACTCGCCGCGCACGAGGTCGTGGATGTCGTCGAGCACGTGCCCCGGCGGCACGAGATCGACCCGGAACTTTTCGCGCACAGGCGCGGGCTGCTCGGCGCCGCCGTCGTCGTCACGAGCGACCCGACGTGCACTCGACGCGTCGCCGACTTTGACGGCGGCGCCGGCGACATGGCCGCCCGCCGACGTGACGCCGTTGGCCGCCCGGCTCGCGCGGAGGACGACGTCCTTGGACGCTCGCGGCGCGCCACGCGAGGGCAGCTTGCCGAGCTCGCGCAACTTGCCGAGCTCGCGCGGGTCGAGCTTGGCGGCGGCGAGGGGCCCGCTCGCGCTCGGCCCGGCGGCGGCGGCGAGGACGCCGTTGCGAGCGCCGTTCTCGGGCAGGCCGGCGGGCTCAGGCTGGGGCCCGGCGCCGTCGCCGTCGCTCTCGCTCGAGGTGGCACCATGCCCGTCCTCGCTGCTCGACGACTCGGCGAGAGCGCTGACGCGGCGCGGCGTGTGAGCATTGGCGCGCGAGGCGAGGCGGGCGGGCTCGCGCTCGCGCTCGGGCCCGGGCTCGGCGCGCTCGCCCTCGCCCTCGCTCGAGGTCGCGCCCTGCCCGTCCTCGCTGCTCGACGACTCGGCGCGAGCGCTGGCGGGGCGACGAGCGCGAGCGTGGGCGGCGCGCGAGGCGAGGCGGGCGGGCTCGCGCTCGCGCTCGGGCCCGGGCTCGGCGCGCTCGTGCTCGCCCTCGCTCGAGGTGCCGCCCTCCTTGTCCTCGCTGCTCGACGACTCGGCGCGGGCACCGGCGCGGCGACGAGCGCGAGCGTTGGCGCGCGAGGCGAGGCGGGCGGGCTCAGGCTCGGGCTCGGGCTCGGGCTCGGGCACGACGCGGTCGCCCTCGCCCTCGCCATCCTGCTCGCCCTCGCCGCTCTTGCTCGATGTGCCGTCGCGCTCGTCGTCGCGCTCGCTGTCGCTGCTCGTCGACGGAGCGGCGGCAGCGGGACGAGGGCCGACCGGGGCGCGCGAGCGCTTCTTCTTGGCGAGCGAGGGCGCCTTGGCCTGGTCGGCGCCCGAACGAGCGCGGGATCCGGGCGCGTCGCCGTGCTGCGGGTCGACGTCGATCGAGGCGGTCGCTGCGCCGGCGGTGTCGGCGAGGGAGGACGAGGACGAGGACGAAGAGGTGGCGGCGGCGGCGGTGGAGGAGGGAGCGGGAGCCTGCGCGCTCGAGGCGGCGGCGGGAGCGAGGTGCGGTGCGGCGGCGGCGGTTGTCGCGGACGAAGGACTGTATAGAAGAGAGGATAGTCAGTGAACGAGCCCATCTGAGGGCCGCCTTGAAGGAGGGAGAGAAGGGCAGACACGCACGGAGGAAGTGGGTCGGGCCCCTGCACGAGCGAGGCAAATAGTCAGGGCGTGTCGGAGAATGTAGAGAAGGAGAAAAGAGGGACGCACGTAGAGAACCTTGAGGTCAGGCCAGTCTGCGACCATCGTCTTCTTGGCCTTTTTGAGGTGGTGCGGCCCGTACCGCCCGTCCCTCGTCGTCCACCGGTTCTCCTTCTCGGCGCGCCCGGTGAGGGTGACGGCGATCTCCTGGACCTTGTCGTGCGACGGGACCGGCTCGAGCTGCTTGCCACGAGTGCCGAGATGGCAGATCCAGCGGAGGACTGTCGTGCGGTCGCGTTGGGCGCCGAGGGTGCGAGCCGGCATGGCGTTGGCCCACGGGAAGTTGGCGTAGGAGCCGTACGGCGTGTACAGGCGGCAGATCTCATCGGCCTGCTGGACCGACGTCGCGAAGAGGACCCTCGACTCCCTCCACTTGGCCATCCAGCCCTCGACCGCCTTGCCCTTGCCCTTGGCCGCCGCCGTCGACGTGCCCTGCTCGTCCTCGTCCTCGCCCTCGCCCTCCTCGTCAAGGACGTCGCCGCCCGCCCTGCACGTCCGCCTCGTCCACTTGACGAGCGCGTGGCCCGAAAGGCGAGCGGTCACGGCCTCGTCGAGGCCGAGGAGGTAGTATGCGAGGTACTCGTCCTTGTCCCGCGCGGCACGGCGGTCGGCCGAGATCTTGTCGACGAGCTTCTCGAGCTGGGGCAGGAGCGTGTCGATCGAGGCGCCGGTGCGGTCGAGCGCGGCGGCGAAGAACTCGCGGACCTCGTTCGAGTACAGGGCGAGGGTGTCGGGAGGCGTGCACAGGGTGTCGATGTCGAGAGCTCGAGAGGCGCTCGGCCCGGCGACGGGCTGCAGGCGGGCGAGAGAGGTCAGCTTGAGGGAGCGGGAGGAGGAGACGAGGACGAATGCGGGCGGGGGGAGTAGACGCACCTCAATGACGACTGGTTGCACGCCGCTGCTTGAGATAGATGTCGTGCTGCTCTGCGGCACAGGCCGCGCTCGTGCGGGACGAGGCGGCATGTCGACCGGTCGGGGGAGGAGGACGCGGTGAAGGGGAGCCGTGAGGCGACGGTGGGGCGATGCTGGAGCGATGAGCGAGTCTAGAGCTGCTGTGCACTGTGCGCAGGCTGGTGTGCGCGCTCGAGTGCAGGTGGGTAGCGGAGGAGCGAGGACGACGGTACTGTAACCAGCTCTCGACTCGAGTCTGGCGAGTCTGACCTATTTTGTCGCGCGACAATGTGGGCGTCACGACAGCGCGCTCGAGCTGTAAGCTATGTACAGCATCCAGGCGCAGAGCGCGCTGTATGCTCGCTTGCTGGCGGTCAAGAAGGTCGTCTCCGCACTCCGCGCGCGAGCGCAAATGAGCACGTGAGCGGAGAAGCCTCGGAAGCGAAGAGTGGAGGCTGCGGGGAGGCGAGGCTGGGCCGACTCGGAGAGCTGAGTAACAACGATGACCTACTCTCGCCGCCGCCTCGCTTCCTCAGACCTCGCACACTCTGCCACTGTTGCCCAGCTGCACACCTCTGGCCATGACCAGCCTCCCGTCGACCTACTCGCGCTACGTCCTGCGCGGCACCGGCTCGTTCGACGTCCTCAAGTTCGAGGAGGGCCTCTCGCTCCCCTCGCCTCGCCTCGGCGAGGTCCTCGTGCGCGTCAAGGCCGTCAGCCTCAACAACCGGGACCTTCAGGTGCGCCCCACTCTCGCCCTGCATCCTTGCTGCATGGAGCCCAGCTGACCTCGTCCTCCTCCTCCTCGCCCGGCACTCGCCGCCCTCTCCTCGACCCACAGATTGCCAAAGGCGTCTACCCAGGCGCGCAGGACAACGTGCGTGAGCCTCTCTGTCGTCGCGCAGAGCCGAGTCTGACCTTGCGCCCGAGTCGACAGATCATCCCCTGCTCGGACATGTCGGGCGAGGTCGTCCAGGTCGGCGACGAGGTCACCAAGTGGACCGTGGGCGACAAGATCATGGCGACGTTCACTCTCGGCCTCGAGCGAGGTGCGTCCCGCTCGTCTCTCGCCTGCACGTGCGCCCGAGAGCTGACCCACCTTCCCCGACCACAGGTCAAGTCGACGACCCGGCCATGTTCGCGAGCATGCTCGGCGGCGGCTGTGACGGCACCCTGACCCAGTACCGCCTCTTCAAGGCGACCGACCTCGTCACCATGCCGTCCAACCTGTCGTTCGACGAGGCGGCGACCCTCCCGTGCGCGCCGACGACCGTCTACAACGCCCTGTTCAGCGGGCCGCAGCCGATCAAGCCCGGCATGACCGTCGTCCTGCAGGGCACCGGCGGCGTGTCGGTCATGGGCGCGCAGCTCGTCGTCGCGGCGGGCGGCACCGCCATCATTACGTCGTCCTCGGACGCAAAGCTGGAGCGCGTGCGCCAGCACATCCACGACTCGCACAACCACGGCGGCGCAGGTCGCCTGCACACGATCAACTACAAGACGACGCCCGACTGGGACAAGGAGGTGCTCAAGCTCACCAAGAACGGCCGCGGGGCAGACAAGGTCGTCGAGGTGCGCCCGAGCCTCCTTCCCCCTCTCTGCCCGCGAGCCTTTCTCGAGCGGCGACTGAACTCCTCTCTCTCGTCCCTCGTACACAGATTGGGGGCGCAGGTACTCTCGAGAAGAGCCTGAACGCGCTGCGGCAAGGCGGCGAGATTGACGAGTGCGTCTCGACCCTCCTCCTTCCGTTTGAGAAGGTCGCCTAAATGACTTTCTCTCTCCTCTCCCTCGTGCAGCATCGGCTACCTCGCCGGCGGGAGTGCGCCCGACATCTCTCGCCTCGTCCTCCTCAAGAGTGCGCTCCTGCGAGGCATCCTCATCGGCTCGCGTCGCCACCTCGAGGAGCTGAGCGACTTTGTCGAGACGGCCAAGATCCAGCCCATGATCGACCGCGTCTTTGCCTTCCACGAGGCCAAGGAGGCCTACCAGTTCTTGAGCGAGGCGACGCTCGTCGGCAAGGTCGTCATTCGCGTCGCGTAGAACGAGCTCGAGCGAGCGGCAGGCGATTGTGAAATAGACTTTGTTCGACGACGTTTCCTCGGCGCGACCTCGACAGCGACAGCGAGGACTCGAGACGACCCAGCCTCATGACTCTCAGCGAGACAAGAGCCAGCGAGCGAGAGAGCGCCCGAGCTGCAAAGGCGAAAGCGCCAAAGTCCGAGCCGAGCTTCGCGCATGAGAGAGGGAGTCGACGCAGAGCAACGACACGAATAAGAATGCCACACAAGATACGAGAGCTACATACGGCATCGAGAGAGAATAACGACACGGCCGACGACGCCGAGATGAGGGAACAAGGTCCGACCGCTCCTCCTCCTCCTCGCGCACGGCTCAGACCCGCACACGCTTGAACACACCCACCTTCTGCAGGTCCTCCCACCGCAGGTGCAGCTCCTCGACCGACTCGATCGTGCGCTCGTCCCCCTGCGCCTCTCCCTCTCCCTCTCCCTCTCCCTCTCCCCCTCTCGCTCGCCCCTCCTCGCCCGCCGAGCGCGCCCTGCGCAACCGCACCTCGCTCCTCAAGAAGCGCACCTGCGCGCCCGTCCAGCTCGGGCTCGCGAACCCAGTGAGCGCGATGCGGCCGTACGCGCGCGCCGTCCCGACCGACCAGTCGGGCCCGGCGCCGTTGTTGAGCGCGAGGTACTGGGGCGAGTGCGGGTCGAGCTCCGAGAGGCGCTCAAAGGTCGAGAGGGGGACGGTCGGGACGGTGGCGGCGAGAGGGTGCGAGTGACGCGAGGAAGGAGGGAGGATGGCGACCCAAGAGGTCTGCGGCGGGATGGCGAGGAGGGTCAGGGACCGCTGTACAACCCGAACGATGCAGAGCGCCCACAAAGAGAAAGTGAGAGAGAGAGAGACGCACCTGGCCCGAGGGCACGTTGGGGTCGCCCGTCACCTTGGTCGCCGTGACGACCCGGCGGTACTGGACCCGGCGGTCCTCGCCCTCGCTGTCGCTGCTGTCGTACCCTCTTCGCTCCTCGGCGCGCCCCTCGTCCTCGTCGACGGGCATCTCGACGAACCCGGTCGTCAAGTGGACGAACTCGAGGCCGTGCCCGCCGTACGTGCCGAGCCACAGGCCCTCGAGCGACGAGGCGAGCACGTCGCCGTGCTCGTCGACCGGGCTCGGGTCGTCCCACGACAGCGGGCGTGCGGGCGCCTTGATCGGGAAGAACGACTCGCTCGCCGAGTCGACAAGGTCGGCGAGCGAGGCGCGCTCGGCGTCCGAGTCGTCGCTGTCGTCGGACCCGGCGGCAGCTCGAGTGCCGTCGAGCATGGGCTCGTCGACGTCGACGCCGGTGTCGGCCGAGCGGCGGCGAGGTCGTCGGTCGTCGTTGTCGGGGATGCGCAGGACGAAGCCCTGCACGCGAGGAGGAAAGGTCAGTACGAGGAGGCGAGAGAAGAGCGACTGCGAGAGAGAGAAAAGGAAAGCGAGGACGCACCCCTTCGCCCTCATCTCCTGCCCGCAAGATCGTCACCTGCGGCTCATCGTCTGGGTCCCGCTCCGTCCCGTGCCACAGCACGGCCGGCCCGCCGTTCCCGCCGACGCCCCTGCGCCTCGTCGCCGCCCCGGGCGCGCTCCACCTCTCGCCCGTCCCGGCGCTCGAGCTCGTCTCGGCGCGCTCGTGGGCCCCGCTCGTCGCCGCACCGGGCGGCGTGCGCGGCGTGCGGCGGGCCCGGATGCGGAACCCGGTGACGAACGCCTCGTCGTCCTGGGTCGACGACGAGGGCGAGCTCGGCTGGACGACCTGGGCGAGCGGGCGCTCGCCGTTGCGGTCCTTGAGGGCCTCGACGAGGCCGCGGAAGGCGCCGCCCGAGCCGGGCGCGAGGCGCAGGATGTTGCGCGGCGGGTCGGTGCGGCCGGCACGCAGGACGGGGATGTCGGCCGTGCTGACCTGCTCGAGGCCGACGAGGGCGAGCGTCGGCCACTGTCGGCGCGGGAGTCGACCGCTGAACAGGGCGAAGAGCGACTCGGGGTTGAGCTCGTCGAGCCTCGAGGACGGCGCGCCGTCCGGGTGGGTCGCGGCGGCGTTGCGCTCGACGCGCTCGGTGACGGGCTCAAGCGCGAGGCGCAGGACGGGCGTCGACTGGGGCACGGCAGGGCTGAAGTCGCCGAGGCGGGCCATGTTTGAGTAGCCTCGCGCGAGGCAGGGCCCGTCGGTCGGCGAGATGTCGAAGACGGGCGCCGACGACGAGTCGAAGATGGGCTCGAGCACGTCGACGCTCAGGCCCGAGTAGGGGTGGTCGAGGTTGAGGCGCGGGTTGACGACGTAGGCGGCCGGGTTGATCGGGTCGCGGGACGAGCCGAACGGGCGACCATCGCCGAGAAGAGGGTACAGCGGGTTGTCGAACCGGTTCCTCGGGACGAACTGGGCGGCGTGGATCGAATAGGTCGGGGGAGGGGCGTCTGGTGCGGGTGGAACGAGGGTGGGCGCGACGATCGAGACGCGAATGATGCGCGAGCTGTGACGAGAGCACGCGCGCAAGTGGGGGAGGAGGAGGAGAGGCGGGTCAGGCTCGCGAGAGAGAGAAGGAGAGGGTGGACGGAGGGACGCACCTGTACGGCTGGTTCGAGGCAAAGAAGCCGAGGTGGTGGCTGTGCGGAAGCAGGGCCTTTGCCTGGGCCTGCCAAGTGGACGACGAGGTCGGGGAGGACGAGGCGAGCGGCGGCGCGTCGTCGCCGGTCGGCGGAGCGGCGTGACCGGGCTGGGCGACGAGGTCGAGGACGATGCGCTTCCAGAGCGACTCTGTGCAGGCTATGGCGTGCAGGCGGCTCGAGGTGCGCCCGAGACGAACGAGCGACTGCGGGTCGAGCGACTGGGCGACGCGGAGGGCGAGTTCTGGCGGGAGGGCGGCGAGCGAGGCTCGAGGCGGATCGTTGAGCGTGTGTGGGTCCATGGCGGTGGTCAGGACCTGGCCCTGGTCGAGCGATGCGGCGGTGCGGGAGCAAGAACGACGTGACGTCCTTGCTCCTCTTCCACCCACTCGCTCAGCGCAGAGTCCAGACGCACAGCTAGCCGACTGCCCTCTCGCTCCAGTGCATGCCCCTGCACCGTCTCGCACACTCGCCCCTCGTCGCCTCACTCGCCCGCTCCGCCCTCCCCACTCGGCACCTCGGCCTCTCGACCATGGCCTCGCTCCCCCGGGTCAAGCCCTACAAGGGCGGAGCCAGCAAGATCCGCAACGTCGACAACATGCAGGAGGGGAAGTGGATCGAGCTGCGCAAGATCGACTGGACCGACGAGGACGGCAAAGGTCCGCTCCCCTCTCCTCTCCCTCTCCCTCTCCCTGTCGCTCCACGCTGACTTTGCCCTCTCCCCGCATACAGACCGAGTGTGGGAAATGGCAGCGAGGAAGACGACGAGCAAGGGCGGCATCGACGCCGTCGCCATCGCCGCCGTTCTGAAGCACCCGTCTCGCCCCGACGCCGTCCCCATGTGCGTCCCTCTCGCCGCACTCGACTCTCTCGCAGCCCCATTGACCTCTGTCGCACACGCACAGCATCCTCCAGTACCGCCCGCCGATCGAGGCCATCTGCGTCGAGCTGCCGGCCGGCCTCATCGACGAGGGCGAGAGCCCGGAGCAGGCGGCCGTGCGCGAGCTGTACGAGGAGACGGGCTACGGCGGCGACAGCTTCGAGGGCCGCGTCAAGGTGACCGAGCTCGGGAGCACCGTCGTCAGCGACCCTGGTGCGTCCCACACCTTCTCTGCGTCCCTCCCCTCGAGCCGGCTTCGGCGGTGCGGTTGTCCCGACACTGACTCGCCTCGAGCCCGTCGCCCTCTTGCCAACCAACCAGGCATGTCCAAGGCCAACATGGTGCTCGCGACGCTCGAGGTTCAGCTCAAGGAGGGCGAGGAAGACCCCAAGCCGCATCTCGACGAGGGTGCGTCCCGCCTCATTCCCTCTCTCCTTTCCTTGCCCTCCCCGTACTGACTCACCGATGCCTCGCAGGAGAGCACATCGACGTGCGGGTCGTCCCGCTCGCCGAGCTGTACGCGCACCTGCAGGCGTTCGAGCAGCAGCACGGCTACACGGTCGACGCGCGCCTCCATCACTGGGCCGCCGGCATCGAGCTCGGCAAGAAGCTGTTCGGCGGCGGGAGCGAGAAGCTGTAGACGTCCTCCCCTTGTACAGAGCGCGACATTCTTCCTGTACGCTCTCGCGGACGCGGCGGCGGACTGGCCTTCGCAAGTCGAGCGAGTCGGGAGAGCGCGAGACAGCGAGGACAGCTCGACGAGAGCTGGTTCGAGCGCCTGTCCTTTTTGCACGTCTCGCAGAAGCGGTGCAGCGCCCGACGATCTGCGTACAAGCTGTCGAAGACGCTGTCGACCCTTCGGCCCCGCGATGAGGTCAACGCGGACGTCGCTCGCGCTCCTCTCTCTCTCCCTCCTCCACCTCACTTCGCACAGCTTGCTCAGCGACACCCTCAGCAGCACCATGGCCACCTCTGTCACCAACCAGCAGATCGACGACGCGTGCGTCCCTCGCTCTCCTCCCCCTCCTCCCTCTCCTCCCCACATCGCCTCGCTGACGCTGTCCTCCTCCCGCCTCGCAGCCTCAAGGAGGCCGGCCTCATCGGTTCGAGCGTCATCCCGTCGACCTTCAAGAACCAGATCGCGGTCCAGGCGACGTACGGCGCGTTCGGCAACGTCCAGCCCGGGTCGACCTACTCGGTCGCCGACACCCAGGCCGAGCCGACCATCTCGTTCAACGCGCCGCCCGGGCCCGACTCGCGCTTCACGGTCGTCGTCGCCGACCCGGACGCGCCCTCGAGGGACGACCAAAAGTGGTCGCCGTTCCTCCACTTTGTGCTCGCCGAAGTCGTGCCGGGCAAGGAGGCGGGCCAGAGTGTCGTCACGTACATGGGCCCGGCACCGCCGCAGGGCACCGGCCCGCACCGCTACGCCATCCTCGTGTACGCCCAGGCCGTCGACCACACGCCCGAGCTCCCCGGCCAGCCCGACGACCGTCAGAGCTTCCCGCTCGGCCAGTTTGTCAAGGACAACCAGCTCGGTGCGCCCTCCTTTCTCTCTTCCTCTCTCCTGTGCGACTCTCTCGAGAGGCAAGGCACTGACAAGCGCCTCGTTCGCCTCGCCTCGCAGACCTCGTCGGCGCGACCTTCTTCTACGCCGAGAACAAGTAGCCGCCGCGCACGCCGTCCTCGACCGACCTGTAGCCGCTTGTACCTAGCAGTCGACGCAGAAAAGCAGTGCTTCCGTCTCTCTGTCTTTCACTCTCGTCGCCTCGCGCCTCGTCTCGCCTCAAGAGAGTCCGCCCGAGAGAGAGTGGTGAGAGTCGACGTTGCAGAAGCGCGACTACTGCTGCGGCTGCTGCTGCACCCTGTCGCTCGCCGGATCCATGCCCATCGCGACGCTCTTGACGAGCTCGGGCGAGGGCGCGTTGTCGTTCGAGAAGTAGGACGCCATGAGCTGGGTCGCGAGGGTCGGCTCGCGCAGGGTGCCGAGGACCTCGGGGCGGTGCGTGTTCTCGTCCTGCAAAGATGTAGAGAGGACCGAGGGGAGGCAGGGATTGAAGATGGTCAGGTCTGGCAGAAAGGAGAGCGAGAAAGGGAGAGAAAGAGAGGGAGAGAGGGGACGCACTCGAAGCTGAAACGTGACCGAGCGGTCCTTCGCGCTGTAGTACAGCTCGAGCGGCATGCCCTTCTGCACCGTCCTCGAGGGGAAGAAGCTCTTGAAGTCGACCATGGCGGCGCCTGTTGCCTGCTCGAGAGGAAGAGGAGGGCTCGTCAGGGCTCGGCTTGACCAGGCCGGGCAGGAACGCAACGACCGAGAGGGAGACAAGGGACGCACCTCGTTCATCGTGTCGGTGAACTCGTTCGAGACTCGAGGCACCTTCATGCGGGCGACGAGCGCGCGAGAGAAGCCGTCGCGAAGGTGAGGGAGGGACGTGTTGCGGAGCGGGACTGCGAGACGAGGTGCGAGAGTCAGTCCGTGCTACTCACATAAGAGGGCACGAGAGGGTGGACGCACTGATAACGACGGCGGCATCTGCCTTTTCGAGGAGCGTCTCGACGAGCTCCTCGCCGACGAGGCGGTTTGGCGCAGTGGCGTCGACGGCCGAGACCTTGAAGGGCGGGATGAGGCGCTCGGGCGTGTAGGCGTTCCAGCCGGCGAGCTTGCCCTGGCGTGCGAGGTCGAGCTCGCGCTCGCTGACGTAGAAGGCGACGGCGTAGACCTTTACGGCGAGGAACGAGACGGTGCGGACGCCGGTGCCGACGAGGCGGAGCTGGGTGCCGTCGGGCGAGGTGAGGCGGGTCGGGAAGGGCGTCTTGGTGGTCGGATCGAGGTGGACGCCGACAGGAGGAGGCGCATCGGCGTGCAGGGGCGCCGGGGTCGGGAGCCACTCTGGCTTGAGGTGGTAGGCTGCGGCTGCGAGGCCTGTCGCTGCAGCAGCGGCACCGACGAGGCCCCAGTTGGGCGAGTGCGGGTTGCGCGGCAGTCGGGCCCTGGTCGCGATCGAGCGGGGCGAGGTCGACGACGAGGAGGAGGAGGAGGGGCGAGAGGCGGCGGCGCGGGCGAGCGAGGTGGCGCGGATGGCAGGGCGCGAGAGCATGCTTGTCGTGTGGCAGTGAGCAGTACCTCGACCGAGCGAGTGGGACGAGGGGAGAGAGGAGCGAGCCGGTTGACCTCATCAGCTCGTCGCTCCCTCGTCCTCCCCTGGTTCCCCTACAACCTCGACCAGCAGCATGAGCAGCCCGATCGACATCCTCATGTGAGCAATCTGTCCTCCCGCTTCCCCCGCACTCGCCCGTCGCCTCGTCGCCCTTGTCGCGCCGACGTTCGGCCGCCAGCTCGCTCCCCGACCTCGTCGCCGTCCCACGACCCGCACCTGGCCAAGTGCAGCTCGACGATCCGCCTCGATGAGCTCCAGCATCCACTATCGACGACGGCCCACGACAGCGAGCGTCAAATCGCGGCCGGCACTCGCTCTCCTCGTCCTCGTCCCCACACGACCGCCTCGACCCCGCCCACTCGCCTTCCTCGACCGCCATACCCGCTGCCACCACAACCACCTCGACGGACAATGTCCAACGCGCAACCAGCATCGAGCCCGCACCGTCCTCGAGCACCGTCGCTCATCTCTTCTCCCCTCCTCGCAGCGTCGGCTTCGGCGCCGTCGGCACCGTCTACGGCTGGATCCTGTCCCAGCACTCGAACGTCCAGGTCACGGCTATCGCACGCTCGTCGTACGACGCCATGAAGGACGGCATCACGATCGAGTCGGAAAAGTACGGCCTCATCCGCGACTGGAAGCCCTACCGCCTCGTGCGCACCGCCGACGAGGCGAACGACCGCCCTTACAAGTTCATCATCTGCGCCACAAAGTGCCTCCCCGACCTCATGCCGACCGCGTCCGTCCTCGCCCCGTTCCTCGAGTCGCAGCACGCCCTCGCCAAGTCGGTCGACCTCGAGGACGGGCCCACGGTCGTCCTCATCCAGAACGGCATCGGCATCGAGCACCCGCTCGCGACCGCGTACCCGTCCGTCCCCATCATCTCCGTCGTCGCCTGGATCGGCGCCAACCTCAAGGAGGGCGGCAGGGTCACGCACGGCCTCCTCGAGCAGCTCATCATGGGTCCGTCCTCGTCCTCTTTCCCTCCTTTGCGCCCTCCCCGATGAACTCACTGACGCATCTGTACGACCGGCACATGCAGGTCTCTACACGGGCGAGGGTGGCCAGACGCCGGTCGACCCCGAATTCGTCGAGGGTGCGTCCCTCCCTCTCTTCCTCCTCTCGACCTTGTTCACGCCCACAAGCTCACCCTCTCGGCCCGACTCGCCTCGACAGACGCTTTCGCCGACCCGCATGGCTACCGCCAGCAGACCGACGGTCCTGCACGTCTCGAGGAGGGCAAGCGCCGCCTCCAGGCTTTCGCCGACCTTCTCAACGGCGGCGGGGGAACGGCCACGGTCGTGCCCGACATCCAGGCCGAGCGCTACAGCAAGAACCTGTGGAGTACGTCCCGCGCCTCTCTCTCGGGCGGACGAGGGAGCACCCGACCCTCGAGCTCACCGCCGCTCTCGCCCGCAGACGCCGCGTGGTCGTCGCTCTGCACCATGAGCCGCTGCACCGTCTCCCAAGCCGTCGCGCCCTCGGTCCTGCCGTACACGCTCCCCGTCATCCGCCGCACCATGCTCGAGGTGCGCCCCTCTCTCTCTTCCTGGACCCGGATTCCTCGTCGACCGACCTGACTTTTCGTTCCTTTCCCGCTGCATCTGCGCAGGTCATCTACGTCGCTCGCGCCTGGGGCTACAGCGAGCAGGTCTTGCCCCTGTCGCGCATCGACGACGCCATCAAGCTCACGATCAAGAACTACCAGCGCCGCATGCCCCGTGCGCCGCCGTCGGGCCCAGGCGCCGTCCCCGAAACGCCCGCCGAGACGCCGTGGACCTCGCCCGTCGACAACAAGGGCGCCGGGTACGGCTTCCCGGCGCCGGGCGAGCTCGCCGAGGAGTCGCAGGAGAGCTCGTACAACTTCAAGCCGAGCATGCTGCTCGACATCGAGGCCGGCAGGCCGTGCGAGCTCGAGCCCATCATCGGCAGCGTGCTGGACCGCGCGAGGGCGAGGGGCGTCCCGACGCCGAGGCTCGACATGGCGTACGCGACGTGCGTCGGCTCGTTCCCTTCTTTCTTTCCTCTAGAGCCCCTCCCCTCTCTCCCTCTTCCTCCTTCTCTTCCCTCGTCTCTTTCCTCGTCGTCTCTCTTCGACACAATCCCTCGTACTTACGCGCACCTCTCGGCCTTCTCTCCCCCTCTCCATCTCGCCTCGCAGGCTCAAGATCCACCAGGACTCGGCCGTGCGCGACCACGCCTCGTCGTCGACGTACCAGGCCCACATCAACTCGTGGCTGTCGCGCCCGCCCGCCGTCGCCGGCCTCGGTGCGGCAGGCCGCGCGGCGTGGGAGAAGGAGCGCAGCCGCAGGGAGCGCATGCCCGAGTTTGAGAAGGGCAGCGTCGCCATCGCTGGTGGGAGGGACAAGGTGCGTCTCTCTTTCTCTCCCCCTCTTCTCTCCTCTTTCCCCTCCTCGACGCACACCTGTCGTGTGCGACGCTCACGACGAGCACGTGGCACAGATCCCGGGCAAGCCGATCCGGACCGAGGAGACGAGCGACATCATCTGAATGAGCGAGGAGGACGCGTCGGAACCAGGGACCCAAGTAGCCTCGCGTAGTCGGTATTATAGAGTGTGCCTCGTCCTGCGCGAGCTTTCACGAATGACAGAGAGAGAGACCCTGGAGCGAGAGAACCTCGAACGCTGTCTACGAGCCGCTCGGGCCTCTCGAGGTCACCTTCTCGCTACTCGAGGCTATGAACATCGTTGCAGGCAGGTCTAGAAGCTGAGCGACTCGCCCTCGAACTGGATGCGCTCGCCCGGCTTGTGCGTCTTGCGCTCGGGGTGGACGGTGTAGCCGATCTCGTTGTCGGGGAAGGGGCCGTAGAAGCGCGTGCGGTTGCTGCGAGGAATGAGAAGAGTCTGTGTCAGGCGCGACGAGAGGGAGAGAGAGACCGAGAGAGAGAGAGAGCCACGCACTAGTGCCAGAGAGGGAGGCCCGAGCGGAGCCGCTCGACGAGGTCCTCGTTGCTGCAGAAGTAGCGCCCGAACGCGACGAGGTCGTGCTCTGCGCCGATCCCGTCGTTCATGTTGGCCGCGTTGTAGTTGCCCGCCGCGATGACGGGCGTTGAGCCGAGCGCCTCGCGGTACGGCCGCAGCGAGAGGTCGAGCGCGGTGAGCGGGTTGTTGGCGTCGAGGTTGGCAAGCTTCTCGGCCTCGGACTGGAGCTCGTCGAACCGAGGTTCGATGAGGTGGCTGCGGGCGATCGGCGTGGGCTTGTCAGAACGGGCGAGGACGAGGGCGAGGAGGAAGAAAGAGAGAGAGAGCGAGGACGTACACGTAGGCGAGGCCTTTGCCAGCCAGCGCCTCGCAGAGCATCGTCCACTGCGCCTGCCGATCCTCGCCTCGAGCCTGGTTGAACATACCGAACGGCGCTAGGCGGATGCCGACCCGGTCGGCGCCGACCGCCGCGACGACCTGGTCGACCGTCTCGAGCGTAAAGCGGTTGCGGTTCTTGATGGAGCCGCCGTAGATGTCGGTGCGCTGGTTGATGTTCCTGCGAAGAGAGGCCGTGTCGATGATCAGGCTCGGGCGTTGGACGACGATGCAGGGCTGGTAGGAGGACGAGCTTACGAGTGCTGAAACTGGTCGAACAGGTACCCGTTTGCCTGAGGGAACGAGCTGTCAGTCAATCACTCGGCTGCCGACGCCCTGGGCGAGACGAGGACGTACCGCATGAAGCTCGACGCCGTCGAACCCAGCCTCGAGAGCTCGCTCGGCGGCCCGCACAAAGTCCTGCTGCGTCGCCTGCGCCTCCTCGACAGTGAGCGCATGAGGAGCCTCAAACGGGCGAGGGTCGAGGCCGCGCCAACCGAACTGGGCATCCGTGATCGGGACGGTCGACGACGAGACGATCCGACCGCCGGTGAGGGCGGACGACGTGTTGCGACCTTGGTGCCACACTGCGAGCGGGAGGAGAGAGGGATAAAGTCAATGATGCTCTGAGTCGTAGGCTATTCTCGTGCGCAGGCGAAAAAGAGAGAGAGAGCGCGAGAGACGCACGCTGCGCGAAGAAGACGCCGCCCTTGGCCCGCACGGCCGCCGTGATCGGCTTCCAGCCTTCCAGTTGCTCGTCGGTGAAAGTACCAGGCACGCCGGGCATACCGGACGCTTCGATCGAGACGGGCCTGCAGGCCAAGGGAGGTCAGTGCGGCGCTCTCGAGGGCCAGGCTGAGGGAGTCGAGGGGACGCACGTCGCCTCGGAAATGAGCAGGCCGCCGTCGGTCGCGCGCTCCGAGTAGTACTGGCACATGCTGCAGGGCCTCGACGTGAGCGACGTGACCGGCGAGACTGCGAGGGGGAGAAAGTGAGGACGCACAGAGAGTTGGGCACCCAGGTCCGCTCGACCTTCTCGCTCGGCGACGCACGGTTGCGAGTGAGCGGCGCCATCACGACTCGATGTCTGTCGAAAGCGAGAGGAAGGTCAGGATGGGCTTGGTCATCGGCTGCGCTTCGCGCGAGGGACAGAGGAAGTAGAGAGAATCGGTGCGCACTTGAGCTGAATCGTGCCGCCGCCAAGGGTGAACGGCGTCCAGATGTCGGGCTGGGCAGACGGCATGTTGAGGCGACTGAGGTAGAGGTACGAAGCAGGCAGAAGCTGAGGCGAGAGCGAGAGCAGGAGCGAGAGAGAGCGGCACCGCCGACGAGCGGGAGATAGGGCCCGCTCTCGCTGAGCTGATCGAGGGGGCAAGCGCTCCTGGTCCGGCGGCCCTGGAGAGGCGGGCGAGATTGAGGAGCAAGTTCCGACGAGCCGGACAAAGTTCCGACGCAGTGGTCGTCGCGGCGGTCAGGGCGGCCGACGGGCGGTCGAGCGCTTCGTCCCGCGCAAGGGAGGGGGGTGGCCGGTGGCCAGCGGTGCAGGTACGTGCTGCGGTGCCAGGCAGGCAGCTCAAGCAGCCATACAGGACCGAGGAGAGGGAGGGAAGGCCGACGCGGGGGACGAGGGCCGATGAGGTCGCCGAGGACGATGGCGGTGTCGAGGGCGGGTGTTGGGCGCGTCGATGTGTAGCTGTGTAGCTGTAGAGCTGCTGCACTGGCGAGTAGTGCACTCTGAGCGGGCAGGGACGGAGAGAGATGCGACCTCGCTCGCTCTCTTATCGGCCGCTCACGTTGGTCACCGCTACCTCGTCCGCTCGCGCTACATGGACCCGGGCATCTCAGTCGAGAGCTCGGCAGCCTCGCACACGACCACAACGCCCGGCCACCAACTCGCGCAGCCGCTCGCCGTCTCGCCCACCGCCTCGGACCCGGCAGCCCGCGACAGCGTCTCGCTCGTCCAGCACTCGACGGGCCACGAGAGCTCTGCTGCAGCAGCCACACCACATCCTGAAGGACAGCCGCACAAGCTCAAGACGAGAAAGCTTCGCCAACCTCGGTGCGCTCCCTCCTCCTTCTCCTCCCTCCCCACCTCGACGTCCGACGTCGACGACGGCCGTCATTGGCTCCTGCGCAGCCCTTGCGATGCAGGGATAGTCTCACTGACTCGCCTTCCTTCCGGCCGCAGCATCTCGGAGGCGTGCATCCGGTCCGTCCACGTCGCCGTCTGTGCGTTCGAGGCCGCAAGCTGACTCGCCCGCTCCCACAGGTGCAAGGCCCGCAAGACTCGCTGCGTCCGCACCGGGCCAGGCGTGTGCGTCTTCTGCGAGGGCGCCGGCACCGACTGCGTCATCGCTCCTCGGTGCGTCCTCCTCTCGCTCTCCTCTCGCCCTTTCTCGAGCGGCGCTGCACGCCAAGCGGCGCCCAGACCTGATTGGCGTGGCTCGCCTCCTCCCGGTGACGCGCAGTGCTCGCCGCAAGAACGCAAGGAAGGTCACCGAGGCGCCCACCTCGACCTCGGCTGCAGAAGCGCACTCGACGACCTCGCCCGACTCGTTCCAGCACTTCCTCCATGCCGGCAACCCTCTCCCACACCCCTTCTACCCGTCCTACTTCCCCTACAGCGCATCGCCGCCTTTCCCGCCCAACTCGCTCGCGCTCTCGGGCAGCCCGCATCTCGCCGCGCAGCGTCCCGCCTTCCCTCCACCTCCTCCGCCACCACCCGTCCACTCGCCGTACGACCCGACGCAGGCGTCGAGGACGGCGCAGTACTCGTCGCTGCATGCCCAGTCGCCGAGCCTGACGACGGGCCTCGCCGCGCCCGTCTCGGATGTCCGCTCGGCGCACGCCGTCGACACGGGCCGCTCGCCGTCGAACGGGACCGACCGCCCGTCGAGTCGGACGCCAGGAGGCGGCAGTGGGGACGGCAGGACGGTCGAGTACGACGAGAGGAGCGAGGACGACGACGAGGACGAGGAGGAGGAGGAGGGCTGGCACGATCAGGCGGCGAGGGGCGTCGCCTTCCTGTCGCTGTCGGCAAACGGCAACCCGACTTACGTCGGCCCGTCGAGCGGCTTCTCGTGGGCGAGGATGGTCCTCGGGTGCGTCCTCCTCTTCTTCCTCTACTCCTCCTCGTACCCCTGCCCTGACGAGCGCGACGAGCAGGGGCATGGCGGGTGCAGCAAGTACGTCCGCAGGGCATCAAGGTCGCGACCGCCCTCGCCTCGACACGTCGCAGCCGTTCCAGACGAGCCACTCGGCGCCCAAGGTGCAGCTCGGCGACGACGCCCTCGCCGCCGTCTCGGACGAGCTCGCCGACAAGGTCCTCGGCGAGTGCTACCGCCACATCCAGCCTCGCTACGCGTTCGTCGACTGGCTATTCCTGCACGAGGTGTGGCAGCACCGCGTCGCCATCACGCGCTCGGCGGCGCAGCCGGCGGCGACGAGGATGGCGCGCACGGCGGCGTGCTACATCTACCTCGTGTTCGCGATCGGGTCCCGCCTCCTCCAGAAGAGCGCCGTCCCGAACCTCGCGAGCCCCGAGGCCTACTACGCCAAGGCGATGGACCATCTCGAGATCATCGTCGGCCTGCACGACCTCAAGAACGTCCAGGTCCTCCTCCTCATGGTCATGTACTCGTTCCGCAGCAACGAGGCTCCCGGTGTGCGTCCCTCCTTCCTCCCTTCCTGCTCAGGCACCGAGGACTGACACTTGTCGGCGCGTCGCGCAGGCCTGGTACCTCATCGGCATCGTCGTACGGCTGTGCTGCTCGCTCGGCCTCCACCGCAAGGTCCCGCCCGCTCAAGCCCGCCGCATGAGCCCGTACATCCTTCAGCTTCGTCGCCGCATCTTCTGGAGCGCCTACACCCTCGACCGCATGTGCGCCTCTGCTCCCTCGTCTACCGTCCTCTCCCGCACGGGTCGAATTGACGATCTTGCTCCCTCTGCAGGATGGCCATGTCGCTCGGTCGCCCATGCGGCATCGCCGACCACGACTGCGACATCGAGCTCCCGTTCGACGTCGACTGCATCGCGACCGCCTTCGACTTGCCCAACCCGACGCCCGGGCCGACGAGCATGACGAGCTCGATCCTCTTCACCAAGCTGTGCGTCTCGCGCGCTCTCTCTCTCCATATCTCTCGAGAGACACTGACTCATCGACTTTCTTGCAGCATGCGCATCGAGTCGGTCATTCAGAAGCAGTCGTACCGAGTTGACGCGCCGAGCGCCGAGCGGCCCGAAGCCGTTCTGCGCCTCATCGACGACTGGGAGGCGCAGATCCCGCCCATCGCGTCCGAGCCGACGTGCTGGAACGTGCCGTGCTGCTCGCGCGACTGGTTCCTCGGTCGCTCGGGCGAGGCGCGCCTGTACCTCTTGCGTCCGCTCACGGCAAATCCGTCGACGGCCGACCCGAGCCTGATCCGCCTCGTCGCCAAACATGCTGCCGAGACGTGCGAGATCCAGTGCGTCCTCGCTCTCTCTTTCTCGACGGGCGCGCACCCTCCTGCCGCGGCATGTCGTCCGCTCCTCCCCCTCGCCCTCGAGGAACGCGGCCCCACTCGAACCCTCACTGACTCTGCCCTCGCCTCGCAGGAAGCGCTTCCACCAGTCGTCGACCCCGCTCGCGCTCGAGGCGCTGCGGTCCATCTTCCTCACCGGGCTCACGCTCCTCCACGCCGTCCGACTCGACCGACACGCCCTCCCGCACTCGACCCTGCAACGCGCCGTTCGGTCCTGCAGCAACACGATGTTCCTGTACGCCCAGGCCTTCCCGGGCGCGGCGGCATACTCGGACGTGTTCGAGGAGCTCGCCAACGTCGTGCTCGACAAGCTCAGCATGCCGCCCGAGGCGGCCGCCGTCGCCGCTCCGCCGGCGTCTCTCGTCGCGTCGGCGGCTACGCCCCTGTTCACGAGCCTGTGGGACGACCTCCCGACCATGATGTGTGCGTCCCAAACTCTCTCTCTCTCGCCCCTTCTCGATCGTCGAGCAGGACTGACCCGTTCGTCCATCCCCTCCTCGCGCAGCCACCGACACCGAGGACTCGTTCCTCGCCCTCCTCGAGTCGCTCGGCGTCCCGACCGACTCGCTCGGCCAGAGCGCGAGCGCGGCGGGCCTCTTTGCGGCCGGCGCCGACGGGCTCGACCTCTCGGAGCTGGGTGCCTTTGCGCCGGCGAGCGGGCTTGCGGCCGAGCCTTTCGCGCTCGGGAGCTCGGCGAGCGGCGTCTGGTAGATGAGGAGAGGACCTTGAGCACGTGCACATAGATGTTGTTGCCGTACCGCAGCGAGAGCGAGAGGAAGAGGCCCGAGCATCCACCTGAGAAGGTCGACTGTTTCCTCGAGCGCCAGCGGCGAGACGACCCGCGCCTTTTTGAAGCTTGAAAGCGAGCGTCTCTCACTCTCGCTCATCGTGTGGCAGGCTTTCTGACTTGATCTGACTCTCGAGTGAGAGCAAGAGCAGGGACCTTCCTCCGACTCGGAGCGGCAGAGGTACGACAAACGATACTGCATTACGGCTTGCAAGCGACACGCTCCCCCTGCACTGCTTCGAAAGCTCGTCAGGCCAACGCCGCCTTCTCGAACGCCTGCTTGTAGTCGGCGATGATGTCGCTGCGAGAGAGGGGGCGCGAGCGTCAGGTCTCGCACGGACAGGAAGAGGTACGAGAGGACGAGAGGGACGGACTCGATGTGCTCGATGCCGACAGAGACACGAATGAGGTCGGGCGAGACGCCGCTCGCGAGCTGCTCGTCAGCCGTGAGCTGAGAGTGCGTCGTCGATGCTGTAGAACAGGCGCGACGTCAGTCCTCGTCCTGGCGAGAGAGAGAAGGGGAGGCGGGCGCACCAGGGTGGATGACGAGAGACTTGGCGCTGTGAAGGAAGGAGAGGGAGAGGAGGGTTAGACGCCGTCGAGCTGCAGATAGGGAAAGAAAGGCGGTGGGCTCACTCGCCGATGTTGGCGAGGTTGCTGTGCAGGATGAGCGAGTCGACGACCTTGGCGCCCTTCTTGCCGTCCTGGTCGTCGCGCACGCCGAACGTGAGGAACCCGCCGTACTTGCCCTTGGCGAACGTCTTGAGCGCGAGCTGGTGGTACGGGTGGCTCGGCAATCCGAGGTACGACACCCAGCCGACCGACGGGTGCGCCTCGAGCCACTTGGCGAGGACGAGGGCGTTCTCGCAGTGGCGCTCGACGCGGAGCGTGAGCGTCTCGAGGCCCTGGAGGATGAGCCACGCGTTGAACGGCGAGATGCACGCTCCGAGATCGCGCAGGAGCTCGAGGCGGACCTTGCCGGCGAACGCGACCTTGCCGAGCGCCTCGGTAAAGACGAGCCCATGGTACGACTCGGCGGGCGTGGTAAAGTCGGGAAAGCGGCCCGACGCGGCCCAGTCAAAGTTGCCCGAGTCGACGATGATGCCGCCGAGGCTCGTTCCGTGCCCGCCGGCGTACTTGGTGAGCGACGAGACGATGATGTGGGCGCCGAGGTCGAACGGGCGCGTCATGGTGCCGACCGCCGTGAGCGTGTCGTCGACGATGAGGGGGACCTTGTGCTCGTTGGCGACCTTGGCGAGCGCCGGGATGTCGAACACGTTGCCCTTGGGGTTGCCGAGCGACTCGATGTACAGCGCCTTGGTGTTGGCGTCGATGCGCTTGGCGAACTCGGCGGGGTCGTCCGAGTTGACGAAGCGGGCCTCGATGCCGAAGCGCTTGAACAGGACCTTGAGCTGGTTCACGGTCCCGCCGTACAGGGCCGTGGTCGCGACGATGTTGTCGCCCGACTGGGCGATGGCACCGATGGCCTGGAACTGGGCGCTCTGGCCCGACGCGGTCGCGACGGCTGCTGCGCCGCCCTCGAGAGCAGTGATGCGCTGCTCGAGGACTTCAACCGTCGGGTTTCCGATGCGGCTGTATATAGCACCCGCCTCCTTGAGGCCGAACAGGTCGGCGCCGTGTTGGCTATCGTTGAAAACGAACGAGGTGGTCTGGCGGGGAGGAGAGGGAGAGAGAGAGGGAGAGAGAGAGGGAGAGATTACATGAGGGAGGGAGGGAGAGGTCAGGTCGGCAACGTGTCGCCCCTCGCGCCTTGCGGCCTGCAGAGGTACACACAGAGAGATGGTGCTCACCTGGTAGATGGGGACGGCGCGCGAGCGCTGTGCGCTCTCTGCCTTCTCGTAGCCGGCGTGGAGCTGGAGCGTCTCGGGCCTCCAGGACGGGTGGTTCTCGGTCATTGTGGTGGTGCGGGGTCGGTGGTGGTGGGTCGAGAGAGAGCAGGAGCGGGTGCAGGTCGAAGAGCGGGACCGCAAGAGAGCGGGAAGGCAAAGAGGCGGGCGATTTCGCCAGCCGACGGTGCAAGCACGCGAGCGAGCGAGTCCCACCGGCAACTGCGCACCGTGCGAGTTCAGCAGCTGGCCAGAGCCCTTACAGTGCATCTCACAAGCTCGTCTGCACTCACGCAAAGACCTGCACAGCGGGTGCTGCCGCGAGGAACCTGTCATCAGTCGCGCGCTTCCCCACCTCGACGTGCAACTCTTCACGGTCCTCGATGAGCCTCCCTGCTGGGCCCTGCACGCGCTGCAGTTGTGTCTGAGGCCAGACCGCCAATCTCTGCACCCGCATCGCACATCAAGGGCCGCCGACAGCCTCGTCTCGTCACCTCCTCCGGCCGGTTCCTCGTCCACACGAGACCCAGCCGCCGATGTCGACCGCACCTGTACCTGTCGAGCCGCTCTCCGCACCTGTACCAGCCCTGTCGACCGGCGCACCACCGGCCAAGGACGGCGGCGAGCACGAGAAGCCCGATCGCTTGGAGGCACGCAGAGCGGCCGGCCAACAGCCTCGAACGAGCGCGGCGGGACTCGCGGCAGAACACGAGCAGCTCATGCTGGAGAAGATGACCCTGTACGAGACGCGCACGGTCCGTCCTCTCCCCCTCCGTGTCCTCCTCCTCCTCCTCCTCGCCCTTGCTGACCTCGGCTCTCTCCCCTGCGCGCGCGCAGAAGCTGTACGTCGTCGCGACCGACAAGGACGGCAAGCGCTATCGAGTTCTCAAGATCGACCGCACAACAGCTCCGCAACCGCGAGCCGGCCAGTCGGCGGCAGACGACGACGACGAGTCGGGCTTGAACATCATCGAGGACTCGGCCGTCTACACGCTGCGCCAGAAGGACGAGCTCGTCGAGACGCTCAGGGCGGGCAACGGCGGCCTCAAGCTCGTCGAGAAACCCTGCTTTGGCATCGCCGGTCCGTCCGCTTCGTCCTTTCCCTTGCGTCCCCTTGCCGGTAGACTGACCCTCTCGTCGCTACGCGCAGGCTTCGTCCGCTTCACCTCGTCGTACCACATGATCCTCATCACGCGTCGGAGCAAAGTCGCAGTTCTCGGCGGCCACTTCATCTATCACAGCGAAGGCACCGAGCTTCACGAGATCTCGCCCGTCCCGGCAGGCCTGTCGGCCGAGGACGCTCGGCAGAAGAACGCCTTCCTCAGCGTGCACCTCAGCAAGAACTTCTACTTCAGGTGCGCCCCCTCGTCCGCTCGTCCTCCTTGCGAACGTCGCTCACCCTCGTCCTCCCGCAGCTACACGTACGACGCGACCAACACGCTGCAGCGCAACCTCCTGCGGGGCGCCGACTTCCTCCCGTTCGAGGACAAGTGGGTCTGGAACTGGCGCCTTCTACGACCGATGCGGCGGTGCCTGCGTCCTCAAAGCGCCTGGATCCTTCCGCTCATTCATGGCTTCGTCGACCAGAAGAGTGCGTCCCTCTTCCTCCCTCGTCTCTCTGAGCCCGTTACTGACTCTTTGGACCCCGCAGAGCTCGCCGTCTTTGGTCGCACCGTCTACGTCACGCTCATCGCTCGTCGCTCGCGGCACTTTGCCGGCGCGCGCTTCCTCCGCCGAGGCGTCAACGACCAAGTGCGTCCTCATCTCGCCCGAGCGTCAAGGGGCACGCACAGACACTCATGCTGTCGACTCTGCAGGGCTTTGTCGCCAACGACGTCGAGTCGGAGCAGATCGTCGCCGAGGCGCTCACGACGCCGTTCTACACGTCGGCCCCGTCGACCCACACGCACTCGAGCAGCTCCCCCTCTCCTCCTCTTCCTTCCTCCTTCCCGACGTCGCACCAGGCGCGTCGGCCGAACCCGAGCTACACGGCGCACGTCCAGTGTCGTGGCAGCATCCCGCTGTACTGGTCGCAGGACGTCGCCCGAGCGCTCAAGCCGCCGATCGAGCTCGCGACCCGAGACCCGTACTATGCGGCGGCGGCCAAGCACTTTGACGGCCTGTTCCGGGCCTACGGCGAGCGCGTCATCGTCCTCAACCTCATCAAGGTGCGCCGCTCCTTCCCCTCGTCTGCCTCCCGCCTCGAGGGCTCCCGACTTACCCAAACCCTCCCCTCCCGTCCTCCTCTACAGCACGGCGACAAGCGCGAGTCGACGCTCCTGCCCGAGTTCAAGGAGTGCGTCGACTACCTGAACCAGTTCCTGCCGACCGGCAACGAGATCGACTACATCACGTTCGATATGAGCGCCGCCAACAGCGGGTGCGTCCCTGTCGTCCCTCTCTTCTCGTGACGACGCCGACGAGCTCATGCTGTCGGAACCGTGCCGCAGCCCGACCAAGAACGCGCTCGGCGTCCTCGAAGACTATGCCGAGGGCTCGCTCGAGAAGACGGGCCTCTTTCACTCGGGACCTGCCGCTCCTCGGCGCACAGGGTCCACCGGTGACGGGTGCGTCTCCCTCTCTCTTTGTCGCCGACGAGCGCATTCAGCCGGCGTCGCCGATCGTCCTCCTGCAGCGCACGCACTGACCTCGAGCTTCCTCCCGCCCGCAGCGAGGCGCGACTCCCAAGGACGGGTCCGGCGGTCCAGACGGGCGTCGTGAGGACAAACTGCATCGGTGCGCTCCCTCTCCCTCGCTCGGGCGGTAGGGTACGGGCACTCACTCCCTCCTTTGCCCCGCCCAGATTGCCTCGAGTGCGTCCGCCTGCGTCTTTCTCTCCCTCCCTCTCCTTACTGACCTCTCTCTCGCTCTTTTTGCAGCCGCACCAACGCCGCCCAGACCATGATCGCCATGATCGCCCTCGGCCACCAGCTGCACGCGCTCGGCCTTGCGCCGTCGACCCGGCTCGAGTTCGACTCGGACGCGCTCAAGCTCCTCGAGACAATGTACCGCGAGCACGGCGACTGTATCGCGGTCCAGTACGGCGGCAGCAACACGGTCAACACGATCGACTCGTACCGGCCGACGGGCGCGTGGACGGGCTTCTACTCGCGCGACAAGGTCGAGAGCGCTCGGCGGTACTACGCCAACTCGTTCGGCGGTGAGCCTCGTCGCCCTCTCTTGCTTCGCCGTGCCGCCTGAGGTGGAACTGACCCGGCCTCGCTCGTCCGCAGACCACGACAAGCAGGCGGCGATCGACCTCTTCCTCGGCATCAAGCACGGCCTGCCGCCGCCGCCATCGTGGGAGTACCTGCCGCCGCCGCCACGCTCGTCCTACCGCGACTGGTACACGCCGTCGCACCTCGTCGCCTCGCCCTCGTCGCTGTCGTCTGCCGAGGTCGCCCGACGCCTGCAGGCGACCGTCGACGCCGAGGACGAGCGCGACCCGAACGAGCTCTGGAGGCGGTACTACCGCGGCGGCGTGTGGCAGACGCTCGACAAGCAGTACCAGTACCACGTCCAGTCGACCTTGCCGGCGCACCGAGTCCCGGGGTGCGTCTCTTGCCTCCTCTCTCCCTCCCTCTCTCTCTCCCTCTCTCGCGCCCGTAACTGACACGCCCTCTCTCGCGGTACAGCTCGGACGACGCTCACTTGAGCCCGTTCGTCCCAAGACGGTCGCTCTCGCACTCGACCTTGCAACCGAGGTGCGCTTGAGGCCTCTCTCGCCCAGAGCGAGCCCCACGACTAAAGCCCCCTCTCATTGCCCGCAGACGTTCCGCCGGCGGCGGCTTCCGCAACTGGATCTCGCACAGGCACCCTCGGTCCAAGTCGGCGCGCCAATCTCGGCACCGCTCGTCGATGCACGACCCGTCGTCAACCGTCGACGGCTCGCCCTCGGCGCAGGAGCCTCATCCCGCCTCGGCACCTGTTCCCGCCGCGCCTTTCTCGGCCTCGACTGGGCAGCTCGCGTCGGCGCTCCTGTCGCCGGTCGTGCGCACCGACGAGGCGCGCGAGTACGTCCGTGGACGACCCAGTTCCAGCACCTGTCGCTCGCCGCGCACGACCACCTGAGCGAGAAGGACCGCACGATGTACACGGCGCACGCCGCCGTCGCTGCGCCTCGCCCTGGCGCCGAGCCGAGGCGGTCGGGCACGACGGTGTTCGCGGCGGACGGGCTCGCCGACGTGAGCGAGCGCGACCGTGCCACGTTCCAGGCGTTCGTGAGCGGGGCCAAGCCGCGAGGGGCGACCGGCGGCGAGGTCGGCGTGTCGAGCGCGGCGGTCAAGATGTACCGCGACATGGTCGAGGGCGCAGGTGCGTGACGAGGCGGCGACGAGGCGAGGTTGGTGCACTCGAGGCGAGCGAGGTCCGTGTCTCGGCTCCCAACTTTTCTCTCTTTGCCAGCAGTGCGAGTCCTGTGTAGTCCAGTGTTGTTGTCAACGTGTACCTCTCGGTCGTTTCGGCTTGCGAGAAGAAAGTGTTGCAGGAGCAAAGTGGGCCAACGCGACGGCGCAGCTCGCGAGGGGGAGCCGCCCCCCCTCCGAGCTCTCTCCTCGTCTTGTCACGCCTCGCCGGGCTTCAACTGGTGCGTCTGTCTCTCCTCTTGGGCCCTCTCGACATCTGCACGAGCCCGCAGCTCCTCTCCAGGGCGTGGGGCTGACCCACCCTTCCCCCTCGAAGCAGTTCCTCTCGTCACCCTCTTAGCTCGCCCGACCTCCATGGAGCTTTAAGGACCCGACCAGGTGCGTCCATTCTCTCCCTCGTGCAGCCTCGTGCAGGCATGCAAGCCGCACAGCGAGGCGGGAGCGCGGACGGACTCGCTGACCCTCGTTCACCCTCCCGCGCAGCCGCGATTGACCCGTATCGAGCAAGACAGCGCTCGCGATGGACTCGTACCTCGACCCTTCCCTCACCGGCACCCTCGCCTTCCTCGACCAGGGCGCAGGGCTCCGCCCGGGCGCCGACGCCGCGACCATGTCGACCTCGGCTCCCCTCCTGTCGGCGTTCGACTACGATCAGTGGATCAACCCGCAGGCGACTGTCGCCTACCACGCGCACCCCGGCTCGTCGGCCCTGCAGCACTCTGCCCACCAAGTCGCGCTCCCCCAACGCGATCACGTCGTGCCGTCCCACCACCCCTTCGGCGGTCTCCACTCGGAGCCTGCGGGGTCGGCGACCAGGCTCGCCGCGGGTCCGCCGCTCGAGGACGCCAGCAGGCACCAAGCCGCCGACATCCAGCTCATCTATGGCCCGAGCGACTACGACCACGAGTTGTTCGCCGCCGCGCCGCCGCCGACCGCGACCGCGACCTCGACCCCGGCACGCGCCCGCACGTCCAGCACGCACCCGTCGTACCCGGCGCAGCCGCCGCTCAGCGTCGACGACCGCAGGCACGACCTCATCGTCGACGACGTGTCGTCGTACTCGATCGCGGCGTACGGCGACGGCTCGGCGTCGGGTTCGCCCATCACCAAGCGCCCGTCGGCCGACGCCGTCCCGTCCCCGGCTGGTTCGCCTCGTGTCCAGCGCTCGCCCGTCAAGGTCCACAACGTCAAGGCGAGCCCTGCTCCTGTCGCCGTCGCCGCCAAGTCGACCGGGACGTCGTCGGGCACCCACACGCCCAAGACGCCCCAGGCCGATCAGTCGGTGCCCGAGGCCGCGCTCCACCTCCTTCGTCTCGCCCAGCCCGACGGCTCGACGACGGGTTCGGTCGCGACGGCGTCGACCGGCGGCCGCGAGGACGAGGCGAGCTGTGACGAGGACGCCGAGGGCGAGAGCGACGACACGTCGATCCACTCGACCGAGGCGCAGGCCAAGCGCCCGCTCGCGACGGTCGTCGCGCAGCAAGGGCAGCTCGAAACGCGCGTGTGGCAGCACGACCCGGCGCAGCCGCCGCTCCACGTCCAGCGCGGCGGCGGCCCTGGGTCCCGTCGTCTGAGCGCGTCCGAGTCGGTCGCGAGCACGCGCACGGGCCGCCCGGCGCCGAGCGTCGCGAGGACGCAGCGCGAGGCGAGCGTCGCGTCGAACCGCTCGCACGCCGTGAGCGACGCCGCGTCGACCACGTCGGCCTCGCAGCAGCAGTCGCAGCAGCAGCAGCAGCAGCCCGTCATCCCGTCGCCGGCCGCTCGTCGCACGAGCGGGCGCGTCCGCAAGCCGCGTGTGTCGGACGTCGCGGCCGACGTCAGCTCCGGCATGAGCGAGGACGAGCACGAGTACAAGCCCGACGACGTCGACGTCGAGATGGCCGAGGACAGCGACGGCGGCCGCGCGAGGTCGTCGAAGAAGAAGGGCAAGGGCCCGGCGGCCAAGGGCAAGAAGCCGGCCAAGCGCACGTCGAGCGTCGCGAGCCAGGACGGGTCGGCGACCAAGAGGGCGCGCCGGGGCTCGTCGCCGAACGCCAACCAGCTCCTTCTCGCTCCGCGCAAGCCTCGCCGCCAGGCCTACATCCCGGCCAACCTCCAGAACCGCGCGTTCCCTCCTCACGTCGAGTTGAGCGACCTGTTCCCGCGCTTCTACCGGTCGTTCCCGGTCTCGTCGGCGTTCCCGCCCGACTCGTTCGTCCTCAAGGCGCCCAAGCAGACGTCGCAGCCGGCGGGCCTCGTCGCGAGCACCTCGTCGATCGCCGCGTCGCCGTACGACGTCTCGACGGCGTCGCTGAACGGCATGTACGACGACTCGGCGTTCGCGGCGGCGCAGTACTACTCGGCCGGTCACACGCCCGTCGCCTCGACGTCGTCGCTCGTCGACTCGACGACCCAGTTCTCGTCGCTCGGGTACCTCCCGATGCCGCACTCGCTGTCGTACTCGCCGCCGCAGCACCAGCACCAGCACCACGCCCTCCCGGCCCTGTCGCCGGCCCTGAGCGCGACGTCGTCGATCGCCGCCACGCCCTTCTCGTCGCAGGCCTCGGTCTCGACGCCGCCGTCGACGATCGCCTCGACCTCGTCGACGCCGTCAACCGCCGCGACGCCGACGGCGCTCGGGCCCAACGGCATCTCGCTCATGCTCCCGCCGTTCGAGAGCAAGTGGAACAAGGGCGGCGAGCCGCTCAACCTGTACTGGCCGCGCTTCGTCAAGGGCAGCGCCGACGACAAGTGCGGCCTGTGCCCGATCTGCGCCGAGCCCAAGGAGCGCGGCGGCGAGGGCGAGCAGAAGTGGCTCAAGGTGCGTCGGCCCGTCTCGTCCTCCCCACCCTCTCGTCGCCTCGGCGATCTTGGCGAGTTTGTCGAAGAGGAAGCCGTCGACCATGGACACTGCAGGTACGCCGTCAGGGCCTCGCCTCACGGGTGCGTCCTCGTCGTCCCTCCCTCGCCGACTCGGTTTCGCCCGATTGACCTTGTCTGCGTACCCTCGCAGGCCTGCCGTTCTCGCCGCCGGTCGAGATGCGTACGGTCGCCCTGCCGCCGAGCACCAAGGACCAGCGCGCGCAGATGATCGAGGGCAAGTGCCACAAGGTGCGTCTCTCGCTCTCCTCTCACCGCCTCTCTCCTTGCCGCCGACCTCGCTCACGCTTTACCCTCTCTTGCAGTGCAACGACTGGATCAAGCTCCTGAGCGTCAAGAACATCGACGCCATCGTCCCCGAGCTCATCTGGTGGAAGGTGCGTCTCCTCCTCCTCTCCTCCTGTCTCGTCCCTCGCGAGTCGACGACTGACTCGCCTCTGCGGCTCCTCCTCGCCCGCAGCACGCCAAGAAGTGCCACGGCCAGTCCAAGATCGACGGCGAGGGCCACCCGTACCAGCAGGACGAGGTCTACGCGCTCATCCTCCAGCGCAAGACCGAGCTCGGCGTCGAGTGACCTGGCCGCCTACGCCCTCTCTCGACCCTCGCCACAAGCGCCACAGCCTGTCGCCCTTAGCTCCCGCCTTTTCGCCTTTTCGCCTCCTCGCCCTCGTCCTCCTCGCCCTCCTCGCCCTCCCTCCCTCTCGCGTGATCCCCTTCTTTCCCTCTCTACATCTGTCTGTGCACGAACGACCCAACGACGTCCTCCCTTTACCAGCTGTTCCACCACGACCCCGACCTTCCACAATCAAAAAGTCCTCGCCGGGCGCACGACCACGAGTCGTGCACGCCCCGCCTCCTCCCCCTCCTTCCCCCACCTCGTCCCTCCTCGCTTTGTCTGTGCTTCGCCCTTACCTCTCGGTCTCGCACCCTCCTCTCCCATGTACCGCGCCCTCTGTCTTTCCCCCTCCTCCTTTGCCGACCCTCCCTCTCTTTGTGAGCAGTTCTTCCTCCTCTCGCGGTCGCACCGGCCTGCGACCCTCAGGGTTGGGGCGGGACGGACAGTAGCACGCAGTGCGACGACGACAAGCATTTCTCTCGATTCACTCTCTCTCGGTCTGGACGAGAGCGCGCCGGAAGAGATAGATCTAGAGTTGCAGAGAGAGAGAGGCTCGACGAGGAGGCGAGGGCGAGGGGCGCAACGAGGCGGGCGAGATGCTCGCGCGCCGGTCGGACGGGCGCACACGAGCGCCTGGACGGCGCGCAGGGAGGGCAAGCTGGCGGCGAGCGCGCGGCGTGCCGAGGCGGAGGAGGGAGGACGACGCAAAGGCGGGCTCGAGGTCGGCGCCTCAGGGCACGTACAGCGACTTGGGGGCGTCGCCCGCCGCTCCCGCACCGGCTCCTGCTCCGGCGCCGCTCTTTGCGCCACCGCGCCCGCCTCGCCCGCCTCGCCCGGACCCGCCACCGCCGCCGCCGCCTCTCGCTCCGCCACCTCCTCCTCGCCCGCCTCGTCCTCCACGCCCCGGCGCACCACCACCACCACCCTCGCGGTCCCCCTGCCCGTGCCCCTGCGCCTGCTGCCGCGCCCGCGCCTGGGCCCTCCACCACGCCCTCGCGCGCTCGACGTCGTCGCTCGCGATGGGCTCGAGCACGCTCGCGGCGCCGGCGCCACCGAGCGAGGGGAAGAAGGTGCCGAGGTAGAAGGCGAGGGCGTCGCCGGACGAGAGGGCGAGGTAGTCGGGCTCGGGCTTGGGGTTGTCGCGGCGCTTGTGCGGGGAAGAGGTCGTGGGGTGAGAGGTCGAGGAGGAGGGGGAGGCGGTCGAGGCGAGGAGCTTGGCGAGTGGTGCGGCGAGAGGTGCGGGTGTCGAGAGGCGCGAGTCGTAGGTAACGGCGGCGGGCGGTCGGGGTGCGGGCGCGGTGGCGGAGGAGGAGGAAGAGGTGGACGAGGGCGCGGGCGGAACGCGCAGGTAGAAGTGCAGGATGCACTGCAGCGTCGAGCGCAGGTGGACGGGGATGTCGTTGGCCGTCGGGAGCGGAAGCGGCTCGGGCTCGTGCTCGTCGTCGTCGCCGAAAGCGGCGTCTCGGCGGTACGGCGGCGGCAGGTCGACGCCCTCGGGCAGCTCGACGACCCATCCGTCCGGGACGACAAACATGCGCTCGACCTCGTGCCACGGGAGCTCCTCGCCCTGGGCCTGCGGGCGCACGCGCGTGCGGGCGTCGGCGTCGCGGGCCGAGAAGGCGGCGTGGATCTGGCGCGAGATGTCGAGCTGGGTCTCGAGGAAGCGGGTCGCGTCGCGGGCGAGGTCGTGGAGCGGGTTGGGCGCCTTCTTGAGGAGGTCGAGGGTCGAGAGGGCTGTGGGTGCGGCGAGGAGTGAGTGCGTTTGGCTCGAGAGAGCATCGGGAGAGGGAGGCGGACCAGAGAGGGGGACGACGAGCTGGAACGTGTCGTCGCGGACCCAGCGCTTGAGGACGGGGAGGGCGTGCACGAGGGCACTGGCGTCGACGACGCGGACCTGGCGCGGTGCCGAGCTGCGGCGTGCTGCTCCCCCACCTGGACCAGATGCACGACCACCTCGCCCACCTCGAGGCGGGTACAGGCGCGGGTCGCGCGAGAAGGCGAGGGTATCGACAGATTTCTCGAGCTGCGAGACCTGGTGGGCGAGGAAGGCGGCCCCGAGAGCTTTGGACTGGCGGTCGCGCTGCGATGAGGAGGACGAGGCGGTGAGCGAGGACACGGGGAGGGGCAGGGCAAAGGCGAGGATGCACCTTTTGGTCGTCCGACTCCATGTGAGGCTCTGCAAGCTTGGTCGAGCTTGTGGTGGTCGAGCGAGGTGAGCCGGTTGGACGAGGAGAGACGGGCGAGCCGAGGCAGCTCGTCTCTCTCTCTGCACTCGCTCGGATGTCGCACAGGCCAGCTTAGAGCCTCGCTGCAGCTCTCTACACTCGGCTGGTCCGACCCGCAACCTCCACCGTCGACCCCTCCCCCTCGCCCGCTCCTCCTCCTCGTCGGCCTCGCCCCACACCATGCCCCTCGCCCGCCTCAGCGCCGAGCCACAGCCAAAGCCCGCTACCCCACCACTCGACCCTCGAGTCGCACGCGCACGCTCCACCACCACCCTGCGCGACCCAAAGGCCGACGACTGCTCGAGCGCAGCCAGCGTCGCCTCGTCCTCCTCAGCAGCAGGGCCCCACCGCTCCTCTGCCACCTCGATCAAGAGCGAGCGCACCGTCAAGACCCCCTACACCGTACGCCCCTGCTCACTCTCAACCTCGTCGCACCCTCACTGACCTTCTCGCCTCGCGCCGCAGAAGTCGCACTCGTCCAAACCGGCCTCCTCGCCCCTGCCTACCAGCATTGTGCGTCACAGTTCCTCCCTTCCTCCCACAGAGACGTTCCTGACCTCTCGACCTACAGTACGCGCGCGACAACTCGGGCCTCGTGTGCGTCCGCCTTCCCTCCCTCGGCCCCTGTCTCCTCTGTCCCTCGCTCACCTTGTTCCCCCCTTCGACAGCTGCTGCGGTACCTGTCTGCGGGTGCGTCTCGATCCGCCTCTACTTTCGCATCGTGTCACCTCGGAGCTGACCCCTCGTGCTCCCTGTGCCACAGTTCCTCCCTCCTCGCACCTACACCGCCAACCAGCTCTCGGCCGCCCACCGCGCGTTCACCTCGGCCCGCCGCGACCACCGCGAGCTCAACCTGCGCGAGTTCCCAAGGTGCCTCGAGTGTACGGCGCCTCAAGTCGTCGACCTCAAGTGCCGCGTGTGCGGCTTTGTGCGCCCGGCGAGCTTCTTCTCCGAGGCCATGGTGCGCCGCCACGCTCTCTTGCCTCGAGCCGGGTAACGGTCGTCCCTCACGATCGTCTTTACTGACTTCTGCGACGAGTCCCGAGCGCGCAGAGGTCCAATACGCACGGCGCGACGTGCCGGGCCTGCCAGTCGGTCGCGACCGAGGTCAAGGACTCGATGCCGCGAGCTGTGCGTCCTCAACTCTCCTTGCCTCTCGTTCAACGTCGACCAACATGTCTCTCGCTCCTTCGCGCAGGAGTGCGTCGTCGTCTCATTCTGCCAGACCGCCCCACGACGAGCGCACTGACCCCTCCTTCTTCCTCCTTCTCTCCCTCGTCTCGTCTCGCCCTCTCCCGATTCGCCTCTCCTCCTCTCTCGCCGTACAGCCTCGAAGCCGACCCGTTCGACGCCCTCTCGTCCGACGACGACCTCGACTCGGACGCCCTCAGCGACGACCACCTCTCGAGCCGCAGCAGCGTCCGCGGTGGCTCGGCGCGGTCGGGCGCTTTCCGTGCAGGCGGTACGGCAGGGCAGCGAGATGGCGAGGACAGGACGGGCAGAGTGGACGAGGCGTACGGCGTGCGGGATGGCGAGGGAGCGCTCGCGGGACGGGCACTCGGGCTTGAGAAGGACGAGGACGAGGAAGACGACGCCAAGCCGAGCGGGTCGCGGCCGGCCGTCGTGTACGATGACGACGACGACGACGACGAGTGGTGAGCGGCCTGCAGTCGGACGCCTGTTGTTGTCGTCGAGCGAGTGCGGCGAGAGCGGCTCTCGTGGACTTTTGCCTCGCCTCGTCGCCCTCGACGCCCTATCGTAGAACGACCCTCCTTTCTTCCCCTTTCTCCTGTGCACGCTTTCATTTCCCCATCCCTTCACGTCCGCTTCTGTCTTTGCAAGTCGCCCTCGCATCCAGCGCAGCCGTTTCGAGCGCGAGAGAGACGCGAACGACGAGGCGAGCGGGGTTCTCTAGTCTCGCTCGTGGCCTCGTAGAGCTCGAGAGCACGCAGACACGCAGCGTTCGTCGACACGAGGAGCGAGCTAGCGAGAGCCGAAGTCGAGGGAGAGGCGCGTTTCGAGTCGTGCCCTCCTCGCCCCCATCCTCGCCTCCCTCGCGAGCTGGGGCGCACACACGGCGTGGCCGGCACGCCCGTGCGTCTCATTAGCCCTCACGAGCTGCACGCGCGCCCTCGCTCGCGCTCGCCGACCGCGCAGGGCGACTCGCGCCTTCATCAGCAACCCGCGTCGGTCGACCACTCTCGCCCCTCGACAACGACTCGTGGACTGGTGGACGTGCTCGTCGAGGACACGAGGAGGTGCAAGGAGCAGCCGGGGCAGGGCGGCAGGGCTCTACGGGCGCGGGGCAGCAGGTGCGTCCTCGTCCTCCCCGCCTCCCTCTGTTTGACGACCCTCTCCCTCGTCTCTCGCCCTCGCCGCCGCCTCGCGACGCATTTAGGGCAGGTCCTGAAGCTGACCTGATCACCCTACAGGCCAAGCGGCTGCGCAGGGTGGGCGGTCGGAGGTTCTCGCGGCGGGCGACTCGCTCTCATCCTCGCGCCGGTTCATCTAGATCCTTGTACGTCCCTCTCGCTCTCGTCCTTTGCCCGAGGACCCACACACGGGGTACCGTCGTCCCTTGAACCGCGCGTTGACCCTCTCGATCATGCGCCGCAGCTTTGTCGAGCCCTTGATGGCATCCCCCTCCTTCTCGTCCCCCGAAAGCTCCCCCTCGTACCCTTCCTGCGCCCCACGATGGCTCTTGTCGACGTCAAGGCGCCCTCTGTAGGATATGGGCGGGCCCCGGTGGACCAAGCTGCCCGCCCTGTGAAAGCTACTCGTCCCGGCGGCCGACCAAGCCGAGCCGTCGAGGACGGGTCTGACGAGGCCGCGCCCGCTCTCTGTGCCCTCGATGGGCAGCGAGCGCCCCCCGGTGAGCCGTTGCGCACGGCAGCGCCCCTCGGGGCCAGCCCGTGCGCCCGGCCACCCACTAAAAACAGGGGGATCCTGCGCACCCTCGCTCAAACGCTATCTCTTGATCCAGCAGGGTTACGGTGTTCTGCTTGCACCAGATCGGACGACGTGGTTCTGCGGTGCAATCGAGCGCGTTTCCCGAGGTATTTTGTCTTGTAGAGCGCGAGTTGGCTTCCTCCCTCGTCGTTTCCAGTACGAGGCTCGCGAGGCGAGAGACGCTCTCCCTGCGGGCCCTTTCTGCCTCGCCCTCTCGCTATAGGGACGCTAGAGTCTGTCCTGAGCGAGAGAAGGCGCACCGACACTTGTGGGCCGCTCAGTCCGCGTCCTCGTCGACTCGCTCCTCGAGCTGGTTCTCACTGCTCTTGCCGCGGTCGTGCGCTTCCTGTCAGCTCAGCCCGTCACCAGGGGTCTCCCTGAGTGTATCGGAGTGCTTCCAAAGCGCGACAGAGTACCGTCGAGGCCGGATGACCCGGCAAAGCTCGTCCTCGTCGTCGTTGATTTGCTGCTTGGACTTGCTCGCGCTTCCTTGCGCACAGACCTCTCGCTTTCTCGGTCTTGCTCCTCTCGGTCGGCGTGTCGAGACACATGCTCGACTGGAGTACCGTCGTTGAGAGGTTTCCGCGACAGCGCCCGCACGATCCTGCGCCGAGAGGGAAGTCGAGGAGGAGGCAGCGCATGAGCCGCTTCGCCTCTCGAGCTCGACCTGGCCGCACAGAAGGACACAGACACGGACACATTACAGCCGACGAGAGGGTGAGACGAGACGAGAGAGAGAGGGATAGATAGACGTCTACAAAGGCGAGAGAAAGTTCCGACGAATTCGCCACGAGCCCTCACTCCTCCTCCTCCTTGAGCGAGGCCTTGCCGGACCCGCCGCGCGCAGCACCTGCTTCGTCGTCGAGGAAGAGCTGCGTGGCGCCGAACCGGCGCGTCGGCGTCTTGGCGTCGAACAGGACGTCGATTTGCTCGAGGGTCAAGCCTGCGAGGGGAACGAGCGCGAGGTCAGTTCGCTCTCGGGTCCGGCGACAGGGAGAGAAAGAGGACGCACCCTTCATCTCGGGCACGAAGAAGTAGACGAACGGGATCGAGATCCAGGTGAACGCCGCCCAGATGAAGCCAATCGAGCCGCCGAGGTTGCCGTAACCCGGGTCCTGGACGTACGGGCTCACGAGCGTGATGATCCTGCGCGACAAGGATAAGTGTGAGTAAGACTCGCTCGTTACGAGGGACGAAAGGCGAGAGAGTGCGCGAGCCGGGAGAGAGGGCGAGAGAGGAGGACGCACAGGGACGTGCCGAACGCCGAGAACGTGGCGACGCTCAGGGTCGGCTCGCGCGCACGAGCCGAGCAGACCTCGGAGCAGGTGATCCAGACGAGAGGCGACCAGACGAGGCCAAAAGTGAAGTACCTGCGAGGGAAAGGGGAGGAGAAAGGGGGAGTGTCAGTAACTCGGGCTACGAGAATGCGCTCGAGCGCCCCAAGCCCTCCCCCTTTTCGCTCGACGGTCGACGTACCAGATGAAGATCATGGCGAGACCAGCCTTCTGCGCGCCCGACGTGATGGCGTCGCCGTATGCGACGTTGATGCCGCACGTGATCGTCAACGCCGTCGCGCAGACGAGCGCGCCGAGCATGAGCATCGGCCGACGACCGAACCGGTCGGGCAGGTAGAAGGAGCACAGGATGGCGGCGAGGTACAGGCAGCTGCGGGCGGAAGGGAGAGGAGAAGAGTCAGTTTGAGAAGGCTCTCGAGGTGGGTTCAGACGGAGAAAATGGGCGAGCGGGACGTACTAGAGGGCCATGACGATCTTGAAGACGTCGGTCATGCCGAGGGCGATCAAGAAGAGAACGATGTAGTTGGTCACTGTGCGGGAAAAAGGTCAGGCTGCTGCCGGCTGCGGGAAAGGGAAGATCGGCTCGACGCACTGTACGAGCTGCCCTGGGCCTGCTGCAGGCACATGACGCCGACAGCGATGAGGGCGCGACGACGGTCGGACCCCTTGAAGACGGCGAAGATGGACGGTTTCTGAATCGCCTTCTCGTGCTCGTACGCGGCCGAGAGCGTCGCGATCTCGTCGTCTGCCGAGAAGCCGTCGACGCCGGCATTGAGAAACTCGAGGGCTTTGCGAGCCTCGTCGTGCTTGCCCTGGAACACGAGGTACCGAGGCGACTCGGGCATGAACCAGACGCCGGCGAAGAGGAAAGCCGGCGCGATGAACTGCAGCCCGATGCAGAGCTGCCACGCGAGGTCGTCCGTGCGCGTGTTGAGCTTGTAGACAGCGATGGTAGATACGATTACGCCGACAATCTGGACCGCCTGGTAGATGTTGACGACCGCGCCGCGAAGAGGAGCGGGAGCGAGTTCGGCGTTGTAGAGCGGCACGACGTTGGCGGCGATTCTGCAGGCCCGCGAAAAGACATCGACCATGGCGAAGGAGGACGCGAGGGAGGGCAGAGGTCAGTGCGAGGTGACGGACAAGAGGGGCTCGAGAGCTGGACGCACCCCATCGAGATCGAGTTGACCACCTTGCCGGCGACGAGCTGCCAGTACCGGAAGCCCCGCACGCTCGCCGTGATCTGGATGATGATACCGACGAGCGCGAGGATGGCCATGAGCTTGATGCCGAGACGACGTCCTCCCCACCGACCGATTGGCGTCGCGAGAGCGCAGCCGATCATGATGCCGGCCATGCCGAGCGACGTACCTGCACGCAGAGGAAGACTGTCAGGATGTGGGCAAGGAGAGAGAGAGAGAAGCTGGGCCACGCACCAGCAGACTGCTCAGAAGCCGAGAGCGAGACGGTCACGGTGCCGTCGGCCGCGGTCGTCGTCTGCGAGCCGAACGCGCTGTTGAACGCCGGCACGCCGAGCAGTGTGCCCCACCAGCCGTTGTCAATGCCCTGCGAGGGAGAGCAGGGAGGATCAGTTCGATGGACGAGGAGAACCGCCAGGAGGACGAGGCCGGCGACTCACAAACATCAAGGCGCCGATGGACGCAAAGCCAGTGCTGAGGAGGACGCCCTTGGTGACGGCCGGCATGTTGGTGGAAGCGGCTGAGCGGCTTGCTGACGAGGGCGGGATGGGTGCGACCGAGTTGCTCAGGCGACGAGAGAGGAGAGGGAGGAGGAGGAGCTGGTGCGAGAGCAGTGCTGGCTCCACGCCAGGAGCCGGCAGATAGGCAGGAGCAGAGCGGGGGCCAGCTTCCGAGCAGCAGCTGGCCCGCTCGCGAGTGCGGTCGAGCTCGAAGCAAAGCGCGGGCGAGATGAGAGAGGAGACGAAGCTGTGCGGACGAAGCGAACCCTGCGACGGACCGTTGTCCCCCGCGATCGAGGCCCCCGCGGCAAACTGCGAGCTTGCCCTTCGGCCGAGTCGCTCGAGCGCACGCGCTTGAGCTGCGTCGGCTCGTCGGCACCTCTCTTTCCTTCCGACCAACCGCAACATTTTGATGAGACACTCGGCTCTCGTTCCCCTTATCTTGCCCTCGCTGGCGCCGTGTGCCCACGCTGCACGCTCGTACAGCGCTCTGCTTGCTTCTGCTTCACCGCTGCACCGCACCCGCGACCGCCCCGCTTCACCGCCTCGTCGCTCCCCCCTCGCCTCCTCCTCTCGCTTCCTCGCGCTCTCCTCGTCGCCGCCTTTCGCCCTCGTTCGCCGACATGACCGAGCCAGTCGACACCAAGACGTCCACTCCCGACGTCAAGCTCGACGTGCGCTGGATGGAGCGCGATTTCAAGGGCTACGGCGAGTTCCCTCCCGACCCCAAGTGGCCCGGCGGCGCTCGCGTCGCCGTCAACTTTGTCCTGAACTACGAGGTGCGTCGGCGTCTTTTTCTCGTCGATACTCTCCCTGCGAGCATTCCGCTGACCCCTTTGTGACCGCAGGAAGGCGGCGAGCGCTGCGTCGAGGACGGCGACCCGCACGCCGAGACGGTTCTCCACGAGTTCGGCTCGCTTTTGACGGTCGTTCCAGGTGCCCGGGACCCAGCAACAGAGTCCCAGTACTTATACGGCAGTCGAGTCGCGACGTGGCGCATCCTGTCGCTCTTCAAGAAGCACTCGATCCCGATCACGTTCTACGCCGTCGCGAAAGCGTTCGAGCGCAACACGGACGTCGTCAAGCGCGCACTGGATGACGGTCACGAAGGTGCGCTCTCGCCTACTCCCTCTCTCCGTACGGCGTCGCCGCTCGTCCGCACGAGGCGGTCGGCGTTTGGGCCTCTCGAGTTCTCGGCTCACTTCTCTCGTCTTACCCACCCTGGCACAGTCGCCTCGCACTGCTACAAGTGGCAATCGTATGCCGACCTGACCGACGAGGAAGAAGAGCAGTACATCCGCAAGGCCGTCGAGAGCTTCAAGGCGACGACGGGCAAGGTCCCTGTCGGCTGGGTCTGTCCCTCTCTCGCTCTCTCTCTGTCACCTCTCCTCCTGGCCCCGCACCCTCTTCCTGACGTCGTCCCGTCCTACAGTACTACGGCAGGCCGTCGGCGAGGTCCGTGCCGCTCATCGCCAAGGTCTACCGAGAGCTCGGCCACGAGTTTCTCTACTTGTGCGTCCTTCTCTCTCTCTCGACCGCCCGAGCACGCCGCTCACACGTGACACGTCTGCAGCTCCGACACCTAGTGCGTCCTGATCACCTCGACGTGTCTCGGGCCCGCAGATACTGAATTTGCGGACCCGCAGCGCCGACGACCTCCCCTATTATGTGCCGCTCCCCGGCTCGACGACGGGCGAGGCGCTCACGATGGCGCCCTACTCGCTCGACCTTAACGACTTCAAATTTTGGCTCCCCGGCGGCTACGGCTCGAACGAGGCGTTCGTGGCCGCGGTCCGCGACGCCGTGCAGACGATCCGCGAGGAGGCCCAAGCGGGCGAGCGCTACGGCTACGTGACGATTGCGCTTCATGCTGTGCGTCCTCTCTCTCTTCCCTCGTACTTGAGCCGTCCGGCGGCAATACAGCCGGTCGGCCTCGCTCTCGAACGAGCCAGACAGTCCCTGACCTTCCCTTTCCCTCTCCTCCTTTCGCTCCTCCTGCTCCTCCTCTTCCGTCGCCCTCGTCCCCCGCCGCAGCGATGGATCGGGCGGCCGAGCCGCATGCAGACGCTCAAGCGCATCGTCGAGAGCCTGGTCGCGAGCGGCGACGTTTGGTTCGCAACGCGCGAGCAGATTGTGCGGCACTTCAAGGAGGTGCACCCGCCCCCACGGTATGCCCCTGCCGAGTAGAAGCCTTGTAGACGAGCCTCGGAAGGTATCGAGCTCGAGAACCTCTGCCACTGCCTGTCGAGCGAGAGAGCCGTTTGTCAGCGACCTTCTCAAATCGACGCTCTCGGTCGCAATGCGGCTCGACAGCTTCCTGCCGAGCTCACTCGTCCTGTAAACCTCGTCAGCTCTCGGCCTGCTTTGCTCTCTCGTGCACACCTGGCAGATACGCTATAAGAAAGCTTCGCGAGAGGAACTCGACCCGAGAGAGGAAGCGGTTCCTGCGCAGCCTCGCTCTCAAGCCTCGACTCGCGCACCTCTCGACTCACAGCAGGGCAGCGGATACAGATACGTTGCACAGAGTCTACTACAGCGCCGACTTCCACCCACCCTTCTCGCCCCACACTCGCCCGACCGCCTCGCCGACCCAGAGCAGGTGCTGGTCAAAGTACCTCGGCGCGACGAGCGACAGGCCGAGAGGGCACCCGGACGGGCCCGCAAAGCCAGGAACCTGCGTGAGAGGGCCAGTCAGTGAACGAAAGCGAGGTGTGCGACAGCTCGAGAGGGGGAGAGAGGAAGAGAGAGGGAAAGGGAAAGGGCCGGACGCACGTTCAAGACGGGGACCTGGAGAATAGTCCACATGAGGTTGAAGCTCGCGTCGCCCGTGAAGCGGTCAGGCTCGACAAGCTTGATGGCCTCGTCGACCGTGCTTGGCGTCACGAGCGCATCGTACCGGCTCGCGATCGCGTCCAGCTTGGGCCGAAGCGCGGCAATCTTGTCGTAGCCCTCGAGCTGCTGCGCTCGTGTGATCTTGGACTCGTTGCGGACGTGGCTGAGGATGAGCGGGTCGAGAACGTCGGCGTGCATGAGGTAGTCGCCGAGGAAGGCGGAACGGCCCTCGCCCGACAGGACGTAGCTGCGGACAGGAGGGAAGGAGATGTCAGTGGGCACGAGTAGATATAGAAAGAGAGGTCGGACGCACGGATACAGGCGCCACAGCTCCTCGAACTCGGCGGGCAAGTCGACCTCCTCGACCTCGGCACCCTCCTCGACGAGCAGCGTCTTGGCCTTCTCCCACGCCGCTCTCGTGCCCTCCTCGGCGCGTGGCCACACGTGCGTCTTGACAAGGCCGAACTTGGCGCCCTTGAGCGAGAGCGGCTCGACAGGAGGAGGGACGTCGTCCTCGAGGCGGAAGGCGTCGGCGAGGAGCTTGAGGTCGGCGACCGAGCGAGCGTACAGGCCGAGGGTGTCGCACGTGAGCGAGTCTGGGAGGTACGGGAACGCGCAGGATGTTAGCTGAGCGCCCGAGAGAAAGAGCGCGGTCCTCCTGGACCCAGGGTCACGGAGAGAAAGCGAGTTGGACGCACAGATCTTGAGGCCCTCGCGAGAGATGGCGTTCCACGTCGGCTTGAAGGCGTAGATGCCGTTGAACGAGCCTGGCCGGATCGTCGAGCCGCCCGTCTGAGCTGCAGGACGAGGTCGGGAGGTCAGGCTCGCGCAAGCTGCAGGTGCCCTGCCGCTCTGGCTCGAGCTGACAAGGGAGATAGAGAGAGAGGGACGCACTGCCGAGCGCAATCGGGACCTGGAAGTCGCCAACCGCGGCGCCAGAACCAGAAGAAGAGCCGCCGGCGGTCCTGGTCGGGTCGTGCGGGTTCCTCGTCTCTGGGCTGGAGGGGGTTCGGGCGGTGAGCGGCGCGACCTCGTCGTGGTGGGGAAGGAGACGGACGCACCCTCGCTGGCAGGTGGCGAACTCGGTCGTGGTTGTTTTGCCGAGGATGAGGGCGCCGCTCGCTCGGAGCGTCATGACGGGCGCGGCGTCCATGGCGATTGGGACCTTGGAGGCGTAGGCTTGCGAGCGGTACTGGGTCGGCTGGTCCTTGGTCACTGCGCTCGAGGGGGCGGTCAGTGAGGCCGGGCGAGGTGGACGAGCGGGGAGGAGGGACGGACAGATGACATCCTTGACGGCGACGGGCAGGCCGTGGAGGGGGCCGCGCTTGTTGTGCGGGAGAGCATCAAGTGCACGAGCTTGAGCAAGGGCGTGCTCGCGATCGAGGAACGCCCTGTGCGAGGAGGAGGATTGAGAGGTCAGCCAACCACGATCGCGTCCTCCTCTCACTCTCTCCCACGTCCACGCCAGCGAGCGCACTGCTGCGCCTGCTCGCTCCGACCCTGCCGACATCCAGCGAGACGACGCACCAGGCCTTGACCACCGGGTCGCGCTGCTCAATCCGGGCCAGGAGCGCCTCGACACTGCTCGGCCGAAGCAACCTCGTCAGCTCTCGTTCCACCACCCCCGTGAGAACGCGGGACACGCACTACTCGACGCAGGTGACCTCGTTGCCGCGGATCAGGGCAAGGGCGGACGAGGCGTCCAGCCGGTGCAGGTCGCAGAGCGCGTGCGGCATCTTGGGCGACGAGGAGGGGTGGGTCGTGGCTGAGGCTCGCGCGAGGGGACAGGAAGGGGGCGAGGAGGTTGCTCAGCTGTGCGCTTCGGTGCTGTGCGGGAGCGACCAGGCGTCGCTGCTGGCGCCGGCTCGCCTTATCGAGCTCCTCCCCCCGCACGTCGGCTCGTCGGCACGAGCGCCCGCTCGAGCTTGTTCCGACGCTCCTCGCTTGCCCGCCACTCTGCTCGTCGCTCCGCCGTGCCGAGCCCGCCGGGCACTCGACGGCAAGTCGGGACGATGCCGATCAGCGCTCCTCCGCCCGCGCCCGCGCTCAAGGCTCGCCGGCGCGCCTGCACCTCGTCGCGCTCGCCGAACGACGCCAACGCACCCCGACTCGCTCCAGCACTGCCATGGCCAAGGCCGCGTACGTGCTGCAGGACCAGACGAGCCGGTTGAGCGGCGGGCAGCTCCTCATCGTCGTGCGTCTTCCCCGCTCTCTCTCCCTCCTCCTCGTCGGTTCACTGTCGAGCCAACCTGATGACGGACCTGCTCTCGTCGCGCAGTTCTTTGGCCTGCAAGTCGCCCTCTTCCTCTCGTTCCTCGATTCGACGTCCGTCTCGACCGCCGCACCCGCCATCGGCCGCGACTTGAACGCCTCGTCGAGCATCAGCTGGGTCGGCTCGTCGTTCCTGTTGGCCAACACGTCATTCCAGATCGTCACGTCGCGCCTGAGCGACATCTTTGGCCGCAAGGCGGTCCTCCTCGCCGCCCTCTTCCTGTTCGTCGTCGGCGACCTCTTGTGCGGGTTCGCGCAGAGCGGCATCTGGCTCTATGCCTGTCGAGGTATCGCCGGCATCGGTGGCGGCGGCATCAACAGCCTGAGCATGATCATCGTGTCGGACGTCGTCAACGTGCGAGACCGTGGAAAGTACCAGGGGTGCGTCCCTCGTCCTCGACTCTCCCGATCGTCGCCTCTACTGACCTCGTCTCGTCCCCTGCAGCTTGCTCGGCATCGCCATCTCGCTCGGCAGCGCCGTCGGGCCCTTTGCTGGCGGCCTCTTTGCGCAGTACGCAACGTGGCGCTGGTGCTTCTGTTCGTCCCGGCCTCTTCTTCTCCTCCCCCTCGTCTCACACTGACACGTCCCGCTCGATCGCCTGCAGGGATCACGCCGCCAATGGGCGTCGGCACGATGCTCATCATCTGGTTCCTCCTCCCGCTCAAGCACGTGCCGGGCGATTTCAAGACCAAGCTGCGGCAGATGGACACGACCGGGTCCTTCCTCGCCCTCGCCATGACGATCTGCTTCCTCGTCCCTCTCGCCGGCGGCGGCAGCAGCTTTCGGTGGGACAGCCCCGTCGTCATCTCGCTGTTCGTCGTGTCGGGCGTCCTCGCCGGCCTGTTCTTCTTCGTCGAGGGCTGGCTCGCCAAGCTCCCTCTCCTTCCCGGCAGGATGTGCGCCCACCTCTCGCTCATCATGCGACTCAGACAACCTCTCTCTGACCTTTGTCGACGTCCGCAGGTTCAAGAACCGCAACATCGCGCTGCTCCTCGGTCAGGTGCGCCCCGTCTGGTTCCCTCTCTCGATCCCAGTCAGCCAGTTTCTGACCCACCTCTCACACAGACGTTCCTCGTTGGCATCTGCTACTTTGGCAACATCTACATGGTGCCGCTGTACCTGCAGAACGTCCTCGGCGCGAGCGCGATCAAGTCGGCGGCGCTCCTCCTCCCGCTCGTCCTCGTCCAGACGTTCACGACGACCCTGAGCGGCTACGTCCTTAAGTGGACCAACCGCACGAGGGCGTCCTTCTTTGTCGGCTTCGTCCTGTGGTGCGCCGGGCAGGCGGGCCAGGTCGCCTTCAGCCGGACGACCTCGGTCGGCGTCATCGTCGGCGTCCTCCTCGTTCAAGGGCTGGGCATCGGCGCGACGTTGCAGAGCAGTGCGTCCCCTCTCTCCTCGCACTCTCGAGTGTGCGGCACCCTGACGAGGACGCATGCGCCGCAGCTCTCGTCCTCATCCAGGTCTCGGGCCCGTCCGAGGACCGTGCGGTCGTCACCGGCGCGCGCAAGTGCGTCCTGCTCTCCCCTCTCTCCTTTTCTCTCGGCGCCTTGACTGACGTACTCGCTGTTGCACAGCTTCGTCCGCTCGCTCGGCGGCGCGATCGGCCTCGCAGTCGGCAACACGCTCGTCAACAACCTGTTCGTCAAGAACCTGCCGCCGTCGTTGCCGGACTCGGTGCGCGAGCAGCTCCAGCGCGAGTTTGTCCTGCCCGTCGATATGAGCCATGACGTCAAGGACCAGGTCCTCGACGCGTACATGGCGGGCATGCGCGCCGTCTTCATCTTCTTCGTCCCCGTCGTCGCGATCTGCCTCCTCCTCTGCTTCTTCATCAAGGTCCGCCCCTCTCTTCCTCTCTCTGCGGCCATGTGCAGCTGTACGTGTACTGACGAGAAACTTCTCGTTGCAGGACCTGCCGCTGTCGCCTCCCGAACCAGCGACCGAGCCATCCTCGTCCAGCTCGAGCGACACAGCCGTCGACGGCGACGACGAGAAGGGCCTCGACAAGGCGGGCACGCTCTCGAGCACGACGTTGGCCTCGCCTGTCGAGCTCGTCGAGGTCGAGGAACAGCCGGCGCCGAGCTGCTCGGCCAGACATGAGCCAGGTCCGCGACGAGGAGGCGAGGACGGCTCGACGGCGGTGCCGAGCGTCGAGTCGGACAAGTCGCCCGTGTAGAGACTGCAACTAACTAGACCGTGAACATTCGTGCACGCTCGCAAGGAGATGTGCGAGCGCGACGAGCGCGACGACGAGCTCGAGAGCTGGAAAGCGAGCCATAGCGACTCAAGCGAACGCTCTGGCGCGGGCGAGCTGGCGTGCAGCCGGGCGAACCCGTTGACTGGAGCAGAGTGTGCGGCAGAACGTGCGCGCAGACGGCCTGAACGAAGCGAGATGGGTCGCTCGCAGCGAGCGGAGAGGAGGGCGTGCAGCGCGCACTGGCGGGAGCGCGGCACCGCGTCGAGCACAGAAGCAGCCAGTGCAAGCTCAGAGGCAGGCAGGCACCCGCTCTGCAGCAGCGAGGAGCGAGATGACGGGTCGAGAGGGAGTCTCGTCTCAGCTTCTCGGCGACGACCAGGCTGCTTCTCTGCCTCTACCTTCGACAGCATGAGCGTCTTCTCCGCCAACTCTTTCGCTCTCCTGGTACGTCCACCGCCCGCCTGTCGCACGCGCTCTGCGCCTGGTGCGCCGACGAGCGAGCGACGAGCTCCGGCGCACCTGCTCCCACCTCGCAGAGCTGGCGTCGCACCCTCGCACCTCTAGGAGCTCGCGCGGTACCTCGTGCATCGACTGACTCGTCTCCTGTGCACGCAACAGGGCGACGGTGACGACTCTGCCCCGGCCGCTGCCCCGGCCAAGGCCGCCCCGGCTGCCGCTGCCCCTGCGGCTGCCCCCAAGGCCGCGCCCAAGCAGCACCGCGACTCTGCGCCGCGCCAGCAGCGCCAGCCCCGCACCGGCGGTGACCGCGAGGTCAACGCTTCAGTCCCTGCCGGCGAGGACGCCAAGGAGGACCGCGGTGAGCTCTTTCTCCTCGTCGCCTGCCTCCCCGCGACCTCGAGACGGCCTTCAGTTTTTTCCCCTGGGTCGAGCGGGCACGCGTGTGGGACGGGCAGATGCGGACAGCCTGTGCGGAGCGGGAGCTGTGGTCGGCACGGCAGCACGTGCGGCGTTGCGCTGTCGGGACGAATCGCTGACCTCGCTCTCCTCGCCCACCTTCCCACGCGCCCGCCAACTCGCACGACCTCGCCCACCTGCCCCACATCACCTCGGCCCGCTCCTCGTCACCTCCCTACCTCTCGACCAACTCGCAGCCAAGTCGTTCGCCCGTGGCGGCGGCCGTGGTGGCCGTGGCGGCGTCGCTCGCGGCCCGGGCGCCAACCCGCGCGGCAACGGCGGCACCTACCTCGGCGGCAACCGCCCCCGCCGCGACAACGGCGGTGGCCGTCCGTTCGACCGCCACTCGCAGACCGGCCGTGTGTGCGTCCCCAAATCGTCTCGTCGTCGAGGAGGGGGAGGGAGGTCGACGCCGGCGACGAGGGAGGGAGCCGTGGACGACCTCGGTGACTGACTCGTTCTCGTGTGCGCGTCTACAGCGACTCGGAGAAGGCCGAGGCCGCCGGCTGGGGCGCCGAGGACGGCAAGAAGGAGCTCGAGGCTGAGCAGCTCGGCGACGCCGACGCCAAGGCCGAGAAGCCCACCGCCGCCGCCGACGGTACCGCCACCCCGGTCCGCGAGGCCCCGGTCGAGGAGGAGGACAACACGCAGACCTACGAGGAGTACCTCGCCGCCCAGGCCGAGAAGAAGCTCTCGCTCTCGCTCCCCGAGGCCCGCAAGGCCAACGAGGGCGACGACGCCTCGTTCGGCCAGGCCCTCACCAAGAAGGCCGACGCCGAGGAGGAGTGGCTCTACGGTGCCCCCGTGCGTCCCTCTTTTCCCTCCCTCGTTCCCGCCGCGCCGGCGTCCCTGACCTCGTCGTCCCCCTTCCCTCCCTCCCCCGCCAAGCAGAAGGCCGCCGCCGGCAAGACCAAGAAGCAGAAGGAGGGCAAGACCTTCATCGAGGTCGAGTTCACCTCGGCGCCCCGCAAGGACACGCGCGGCGAGCGCGCCCCGGCTGCTCGCGGCCGTGGCGGTGCCCGTGGTCGCGGCGAGGGCCGTGGCCGCGGCGGCGCCCGCGGCGGTGCCACTCGCGGCGCTCCGTCGTCGCGTGGCTCGGCCCCGGCCGTCCCGGACGCGTCGGCCTTCCCGGCCCTCGCCTAAACAGCGCGTCGACCCGTGACGGCGCCGAGACGGCGTCGTCGGTACCTCTCCCGCCGACTCGCCCGCCCTCTGCGCCCTCCCGACCCGCTCCCCCTTCCCCTTTCCCCGCCCATCGCATCGCCGCTTTTCTCCTTTTCACCCTCGACGCGACCCTCGACGGGTCGACCGCCTCGCCGCATCCTGCTCGACCCGTCGCCGGCGCCGCCGTCGCCTCCCCTTTCCTCCTCCTTTCGCCAAAAGCACCGGTCCTTCTCCTTCGCGCCTCGTTCCGCAGGGTTTCCGCCGCGTCGTTTCAGCCTTCCTTGCCCCCTCCCCCTCCTCCTCATTCTACTCTCTCTCCCACGGACGGACCTCCCCCTTTTTGTGTCCTTCTCCTGTATTCGTCGTCGCAAGCGGAGGGTCGCAAAAACACCGGATCCACATATACCGTCGTGTGCTAGAGCGAGAGAAAGCTTGCGAGGAGAAAGAGCGCGCCAGTCGTCGTCGTCGTCGAGAAGCCCCCACATCTCGCTCGCCCTCACTCTCTCGCCAACGCTCGCCGGGCCGCTCAGCATGCCTGCGTCGACGGCTCTGCTATCCTCGAGCAGCACGGCGCACACGGCGAGCGCATCCGCCGTGCCGCCGCCGAGCGCCCTCGTCGACCTCCCGGTCGAGATCCTCGACCTCGTCATGCACTGGGTCGCGCTCCTGCGGTACGAGTACAGCGAGTCGCGCCGTCCGAGGCCCTCTGCGCTCCACCACCTCGCCTACGGCACCAACAGGCGCATCCGCCGCGCCGCCCTCCCCCTCCTCTGCCGACAACCCGACGAGTTCGAGTACGGCACGCCGCAGCAGGTGTGGATGCCTGGCGAGGGCCTCGTCGACCGCGATAACTACGCGCGCGCATGGCGGCAAGCGCGACAACTCTCGGCGCACCCGCCGTCCAGCCAGACTCGCCTCGAATTGGTCGCCTACCACCGCCTCGCCAACATTCCGCCTCTGCCGTTTCACCACGTCAAGCATCTCGAGCTTCGGCGACCTGTACCAGAACACATCGACGACAAGGTCGCGAGCGCTTACTTGGACGCGTTCCCGGCGCTCACGTCGCTCAAGGTCGTCGAGCCGGGCGAGTTCTTCTTGCGCGACTTGCGCCTCGCCGACCTGTCGCTCGTCGTGCGACCTCGCGCCTCGATCAACATGAGTAGTTTGTCGTCGATGTGTCGCGGCCTGCGACGCCTCGAGATCGAGGTCGTACGCCGACCTCGACCCGGCGAGCCGGTCGTCAAGTTCCCGCTCGTCGTCTTCCTGCGCGAGAACACCTTTGTGCGTCCGCGCCGTCCAGCTTCATCGATGGCGACATACTCCTGACTGTCTCGCTCCCGCAGCCGATTGACAGCATCTTGCGCGACCTGTCGCTCTCGGTCCGCCTCGACCCGACCCTGCGCTCCTTCCCTCAGCCCATGCGGCCCATCGTCGAGGCCCTCAGGAAGACGTTCGGCTCGTGCCGTCTCACGTCGCTGTCGCTCGACGACTACACGACCTGCGCGCCGCAAGACCTCGCCGTCCTCGCCACGACCTTTCCGACGCTCGAGTGCCTCTCGCTCCCCGACAGAACGACCTGGGACGGCTCCCGAGTGCGTCCCTCTCTCTCTGTCCTCTCGGGGACGATCGTCTATAGTGTATCGACGAGGACCTGATCTCGTCTTGCTCGTGCAGGCCGACCTGCTCGCCGCGCTCGAGCCTCTCACCGCCCTCAAGAAGCTCTCCTGTCGCCTTCTTCCCGTCACACCCGCTTCGACGTACGATACGCCGCCAAGTGCCACCTCTTCTCCAGCCACTCTAGCTGCCGACGACGCGCAAGAGCCCGACACAGCCAACGACGCCGCCGCCGCCGCCGACGACGACGCGCTGTTCGCCTCGCCACACGCGATCGCGCTCGAGGCGGCCGCGCACCTGCCGCACCTCGAGCTGGTCGGTTTCATCGGGCAGCACTGCGGGACCGAGTGGGTGCGCGTGTACAGGGACGAGCGCGGGAGGCCGGACGCGGTCGAGGGCGTCAGGTTGGTCGAGATGGACTTGGACCGGCCGTAGCGGAGCGAGATGGCGAGGGTGCACTGTATGCTGTCGCTCGCCGAGATGTGACCCTCCCTCGTCGAGAGTGCGAGCCCGCAGAGATAGCCTGCGAGACGAGATGATGCGCGGCCTCGCTTCGAGTCGAAAGCGCTCGTCCCGCGTCTTTCACAAAGGGATGCTATGCGCCGGCTCGAGCACCAAACCTCTCGGGACTCGTCGAATAGAGCGAGTCGAACAACATGGCACGAGAGAGGGACAGAAAGTGCTACAAGTTCGGCGGCTCCTCGCCTGCGCTCAGACCCTTGCCTCGTCGCCGCTCCTTCTAGTCCCGCCGTCCTCCTTGATCGCTTCCTCGTACCCTGGCGGCGCCGTCTCGGGCTCGTGCCCGTCGCCACCTGCGCCCTCACCGCCCGGCAAGAGCGGTCGGTCCTCGTCCTCGAGCGAGGTGCGCTCGTCGTCGTCGTCGCCGAGCACGTGCTGCTGCTCGCGCCCGCCTCGAGCCGCAGACCCTCGCTCCTGCAGCTGCACGTCGCCCGCCGCCGACGCGCCGGCGCCGGCGCCGGCCTCGAGTGCGGCGGTGCGCCTCGCCTGGCGCGCCTTGACCCACTCGCGCTGGAACGAGGCGAGGAAACCGAGGCTGAAGGGGCCGCCGAGAAAGATGACGAGGAGCATGATGCTGAAGTGGGTGCCGTCCCATCGAGACGGGGGCCAGAAGGCGCCGGGGAGGCTGTGGGAGCGCGAGAGAGAGGGGAGGAAAGGAGGTCAGTGAGGGCAAGGGGGATGGCGAGGAGAGAGAGGACGAGGCGGCGCACTGGCAAAACTCGTTGAGGCGGGCGTTGCGGACTGCGAGGGAGGAAGGCAGGTGAGCGTCAAGTCGCTGGAGCAACCGCGGAGAGCGAGAGAGAGAGAGAGAGGGACGCACTGTGGCGGTTGACCGAGTAACCGACTTGGCCGGAGCGGTCGATGACCTGGAGCGCGACCTCGGTGCCGTCTGTGAGGTTGGCCATCGAGTCGACGTCGGCGAACGCAAAGCCGGCCATGCCCATGAAGCCAAAGCGCTCGAGGACTTGGACGTCGTCGAGCGAGGCGTTGTGCGAGGCGGGGGGTTTGACAAAGTTGATCGAGTACGGCGGGCCGTCGCCGCCGCCAAAGCTGATGCGGAGCATCTCGCACTCGAGCTGTCCCTCTGAGCGAAAGATGTCGCCCGAGGGAGCGCCGACGTAGGGCTGGCCGAACTCGAGGGGGTCGAGGGGGACGGCGAGGACGGCGCAGGAGAAGGTGGCGAGGGCGACGAGGGCCCTGACAGGTGTGCGCATGGCCTCGCAGGTGCTGTAGCCGTCGTCAGGCGAGTCGTGTGGAGCGGCGAGAGCGAGGGCTCGGCGAGAGGTCCTGAAGCATGTCGTCCTCTCTGAGGAGCGACAACGAGCCAGCTGCAGCCCGTGTGCATCAGCGACTGCCCCGTGCACCTACCACCATGACGTGCGCCGCTGTCCACCCTTTCGTCCAGCCTCGAGGCACCCTCTGACGCCGCGTCGTCGTCCTCTCCTCATCTCCCCGCACAGCTCGCTCGACCCGACCCACGTCCCAGGCCTCGAGCGCGACGGCAACCCGCGCACCGGTCAAGCAGTGTACGACTCGGTCTCGCCCCTCCACTCGCTCTCGCACCACCTCGCCCACCAGGACCGCTCCTCCTCGTCGACCTCTCGCCGCACTCCGCCTCGACCACGCCCCACCGACAAAGACGACGACAGCGACAGCGACGACGACTGCGATAGCGACGACGGCGTCCTCGACAAGGTCCCGATCCCGCCCATCCCCGACCTGCGCTTCGAGCAAGGCGTCCTCGCCTCGATCCGCCCTTTCCTCCACCGCGCCGACGCCGACGCCGCCACCGACGAGGGCGACGCGACCGACGAGAAGAAGGGCAAGCTGCGCGCCGCCGAGATGGGCGCGATCGCGTCGGCCAACTTGACCGCCGAGGGCGGGCCAAAGGGCGAGAGCCCGAGCGACATCTTCATGGCCCCGCTCCGCGTCCAGTGGAGCCAGGTGTCGTACGTCCTCGTGCGGGATCAGGTCCGTCTCGCGTCTCTCTCCCTCTCCCCCGAGCGCACCTCGAGCGGCGACGCCTGACGCACCTCGTCGTCCCCCTCTCGCAGGTCGTCTTCCCGCTCCTCCAGGGCATCCTGTGGGGCGTCGCCGGCTTCTACCTCTCGTCGGTCTGGGACTGGAACAAGGCGAGGCTCGCAGCCAAGTCGAGCGGGACCGCGCGGCCAAGCCTCTTGCGCAGCGTCGGGCTCGGAGCACGATGAGGACCGTGCGTCGACTCTTCGCTCTCCCCTCGCGCTCCGTCGACGCGTCCTGACCTCGCCCGCCTCCTCCAGCTCGGTCACAGACACTCTCCTTTTCTGTACAGAGTCTTGTGCTGCAACGTCGAGCAATCATGTCGTGCTCGGGCTTGTTCGCGCGCGAGAGGAGAGATTGAGAAGGCCACCTCGCTCGAGCTCTCTCGAATGGCGCGACGAGAGATGCACAGACCGCACAAGTTACGCGAGAGCTACAGACGCTTCTAGATTCAGAGACGGGGGGACCTTTGACACGGAGAGAGAAGGACAAAGAGAGAGACCCGCCACCACCTCGCTCAGACGACGGCGACGACCTCGCCCGTGCCCGACTGCTTCTTCTCGAGGTCGGTGTCGCCGTCCGACGTCGCGATGTCGCCCCTCGACGCCGGCGCGAGCAGGTCGTCGTCGATCTCGTAGACGGCCTCGGGCACGAAAGACGACGTCGGCGGCGACACGAGGCAGATGCCGTAGTACAGGACGACGCCGAGGACGCACCCGACGCCCCAGCCGAACGTGTAGACCTCCCACCCTTTGTTGGGGAGTGACGGCGTGATGGCGTGCGCGAGGCCGGGCAGGTTGGGCGCGAGCGCCCCGATCCAGGCGGCGTACCCGCGCCAGTGGACGCCGAGCGTGTACTTGTACGGGCCCGCCGGATCGTACAGGTCGCGCACGTCGATGCGGCCCTTGCGGACGAGGTAAAAGTCGGTCGCGATGATGCACGCGAGCGGGCCGAGGATGACGCTGTAGCTCTGGAGGAAGTTGTAGAAGGACGCGGAGCCGTTGACGACCTTCCACGGGTTTATGGCGATCGCGAGGATTCCGGCGATGATGGACGAGCGCAGGATAGTGAGGTACCGCGGGAGAAGGGCCGTCAAGTCGGTCGCGAACGAGATGCTGTTGGCTGCGGGCGACGACGACGGACTCGGGTCAGCTCGATGGTCGCGCGCGCCTCGCTCCTTCGTGCTCGAAAGATAGAGGAGAAAGAGAGAGAGAGAGAGAGAGGTAGACAGAGAGAGGCAGGGGGAGAGAGAGGGAGAGAGCGGACGGACCGCTAATATTGACGCCCAAAGTTGAGAAGAGGAACATGGCGGCCGCGAAGAATCGTGCCGCCCGGCTCGCCGAGTCGTGGCCCCACAGCGAGACGAGCGTCGCCGCGTCCCACGCCTCGACGCCGTACAGCTGTTGCGCCGCAGCCGTCGCGATTACGCCGCATGCGACGGGCCAGGTTCCGGTGACGGGGACGATTATGATTTGCCACCAGATCGACTTGGACGAGTGCGAGAAGCGAGAAAAGTCAGGAATGTTGAGCTGGACAGTACTGCAGGCGAGTACGAGCGTCAGTAGACCCGAGAGAGGGAGCCGAGGACGAGAGAGAGAGCCGGCGCACCTGTACAAGCCGCCGATGGCGTTCAGGCCGCTAAAGACGGCTGCCGCCTTGCCGTGGGCGGTGAGCGAGCCGTCAAAGGTGCCGTTGAGCGAAGGCGCGTCGCCCTTGGTCGCGGCGAGGGCCCAGAAGCAGATGGCGCTGTAGCCGACGGGGCAGAGGACGGCCTTGACGAGGAACAGGTGGCGCATCTTGTGCACAGGGATGCAGCTGACTGTCGACGGCGAACGAGTCAGGCTGAGGACGAGGGATAGGAGAGAGGGAGAGGAGAGAGGGAGAGGAGAGAGGGAGAGGAGAGAGGGAGAGGAAGCCTCGCAAGGGCGAGTCGACGCACCCGGCGTCTGGATCGCCCAGTACAGGAGGAAGCCGCCGAGCTGCTGCGTCGTAAGGCCCAGGTCGATGGGCAGCGTGTTCTCGATGCGCAGGTACCTGTGGAAGGTCGAACGAGCAGTCAGTGAGGGGAACGGGGAGAGGACGAGTGGATGCGCGGGGAGAGAGCCCGCAGAGGAGAACGGACGTACGACGGCCAAATGGCGCCGAGGAGCTGCGCCATCATCGAGCCGGCGAGGTACCTGCGAGAGATGGACGTCAGGTTCATGAAGATGAGGGACGTAGGGAGAGAGAGAGGGGGCGTACGTCTGGATGGCGAGCTGCGAGAGATGGACGTCAGGTTAATGCAGATGAGGGACGCAGGGAGAGAGAGAGAGGGGGCGCACCCAGAGGAGCGAGAGGATGCAGCGAACGATGATGGCCGGGAAGCTGCCCCAGGGCCCGAGCGACGCCCTCGCGAGGACGGGAAACGACACGTGCATCAATGAGCCGATTTTGCCGTTGACCGCGATGATGATGCCGCACAAGGTGAAGCCGACAAAGGTGATCGGGATGGCCTCGCGGGCCGTCATGCCCATGGCGATGAGGGAGGCGCCGAGCGACCACTGCGGACGGCGAGGTGGGTCAGGCTCGGCTCGACGACGTCGACTCAAGGGTCGCGAGGACGTACCGATGCAGGGCTGAACTGGTCTGACGTCCTGTTCAGGCGAGAGGAGGGTGAGTCGACGAGCGCGGCGAGGACCAGGACGCACGCGAGGACGCACCAGTACGAGATGATCGAGAGCATGCCCCAGGTACGCTTCTCGCGAGGGACTGGGTCCAGATCTGTTGGCGAGGAAGCGCGGGAAGGTGCGTCGTCAGGGCGTGACGGCTGGGAAAGAGAGGATCTCGAGAGGGAGGACGGACCCTTGTTGGACCAGCGCTCGGCTCCCTTGCCCTTCCACCCGGCTTCTTGCTCCACCTTGAGGAGGCTGTCGAGTCTGCGCAACGCGAAAGAGAGAGGGAAACGGCCGTCAGTCGGGGGAATCGCGAGGAGAGGGGAAGGAGGAACGACGCACTTGCGGAGGTACTCCATGGACGGACGAATGGACGGGCGAGGGCGACGATGTAGGTGCTGGGTCGAGGCGGTGACGTCGAGAAGCTGGAAGGGGAGCGAGAGGGACAGGAGCGCGCTGATAGAGGGATACGAGGGGAAGAAGAGGAGCGACAGAAGGGCGGACACCGACGATACGGGCCTCCCCTTCTCTCCTGCCGCGTGCGACCCGATTGCCCTTCCGTCTCGTCGGCACGTCGGAAGAAGCGAAGAAGCAGAGTCTGGGGAACGAGCCGACGAGGAGGGCCTGACGATCTCGGCGACGAGCGGGCAGCAGGCTGGAGCGCGGTCCGCCTTGCACGCCAGGGCACAGCGGCGACGGTACCGTGCGCCGGACTCGATACCGCGAGCCGAACAGCCACGAGCCGAGCTCGGAGAGGAGAGGCCGCCCTCGAGCGATGATAAGGGAGCTCGAGCCCGGCAGCCCTCGTCCTGGGCTGCACGGTCGCCGCCACCGCTCTGCAGGGATATCTGCAGCTTTTGAGCGCGCTGGACAAGGCCGCCGAGCGCTGAGCGATGCGGTGGACGAGCGAAACGGAGGAGGGGAGGTCGGGGTGGGCGAGCGGGCAGTACTGGCGCAGGCGGTGCGGTCGAGGTGTGGTGCAGGGCGAGCTGGAAGGCCCTGAGGTAGGTAGCAGGCCGTCCTTCAGTCGAGAGAAGGCGGTGTCGTCGAGACGTTCGAGGAGGAGAGCGGCGAGCCTGATGAAGTTCTCTGCGCTGGCTCACGCTCTCTCGGGCGGGCTTAATGTGCGCTTGACGTACGAGTGACCAAAGGACCACTCGACAGAGCTCAGCACGACCAGGACAGAGTGCGCTGCGGGTCGTCGAGCGAGCTCTCTCGGTTCCACCGCTGCAAAGGCTCTCTCGACGACGACGGGCTTGCTCGATGGGTATGCAGCCTTCCGACGGATGCTACAGATGGACACGGAGACGAATTGGACGGAAACAAGAGGGGCGAGAGGGGTTGTAAAGGGCGGATGAGGATGGGGACGAGCGTGAGGATGGACAGCGCCAGCCAGCGGCGCGAGGGGGAGATAGTGACAGGGATGCGGGAATAAAGGTAGTGACGGCGGGACAATCGAGGTGGGCGGCGAGGCGATCAGAAGAGAGGGAAGAGATGGCCGTGCGGGTCGGGGCCGGTCGAGCCGTACTCGCTCAAGTCGACCTCTGCGACGGCGAGAGTGTCAGTCTCGCTCCGACGACTGCTCGAGAAGAAGGAGAGAGAGAGGGGAAGACGCACCAGGGTAGGCGTCAAAGTTGCTCGCGTCCCAGTCGCCGTCGACCTTGGGCACGTACGGCGCCGGGATCTCCTTGCGGTACAGGCGCTCCCAGTCGACCTCCTGGAACCACACGTGGCCGAAGATGTCGCGCGAGCCGTTGGCCAAGTTGCCGAAGCGCTTGGTGATGTCGTTCGTGAGGAGCGACTTGAGGAGGTCCTTGGCCTCGGGCGTAAAGTAGGCCGGGTACCGGATCTTGCCCGCGATGATCTTCTCGTACAGGCGCATCGGGTTCGAGTCCTCGGTGAAGAAGGGCGGGTAGCCGGCCTGCGGGAAGCGTGAAGGTACGAGAGTCAGGTGATTACGCTCGAGCCCGTCGTCGACGAGGGAGAGGGGGAGCGAGGACGCACGAGCATCTCGAACATGAGGACGCCGAGCGCGTACCAGTCGACGCTCTTGTTGTAGCCTCGCGACTGGACGATCTCAGGCGCGAGGTAGTCGGGCGTGCCTGCGGGTCCGTACGGGCAGAGTCAGCGGTGGCCGGCGACGAGGTAGAGACAGGCGAGAGAGGGTCTGGGACGCACCGCAGAGCGTCCAAGTGATGTCGGGCACGTGCTTGGCAAAGCCAAAGTCGGTGATCTTGACGTGACCGTCTGCGCCGAGGAGGATGTTCTCGGGCTTGAGGTCGCGGTAGATGATCTCGAGCGAGTGCAGGTAGTCGAGGGCGAGAGCGACCTCGGCGGCAAAAAACTTGGCGACCGGGTCGGGGAAGCGCTGCAGAGAGGTCGAAGAGAGAGCAAAGGTCAGTGACGTGTCGCCGAGGCCGAGAAGGACGAGGGGGAGAAAAGGGGGCGCACCTGGCTCTTGCGCAAGAGCGAGAAGAGCTCGCCGCCGGCGACAAAGTCCATGACCATGTACAGGTTCTTTGAGTCCTTGAACGTGCCCCACAGGTTGACGAGGAACGGGTGCCGCACGCGCTCGAGCATCTCGCGCTCCGAGTTGGTGTGCTCGACCTGCTTCATCTTGACGACGCGCTCCTTGGACAGGACCTTGATCGCGTACGAGCGCTGGTTGTGCTGGGACCGGACGAGGTGGACGCGGCCGAACGAGCCCGTGCCGAGCGTGCGGATGAACGTAAAGTCGGTGAGGCTGTACCGGGACGACGTCTTGCGCGAGGCCGACGAGCCGTGCGAGGGCGTCGGCGAGAGGACGACCTGCGGCGTCGGCTCGGGCTGCCGTGCGAGCTGGCGCGAGGCGTGCGTCTGGTGCCCGTAGCCGGCTGCCGTCGAGGTTGCCGCCGCCGCCGCCGGCTGCTGCTGCTGCTGCTGATGCCGTGCCGTTGCCGACTGCGCCGGCGCCTGCTGGTACCCGTGCTGCTGCGACGAGGCGCCGTAGTGGCCGCTGCCGGCGTCGGCCATGTCGGCGTCGTCGACGCTCATGTGGTCGCCGTTGAGCCCGAGCCCGCCCATCTTGCCCTGCACGTCGTCGTACCCGCGCTGGTCCTGGTACCCGGCGCCGCTGCTCGCGCCGTACTGCTCGTCGCGACCGCCCTTGTGCGCCGACGACTGCTGGCCCGAGTAGCCGTAGTCCTGCCCGGCGGCGCCGCCGTAGCCCGGCGCTCGCATCGTCGCGCTCTGGGGCCGAGGCACCGACTGGTGCGAGCTGTGCGACGTCGACGCTGCGTCTGCGAGAAGTAGAGGAGGGTGGAAACGGGGAGATCCGTCAGGCGCTGTGTCCGGGGCGCTCGTCGCTGGGAAGGGGAGAGAGACGAGGGGACGCACAACCGGCTTCGACAGGACTGCGAGGTGGACTGGGCAGGCCCGACGGTTGCGCCTGAGCCTGCGACGGGTAGGCCGAGTGCGGCTTCTTGGTGTAGTCGGTCGTCGAGATGGCGGGCGGCGCAGCTGCAGCGCCGGCAGCACTCGAGATCGGGTTCGAGATGGGCGGCGGCGCAGGCTGCTTCGGCTCGGCCTTCTTGCGCGACAGGAGGCCCATGGGAAACAGGTGCCGCTAGTGCAGTGGGGGCGAGAGGCGAGGGAACGGCGGACGGCGACTGGGGGCGACTGGGCGACGCTCTGGTCGGGAGCTGGGCGCGGCGCTCGCACGCGAGGGCGATGGCGGGAGGGCGGAGGTACGGCGGCGACGACGAGACGAGCTCGTTCGGGTCGGTGTGGGCGAGGAGGGGGGAAGGCCTGGCTGCGACGCTGGCGGTGTGGGGAGAGGAGGGCGCACGCGGGGGAGAGCGGCGGGTCGAGAGAGGGGAGGAGGGTGCGGGTGTCGAGGCGCAGAGGGTGTGGTGTGCTGGCTCGGACGACGGCGAGGGCTGCAAGCTGCGCAGAACCGCGCTCGCTCCAGGGAGGGGAGGGCGACCAGCCTCCAGATGCGCCGCGCCGTCCGAGAGGGGAAGGCGGGCCGCGTCCAGCCCCTCCGCGGAGCTCGGCTGCGGATTGACCAGATGGACCTCGCGCGCGCGCTCGAGTCGCACCTCCATTCATCATCGCGGGGGCGGTCGTCGAGAGTGAGAGCAGCCGCAGAACTCTCTCTGCAAGCTGGGCTCGGCGACGCAGGCAGAGTGTCCGCGGAGCCGGCCGACGGACGCCGGCTCGTCCGGCTCGCGCGGCCAGCTCGACGACGCTCCTCCTCTCAGCTCTCCCTCATCACCCTCGCTCTTGCGCACCGGCTGCTGCACACGAGCACGACTTGCTAGCTAGCTCGTCACGCCCACCGCGCCACTCGACCACCTCCCGCACGGCCCTGTCCTCGTCCTCGAGCTCGCCCTCGTCCGACAAGACGACGATGAAGCCTCGCATCCTCTGCCTTCCAGGCTTCACCCAGAATGCCGTCATCTTCAGTGAGTCTGACTCTCCACGTCGTCTATCCCCGTCGAGCCTCGCATATGCTGACCAAGCTCCTCGTCCGCAGGCGGTCGCATCGGTGCGCTCCGACGAGCGCTCAAGGACACGGCAGAGCTCGTCTTTATCGACCCGCCGCACGTCGTCGAGATGCCGACCGGCGACGCGTCCGACTTCAAGGACAAGTTCGACTCGGACGCGACCGCGGCGCCGACGTCGGACGCCGACACGCCGCGAGCGTGGTGGTTCGCCGAGTCGCGCGAGGACGGCCAGTACCGCAAGTTTATCAAGTACGAGGAGACGCTCGTGTACCTGCGGCACGTCCTCGAGACGCAGGGGCCGTTCAGCGCCGTTTGGGGCTTCTCGCAAGGCGCGGCGTGCGGCGCCATCCTGACGGCGCTCGTCGAGCAGCCGTCGCTCGACCCGATCTTTGCGGCGCCGAGCCAGAACCCGGACGTCGAGTGGCCGCCCAAGCCGTTCTCGTTCGCGGTCCTCAGCGCCGGCTTCTACCCGCTCGATCCTCGAGCCAACGCGTGCTTCAAGGCGGGCGTCAAGCCAAAGACGCCGACGCTCCACGTGCTCGGCAGGGTGAGCCATCTTTGACGCTCGTCGAGCCGAGCCGCAGACCGGGTCCTGACCTCTCTCTTCCCCATGGCCGCAGGGCGACACGATTGTCGGCGCAGGTGCGCTCTCCTTTCTTTCCGTCGGTCGTCCTTGCCAACCTTGCGCCTCCCTGATTCTCTCCTTCTGCTGCAGAACGATCCATCCCGCTCACCGAGGCGTTTGAGGGCGCTCGCGTCGAGTGGCACGACGGCGGTCCGTCCTCGTTCTCTCGATCTCCTTTCCCTCCCTCGTCTCGCCCTGACGACGTCTCCCACTCGCAGGCCACCACACGCCGAGCAAGGCGAGCTGGCGCAGGTTCTTCCAGGCGTACATCGAGGCGTTCAGCGAGGGAGGAGGAGGAGCAGAGGCGGCCGCAGCGTTGGCGTCGCCGTCGGCAGGGGGCGCAGACACGCCGGTCGAGGCGGCGGCGGGCAAGCTGTAGCTGTGCGAGTGCGTAACGCGAGTCCCTGTTGCAGTGCCTTGAGCGTACTCGTCGAGCGCGAGCGCGGAGCAAGTCGGCCTTTTCTCTCCCTCTTGCCGCCGGACCGATCGAGTGGGGGCGACTCTGCCGCGGGGAACCAAGTTCCTCGCTCGCGTCGCTCTCGCCTTTCTCCTCTCGACCCTCGCACACGATGCTGCACCACTCTGAAGTCGCCAAGCACGCAGACGCCGACTCGCTGTGGCTCATCGTCAAGGGCCAGGCCTACGACCTTACCGAGGTGCGTCCGCGTCGTCCTCCGCCTCGAGCCTTGCCGGTGGCCAACCGGCTCGCGCATAAGTCGCTCACACGAGTCTCACCACCCGCACAGTTTGCTCCCGAGCACCCTGGTGGCCGCAACATCCTGCTCAAGTATGCCGGCAAGGATGCCACCGAGGTCCGTCCCTCCACTTGCTCCCCACCACCTCCCCTTCGACAGCTCCTCTCGCCTCAGAGCGTTCCGCTCGCCAGCCCGCCGGCCTCGTTCCCTCGAGCTGACCGCCTCGCATGCCCCTGTCCATCCGCCGCAGGCCTAGTGCGTGTCGCCGCCTCCTCCCACCGACCCTGCCGCCGACAGCCGACTTACCCTTTCGCTCGCGCGCAGTGAGCCGATCCACCCTCCCGGCACGCTCGAGCAGTACCTCCCGAAGGACAAGCACCTGGGCGACGTCGATTTGACCGGCCTCGAGATCGTCGCCAAGGAGGAGACGCAGGAGGAGAAGGACCGCAAGCAGCGCGAGGCCAACAAGCCGCCGATCGACGAGTGCCTCAGCCTGTACGACTTCGAGGTGCGCTCCTATCTCACGTTCGTCATGCCGAGTCGACCCTGACAAGGTGCCACCGTCCGCAGGCCGTCGCCAAGTCGGTGCTGCCGACCGCCGCCTGGGCCTACTGTGCGTCGCTCGTCCCTCGCCGCCCCTCGTCTCGCGTCCGAGCTGACCTCGACGTCCCCTGCAGACTCGTCCGGCGCCGACGACGAGATCACGATGCGCGAGAACCGCAACGCGTACCAGCGCATCTGGTTCCGGCCCGCCATTCTGCGCGATGTTGAGAAGGTCGACTTCTCCTCGACCATCCTCGGCCACAAGGTGCGCCCGACCAGTCTCTAGTCTCTCTATGGCCCTCCCTAACCACTTTCGACGTTCACAGACGACGTTGCGTGCGTCTCGCGCTCGTCCTCGTTCAATTCTCGTTCGACTCTGACCTCCTTCTCTTGCGCAGCCATTTACATCACCGCGACGGCGCTCGGCAAGCTCGGTCACCCTGACGGCGAGAAGAACCTGACTTGGGCCGGCGCCGAGCAGGGCATCATCCAGGTCCGTCCCCCACGCCTCCCTCTCCTCCTCCCTGCGAGCTCTTCTCCCTGCCTTGAGCGGTCGCTGACCTTTCCTTTGCCGCAGATGATCCCGACTCTCGCCTCGTGCTCCTTCGACGAGATTGTCGACGCCGCCAAGCCCGGGCAGGTCCAGTTTATGCAGCTCTACGTCAACAAGGACCGCGAGATTACTCGCAAGATCGTTCAGTGCGTCGGCCTCTCGTCGACCCGATCTCTGTCGAAGAGCGTCACTTACGCTCTTCCCCTGACTCGCAGACATGCCGAGAAGCGCGGCATCAAGGGCCTGTTTATCACGGTCGATGCGCCGCAGCTCGGTCGCCGCGAGAAGGACATGCGGCAGAAGTTCGCCGACGAGGGCTCGAACGTGCAGCGCACCAAGGGCGAGTCGGTCGACAAGTCGCAGGGTGCGGCGCGCGCCATTTCGTCGTTCATCGACCCGAGCCTCTCGTGGAAGGTGCGTCTCGAGCTGCGCTCGTTCCCCCTCCTCCTCCTCCCGCCCTGCCTATCGCCTCGCCCACGATGCCTCGCGCCAACGGGCTACTCGTCTTGTTCAGCGGTACTGACTGGTGCACGTCGTACACGCGCGCAGGACATCCCGTGGTTCAAGTCGATCACCAAGATGCCGATCGTCCTCAAGGGCGTGCAGCGGTGGGAGGACGCCGTTCTCGCCGCCGAGGCGGGCCTCGCCGGCGTCGTCCTCAGCAACCACGGCGGTCGTCAGCTCGACTTTGCCCGGTCCGGCATCGAGATCCTTGAGGAGGTCATGCGCGAGTTGAGGAGGCGCGACTTGCTCAAGAACGGGTTCGAGGTCTAGTGAGTCTGCGCCCTCTAGCACTTTCCTCGCCAAGCTCGACGTCTCGTACTGACTCGCGTGACTCTCTCGCAGCATCGATGGCGGCGTTCGTCGTGCGGGCGACGTCCTCAAGGCGATCGCTCTCGGCGCGACCGCGGTTGGCATCGGCCGGCCTTTCCTGTGTGCGTCGCCCTTCCTCGACCTCCCTCGACTCCCCCTCGTCGACTCGTCGTGCCTCGTGTCGCCTCGCCTCGCGTCGAGCCCCATCGGCGACGGCCGCTGACCTCGAGCGCATCCCGCAGATGCCTACTCGGCCTACGGCCACGAGGGAGTGTCGCGCGCGATCCAGATCCTCAAGGACGAGATGGAGATGAACTGCCGGCTCATCGGCGCACCGACGCTCAAGGACGTGACGCCCGACATGGTGCGTCGAGCTCGCCACCTTCATGCCCTCCCGCCGCCACTGACTTTCTCTACCTCGCCCAGATCGACACGGCCGCGCTCGGTCACCGTATCGTCGAGGGCGTCCCCGACTACCTCATGCGCGCCAACTACGAGCCTCTCGCTGGTGGTGCGTCCTCGTCCTCGTCCCCTTCCCTGAGCGTCTCGAGCGAGGCGTCGGGCCCGCTCGTGCCTCCGCCTCGCATGCGGCTGCGGACCGTCTGCCTCTCGTCCGTCCACGTGCTCACAGTGATTCTGATCGCCCACAGTCGGTAACGGACTCGGCGCGCAGCCCCGGCTCATCTCGAAGGAGGCCAAGGCGCTTCTGTAGATCCTCAGCCTCGTCCCTCCCTCGTCGTGCCCCTCCTCGTCGCCCCCTTGTTGCTCTCGACTAGTGCCCCGCTCATGCAAAGATACTATGTGCTGCTTTCAGCGTCCCGGACACGAGGCGAGAGAGCGGACCCTTGCGACTCGTCAACATCGCCGAACTCGAGCCGGCACGGCTCCTCACCTCGACCCGCCCCTCACGCCGGGTGCCACGGTCCAGCGAGGACGCGCCGACAGTCGTCAGAGCCCGCATCCAGCACCACCGGCAGAGCTGCACGCCGCCGTTCGCCGTCCACCTCGCCTTCGCCCTCTCCTCGGCGATGGACTTCCTCCCGCTCAACACGCTCACGCTCAGCCTCACTGGGCTGTCGACCATCGGCAAGACGCTCATCAAGCACTACATCAACCGCAAGAAGATCACGGACGAGACGTGAGTGGCCTTTCTCTCTCCTCCTCTCCTTCGCCGAGGCGGAGCCGATCACGCCGCCAGACGAGCCGACAAACTGACGCTGCACCCCCGACGTGTCTACAGCAAGGCGAGAGAGAGCCTGCTCTACGATGAAGCCTTCAGCGTCATGCGGTGGTTCGTGCGTCGCTCGCCCAACCTCCCCCCTCCCCCTCCTCCCTCATGCGCCTGTCCTTCTGCTCACCTCTGCCTCTCCCTCGGCACAGTTCGACAAGTCGATGATGCACACGGTCGAGGAGATGCAGGCGTTCGGCAACAACTTCGTCCCGGCGCCGTTCTGGGTCCGCGTCATCCGGGTCACGGTCCCGCTCTCGACGCGCATCGACGCCGGCAAGTACCTCATCGCCGGCCTCGGCGACGACGACATCGAGAACGTCGTCGGCGGTCGCGAGTGGTGGCAGCGCACGTCGCACCCGGAGAGCGGCGTCTGCGGCGAGTGGATCAGCCTCAAGCGGGACTGGGAGGGTCTCGAGGCTGAGGCCGAGGCGCAGCGCAAGGAGCGGTCGGGCGGCAAGGGCAAGGACGGCGAGAAGGAGCTCGAGGAGCGGCTGCGGCAGCTCAAGGAGGAGGGGAGGGAGGACGCCAAGCGCAGGCGCGAGGCGGGCAAGGGCAGGTTGCGGGCGACCTCGTCGGCGACGCTCTCGCGCTCGACGCCGCCAGACGAGCTCGAGTCGGACTGTCGGGCGGCGAGCTCGCAGCGCCAGGCGCATGGCGGCGAGGCGTTCCTCGACCGCACGGCGACGCACCACCACGAGGAGGAGAACTGGACGAGCGACCTCGACGACATGCCCGTCACGCTCGCCATCCACGGCGGCGCGCACTTCTTCGGCAGCACCAACACGCACCGCTACTGGTACTGGCGGCTCGCCCGCAAGACCGAGGGTCGCCTGTTCTCGGTCGACTACCGCCTCAGCCCTCAGTTTCCCTTTCCCTGTGCTTGTGCGTCCCTCTCTCTCTCTACTCGCCGCCTGTCTTTGTGTGACCGGTCGACTGACTCTCCCACCTACAGTACACGACTGCCTCGCCGCCTACCTGTACCTGATCCGGCCGCCGCCCGGCGCCAAGCACCGCGCTGTCGACCCGGCGAGGATCACCATCTGCGGCGACTCGGCGGGCGGTACCCTCGCCGTCGCGCTCCTGTGCCTCATCCGCGACGCAGGCTTGCCGGCGCCAGCAGGAGCCATGCTCATCTCGCCCTGGGTCGGTGCGTCCGCTCCTCTCGACCCTCCTCGTCCTCGTCGTTCTCGCCCTGACGCCTCTTCCCGCAGACCTCACGCACAGCTTCCCGTCCATCCTCCAGAACACCGCCACCGACATCCCTCGTGCGTCCTGGCCCACTCGCTCGGGCACTCTTCCTCATTCTGGCACTGACCCGCCGCCTGCTCCCACAGCGCCCTACGGCTTCAGCATCTTCAAGCCCTCAACCCTGTGGCCTCCTCCGCCGCCCGAGTTCCGCAAGCGTGCCGCCGAGTCGACATCTCTCGCCGGCCTCAAGAAGGCGGCGCACAAGTTTCAGCACGGCTCGTCGTCCTCCTCGCCCGGCAGCGGCACCGCCAACCCGACAGTCGGGTCCGCCGAGCACCATGGCCATCGCTTCGGCACGCTCGCGACGCACAACAAGGCGCACGAGCTCGCCGACGCGGTCGAGAACCTGCCCGAGGACGACCCGCAACGAGCCGAGCACTCGGGCGACGCGGCGCAAGGAGGAGGGCCCAAGACGCGTACCGGCGGCGAGCAGAACAAGGCCGAGCTCGCGCACGTCATCAAGGTCACCGTCGACGGCCAAGAGGTCGAGCTCGTCGACCAGATCCAGCTCTACGCGACCAACGAGCAGGTGCGCTCGCTCCCCTCCCTGTCTCTTTGTCACTCGAAGCGTCCCTGACTTCCGTCTCGCCCTCGCAGCTCGCCTACGCCTACGTGAGCCCGATCTGGCAGCCGAGCCTCGGCGGCCTACCGCCGCTCTACATCCAGGCCGGCGACAAGGAGGTCCTGCGCGACGAGATCGTCTTTGTGCGTCCCCTGGCTCCCTCTCGCATCGAGACAAGGCCTGACCTGCCTTCCTTGCCCTACAGCTCGCACATCGTGCTGCGCACCCGGACCGGTACCCTGTGCGCGAGAGCATCCTCAAGCAGAACGCGGCTCGGACCGAGAAGGCCAAGAGCTACCCGTCGACCAAGGTGCGCCGACTCTCCCTCTCTCTCTTTCGCTCTCTCGCAGGAGCAAGCAGAAAGGCGAGCTCACTCTCTCCCTCTTGTACAGGTCCACCTGCAGATCTACGACGAGGTCTGCCACGACCTGCCGCTCTTCTCGTTCACGACGCCGGCCAAGTACTGCTATCGCGCCATGGCCTCGTTCGCCAAGTGGGTCACGACGCCTGCGGGCGAGCAGCCTGGGGCCGTCCCGTCCGCCGGCATGCGCCTTCCCGTCGAGCGCGACCCGGGCCACCCGGACGGCGCCTCCCTCGGCACGCCCGACCGCGGCGACTCGATCCCGTCGACCTCGGCACCCTCGGTCCGCTCGACAGCCGCGTCGGCCCGCACCAACGGCCGCAAACAGCGCAAGAAGCGCATGCCGCTGCCACCGATCCCCAACCTCGAGAAGACGATCTACTCGGGCACGCAGCCGTTCAACCGGCCCGACTACGTCGACAACATGATCCGCGAGCGCGTGTCGATGACGGGCGTCGTGCGGCCCATGGAGCCCGAGAGCGAGATGAGCATGTTGCAGCTCGATCCCGAGGACATCGGCCTCATCAAGGAGGATGCCGCTCGTCGGTACCTCGCAGGCAGTCCGTCCTCGCTTCCTCTCCCTCCTCGAGCTCGGCGCACCCTCCTCACACTCTTCCTCATTGCCTCGCAGAGGCCATCGTGCAGCGCAAGTTCAAGAAGACGTACGAGAAGGTGCAACAGAAGCGCGAGCGTGCGTCCTCGTCCTCTCCTCCTCCCCCTCGAGACTCTGTCGACGGCACTTACTGACGACGTGCGCCCTCGACTCACAGGCCACCTCAAGAAGTCGATGCGCGAGGAGGCGACCCGCATCACCAAGCGTGTGCAGCAGCTCGAGAAGGAGCAGGAGCAGGAGCGCAAGAACGGCAAGAAGGGCTCGAGCGGCTCCACCAGGCCGGACCCGAGCGCCGTCGACCCAATTCAGCCCGAGCGTGTCACGCACTCGCCCGAGCCGCTCGACCCGGAGCAGCAGGACGCGTCGTCGTTCGGCCTCGACGGCGTCTGGAACCTGCACGGCGAGCGCCCGCCGCCGTCGAGCCTCGCCGGGCGCAAGGACACGGTGCGCTCGCCTCTCTCCCTCTCATTCTCTCCCCTCATCGTCCCTGACCTGACGACCCTCTTCTCTGCAGGCTGAAGCGCGCAAGCTCGCCAAGGTCCTCGACGAGCACTACTCGCGCCTGCACGGCCTCGCGCTCTGGTCCCAGGTGCGCACCCTCTCTCTTTCTCCTGCCTCCCTTCTTCTTCTTCTTCTTCTTCTGACTCTCTATCTCGTACGTGCGCAGATCCAGGACCTCGTCGGCCCGTTCGCGCAAGGCGCCGCCGAGCGCACCGGCCGTCGCGAGACGACGTCGACGAGCAACTCGACGAGCGCACCCTCGGCCGGCGCTCAGCTCGGTACCACGTCCCAAGCCCTCTAGACAGCATCATCATGTGCATCTTTCTATACCCCTTACGCATCTTTCCACCTTTGTACCACGAGACGAGCCTTGTTGCAATAGAAGACGAGCTGTTCCCGACCAAATTGCTGCTGTGCATGTGCTCGTCTCTCGAGAGGCTCGAGTGTCTCTCGCTCTCGTGTCCTCGGTACTCTCTCGGCTTGCGCTCGAGCGGATCAAGCAAGCAAAGTCGTTGCACGCCTCGCACGGCCCGCCTCAGTAGTACCTCGCGCGCTTCCTCGCCGAGTACTCGAGGAAGAAGCCCTCCTGGCAGTCGTTGCACCTGCAGCCGTCGCGGTCCAGGTTCTGCTGGTCGCGCCCGCACTCGCTGCAGTGCGTCTGCACCGACTCGGACCGCTCCCTCGACCTGCGCTGCTCGGACTCGTCCCGCCACGCTTGGGCCTCCTGCTGCTGGCGGCGCACTCGGTCCCGCTCGGCGTTCATGTCCGACATGATGGCGCGCCACTCGTCCTCGTACGCCCTGCTCACCCTGACGCCCTTGGCCGGCGGCGGCTCGAGCCCGACCCACCTCGCGCCGGCGGGTAGCGCGCCCGTCCCGGTCCACGCCATCTGGACCTCGGCGCTGAGCGAGCCACGCCGGAACTGGCACCCGTTGCTCGCGACGACTTGCGCCGCGATCTTGGCGCCGCCCGTGAGCGGGAGCGTCATGCCCTGCAGGCGCTGCGCGACCTCGAGGGCGGCGGGGGCGTCGCGGAACGCGAGCATGATGGCGCCCGTGCTGTGCGTCGCCTTGCGGATGGCGAGCGGGCGAGGGAACGAGTCGCGAGGGCGGCGGGCGAGGAGGAAGGCGAGGATGAGGGCGGGCGTGACGTGCTCGGGGAGGTTGCCGAGGCGGACGATGTGCAGCGGTGCGGTGCAGAAGGCGCCCGTGTCGAGCTGGTCAAAGTCGAAGTAGGGCCCGGGCGGTGCGAGGTTGGGCTGAGAAGGTGGCGGCGAGAACGGCGTCGTGCTCGACGAGGGCTGGGTGCGGTCGGGGGCGGTGAGAGAGCTGACGGGGTACCGAGGCGCGATGGACGGTCCAGCGATTGCGCCGGCGTCGGTCTGTAGGACGAGAGCGAGTCAGTCGAGATCCCGTGGCCACGCTGGGGACGAGAGAGAGCGTGCGACGCACCGGGTCGAAGGAGCGCCGACCGCCTCGCCCAGCCTCCTGGCCCGCCTGCGCCCCGCCGCCGTCCGTCTGCACTTCTGCGTCCTTCATGCTGGCCCGCTTCTCGGTCCTCGCCCGCTCGAGTACCGCCCTCGCGCGCTCGAGCGCCTTGAGCGTGGCACGCGCCTCGTCGAGGCCGACCTCGTCGCCGCGCTCGCGGGCCGCGACACGGCGCTTGACAAAGGAGAGCTCGGCGCGAAGGTGGTGCTCGGGCTGGGCGAGTGGGTGGAACTTGACGAGGGCGAGCTGGTAGCTCGGGAGCGAGGCGATGTCGTCGAGGCGGAAGTCGAGGCGGGAGAGCTCGAAGCGCGGGAAGGGGTCCATGTCGGCGCTGAGTCAGGACTATGTGGTCGCAGGGCGGTGGCCGAGTGGCCCGGCTGAGGGTGGACGGTCGAGGAGGGGGACGAGAGTCGGGGAGCTGATGAGGATGCGGAGGTCGAACAAAGGGGCGCGCCGAGCTGAAAGGGAGTGCAGAGCGGCGCAACTTGCTGTGCGGTGGCTGGTGGTTGAGCCTTGCGTTGCTCCGAGCTCGCGGCTGATGTGGGAGAGGAGGAGAGGTCGAATCGCCGGACTTGGGCGTGACGGGAGGAGCAAGCGCAACTCTCGCTGCCGCCTGCAGCCTTCTCGTGCGCTCTCTGCCACAGCTCTAGATCGTGACGTGAATCTGACCTGCGCGCGTCCATGGCTCGAGCGAGCCACAGCACCAGGCGGTGCGAGCGCAAGGCAGCTCACGCTTGTTCACGTCTCCTTCGTCGCGCCCGGCTCCGACGAGCGGCGCTGGAAAGAGGCGAGCAGCACAGTGATCCGGTGCAGCTGTCGCGAGAGGTCGTCGAGCCGCATAGAGCGTTGAGCGCGACGAAGAGCACGCGGCTGCGCTCGCGAGCAGTGCGCGGCGGCCGCTCGCCGGCTCGCGAGGGTGCCCATCGTCACGAGCGCGCGGCACAGTAGCTGCAGCAGCTGCATGAGCTGCTGGAAGGGCTGCAGAACGAGAAACGCTGACGCGACGGCCGTCGAGAGAACCGTCCACAGCTGCCGCTCCAGACGCCGTGCTCGTGACGGACGCGGGACACAGCGGATCTCTTCGGGGCTCGTTCGATGGAACGGCAAAGGACCCTAGCTCAGGTCGAGCGTAGCGGCTCGACTCTAGCGGAGCTGTAACGCGAGGGCCCGCCAACGAGAGAGCCCACGAGGAGGTCGACGAGCAAGCCGGCCGCGTTCGCCGAGCCTGCGCTTGTCGCGCACCGCTGAGGCCAAGCAGGTTGTACCACTGAGCAGAGACGCGGTGTGCCTCAAGCGCTGTAGGGTCGGCAGAAGCGGGTCGAGAGGCGGTCGCAGCGAGGCGAGGGGGGAGACGACGGGCGCTCGCGCGGTGTGCGGGCGAGGCTCGCGCTGCTGCACCGGCTGCCAGCAGAGGCACAGGCGAGTGACTGGCCCGGTCAGAGCGAGGCGAGCAGAGTCGTTCGAGGCCAAGTTGTCCGGTCCACCTCTCCCTCCTCTCCTCCCCTCTCCACCTCGCTCTGCCGTCCAACCAGGCCACCAGGGCAGTCGATCAGGGCCAGCATGAGTGCCAGTCCCAACACTGCGCTCCTCGGCCTCCCGCCCCTGCGCCCCTCGCCGCACAAGCAGCCCTCGTTCTCGCGCTCCCCGTCGTCATCTGCCGTCCCCAAAGCCTCGACCGCCACAAAGCGCGCACGCTCGTCCTCGATCGTGTCCGTCCAGGAGGTCGCAGACACCTACGACGACCAGCTCGACCAGGCCGCCCTCAACAACATCAACGCCGACTGGGTCAACTACAAGGGTCCGTCCTCGCTCCCTCTCCTCCCCCTCGGTTCAGCCGTGGAGCCCTGGGATCTTTCCTGCGTGCCGGTAGCCATCGCTGCGGCGCGCGCGCAGCAGCCCTGGCGCCGTCTTGAGCAGCCCGAACTGACCTCGCCCTCCTCCTCCTCCCTCCCCGCTCCCCGAACCTCCCTCCCCTCGCGCAGGTGCCTGGCTCATCCACGTCGTCCTCATCGCGTCCGCCATACTCCTCCTTGAGACGATCCCGGGCATGTCGCAGGACCTCACCTGGACCATCGTCAACCTCGGCTACCTCTCGGTGCGCCCCCTCTCTCTCTTCGGCTCCCTTGAGCCGCCGGCTGACCTGCACCATCCTCTCGACAGGTCTCCTACGTCATCTTCCACTACGTGACGGGCGTCCCGTTCGACATGACCAACAACTCGGGGGCGTTCGACAACCTCACGCTTTGGGAGCAGATCGACTCGGGCGCGCAGTACACGCCCGCCAAGAAGTGGCTCACCTCGGTCCCGATCTTCCTGTACGTCTCGCTCACTAGGACCCTCTCCCTCTAGTGCGGCCCTGACCCGGCTCCCTCGTCTCGAACAGCTTCCTCCTGTCGACCCACTACACGCGCTACGACTCGCACCCGGCCCTGTTCACCCTCAACCTCGTCGCGCTCCTCTTTCTCGGTCTCGCCCCGAAACTGCCCGCGTTCCACCGCCTGCGGATCAAGTTCTTCGACGCTGGCGAGGGCGCAACTCCTGGTGCGTCGGCGTCTTTTCTCTCGCCTCGATACGGTATCGCCCTGCCGCGGTGCAGCGTTTACGAGCCAAGACGGTACTGACGACGTCGTCCCTGTAGACCCCTCGGCACCGCCTACGCCCAAGGAGGAAGAGTTCCGCCGCTAAGCGCCTCCCCTCCTTCTCGCGTTCCAGGGCCTCGTCGAGCCATCAGTTCCCTTCTCTTCCTCCCCCTCCCACCTGTACTTCTACTGCCCCAGTGTCACCGGCGCGCGCCGCATCCTCCCGCCGCGTTGTTTCCACTCTCCCTCCTCCTCTTCCCGCTCCCCTCGCCTCCACTCTCCTCTCGCCCACCCACTCTTTGTCCGGCCCCTCGCGCGCTCGTCGCGTCGCCGATATACTTGTTTCTTCCCACGACGCATGCCCCCCCTCGCAATACTCTCGCAGTTGTTTTCCTCGACCCTCGCTCGCTCGCTCGGGGCTCGAGAGAAAGAGAGAGAGAGAGAGAGGCCAAGAGGTGCGACTTGCGAGAAACGACGAGCGCAAAGCTACACAAGGACAACAAGGGAGAGAAAGACAGAGCTCTATACACAACGTGGCTCAGGCGAATCGGCTCCAGTCGACCTCCTCGTCGCGCGCTCGAGCCTCTTTCGCGGCTCGCGCCGACAACCGCACGACGGGCACCATGCTCGGCCTCGCGTGGGCGCACTGCACGGGAAAGAGCGTCTCGGCGAGCTGTGCGAGGAGCGCCGACGACTGGGCCGGCGTGAGGGCTGCGGCGAGGGCGAGAAGGCAAGGTCAGAGGTGCGGGTCTGGGCAGGGCGAGGGCGAGAGAGGACCGGCGACGCACCGTCGTTGAACATGACGGCGCCGCGACACGCCTTCGAGTCGAGCAGGTCCTTGAGCACACGCGGCGCGTGACGCAGCATGGCGACCCACGAGCCCCCTCCCTCGCCGCCGCCGACGCCGCCGGTACTGGGCGCCGCCGTCGCCGCCGAGGGCGCAGGGCCGTCCTCGTCGAGCTGCGCGACGAACGCGCGCACGAGTTCTTGCGCGAGGTGCGGCTCGCGAGGCGACAGGAGCCGCAGCGCGACGGCCGTCGGGACGGCCGTCAGCTCGACCTGGCGGTACTCGCCCTCGCCCTCGCCCTCGCCACCGTCACCGCGAGCTGCGCCCCTCCCCGCGCTGAGCTCGACCTCGATCCCCCACCGTTTAAACTCGCCGCGCCACCGGTCCCGCAACGCGCCGTATTCGCTCGCCGAGACGACGAGCCCGAGCCGGGCCGGCGTCGTCTGCGGGCGCTCGCCGCGCGCGACGGCCCCGACGACGGCGTCGTACAGGCGCTCGACGCGCACGCGCTCCGAGGCGGCGTGCTGGTCGATGAGGACGAGCGTCGCCGGGCCGGCGTCGGCGCTCGAGGAGGCGGGCTCGCCCGACGAGGGCGAGGTCGACGAGGAAGCGGGCGGCGGGACCCGCACGAGGAGGTACTTGCAGTCGACCTGGGCGACGCACTCGACGCGTGCGAGCTGCTCCCTCGAGACGAGCGGCGCGGCGCTCGACGACGGCGTGCCGAGAGGTGCGAGCGCCGGCAGCTCGAGGCCGGCCGGCGGTCGGGTCGTGCGAAAGAAGGCATCCGCGGTCGTGTGGGACGAGCGTGTGGGCTTGTTCGAGAGGTCGTCGAAGGAGGCGGAGCGCTTGGTCGAGCGGAAGGAGGTAGAGAGGGTGCTGTCGGCGAGCGGGAGGGCAGGAATGGGGCGAGTGACGGCGACGGACGGAAAGACGGGGTTCTTCCAGCTCTGCGGGAACGTCCGGGTCAGTGCACGCTCTGAGTCCGTAGGGAGAGAGAGAGAGAGAGATGAGGGGGCGCACCTCGAGCCGGTCCCTGAGCCACTGCGGCACCTCCTCCTCGTGCTCGCCGTGCTCGTCCCTCCTCCGCTTGAGCGCCGACCGATCCACCTTGCCCTCCCTCATGCCCCGCACTCCTCCACACCCGTCGCACGCCTCGCCGGCCTCGCCCTCTGCCGCTCCCGCCCGCCAGCTGTTGCCCGTCCTCGGGTCGACGCACCACGCCTCGCCCGTCCTCGGGTCGATCCACCGCTGCGCGACGCCCGCATCGGCGAGCTCGCCTGCCACCGCCGACGCGTCGCCGAGAGACGGGTGCCCGACGGGCGCTGCGGGCGGCGAGCGCCGCGAGGGCCGCTTGGCGGTCCGAGCGGCGAGCTCGACGTCGTCCTCGGGCGGTAACGCAGCGAGCGTGACGACATGCGGGCGCTTGACGGGCGGCCGTGGAGCGAGCATGGACGGCGCAAGCGAGGTGTCGACGGCGGGAGCGGGAGGGAGGACCGGTGCGACATGCAGGAAGCCGTGGGCGGCGAGGAAGCGCTTGACGAGCCGCTCGACGAACCGCTCAACGCGAGATGGATCCTGTGCGAGGACGAGAGTCAGTCTCGGCGGGCAGATCTGGCGGCTGACAGGACGAATTGGGGATCGTCGCAGGCGCACCTCGAACTCGACGACCCTCTTCTCCGGCTCGAGGCTGACGTCGACAACCCTGCCAGGCACCTCGAGCGCGATGACGAACGTCGGGTGCCGCTCGACTGGCCGTCGCGGGCTCTTGCCCGTCGTCGCGGCTCGTGCGGGCGAAGCTGAAGAGGGCGTGGCGAGATGCGAGACGGCGAAGCGGGCGAACAACGAGGTGGCGAACAGGGCGTTGACGTGTTTGTGGAGCGTCGATGTAGCGGCGGCGAGAGGGCGAGAGTTGACGACTGCGTGAGCAGGGCGTGAGCGTCGAATTCCTGAGGCGGTGGAGAGGGGGAGAGAAACGGAGGACGCACAGACGTGTTGGCCGGCCTTGCTGTGCGCCGCACTGAGCGAGAAGAAGCCCTTGACCCGCAGAGTGCCCTCGCGCTCCTCGCGGAGCTCCTCCACCTCGTCAAAGTTCCACACCTTCTCGACGCCTGCGCGCCCCCACAGCTGGCGCCACCTGCCGACGACGCCCTCGGTGCTGCGGGCGACGGTGACGAGCGTCCGTGGCTCGCTCGAGAGAGACGAGAGCGACGTGGTCGTGTCGGTGAGCGAGAAGGCGACGTGGGGGTGGAGGAGGGCTAGCGAGGCGAGGGTCGAGCGCAGGGAGCTGAGGAGGGAGGCTTGTGCGGCGGGCTTGGCGAGCGGACGCCGCCGGACAGGGATCTGTGTGGCATAAGGGCGGAGGATCAGGAGACGTTCGCGGCGATGAACAGTGCGAGTCGAGAGAACGAGCGAGCGCACCTTGTGGAAGATGTCGCGGACGGTGACGGTGGTCCCGGGACCGGTGCGCTCGACCTGGGCCCGCTCGAACACGAGGCAGTGCTCGCCGCGGACGACGAGGTGCCAGGTCGCGCCGTGTGCGCCGTCGTCGAGGCCGCGAGCGAGAGGGCGAGTATGGATGTCGAGGGTTGCGAGGTCGCGGATCGAGGCGAGGGCTTCGCCGCGAAAGCCGTACGTGGTCGGGGGAGCGTGTGCGTCGCCCGAGTGCTTGCTCGTGAGGTTCCTGCTCGCGGTCGAGGGTGCGGCGAGCTGTCGGAGGTCGAGTGGGGGGATGCCGTGGCCCGAGTCGTCGCAGCGGAGGGTCCAGGTGTCGAGGTCGACGGCGCAGTGAATGGTGCGGGCGTGCGCGTCGAGGCTGTTCTGGACGAGCTCTGCGAGGATGCTCGGGATCGAGGGGACGACGACGGCCGAGCGGACGAGCGAGGCGGTGCGGGGAGGGAGAGGGGCGACGGCGAGTGGGCGCACGCCGGGCGATGCTGGGGCCATGGCTGTGGTCGTACTGGTGCTGGGCGTGTACACGGCCTGGCGGCTCTGGCTCGCGCGCCTGTCGAGGTGGGGGGCGGGCGAGAGAGCTCAGCTCGGGGCGCTTCTCTCCACTCAACCTCATCAGCTCGTCGTCCTTCCCCTCTTGCTGGGACAGGGACGTTGCGACTGCTCAGCTATCACCACCCAGCACACCCTGCCCGCCATGGCCAAGAACCAGCTCGTCGACTCGAGCGACGACGACGACCACCTCGACACGGAGGCCGACCTCTCGTTCAAGGTCAACGACGCCTTTGCCGAGAAGTACGACCTCAAGAAGCGTGGAGAGGAGCTGTCCAAGCGTGCGTCCCACCCTCCCTCTCCCTCGCCCGGGCTCGGGAATCATCGCTCACCCTCCCCGCCGCCTCGCTCCCCAGTCCAGGACAAGTACGGCAAGGACTTCCAGCTCGGCGACGACGACGACGAGGACGACGAGACCGACTACTCGACCGACGACGAAGACGCCGAGCTCGTCACGCCCGAGGTCGATGCCGCCATCCTCCGCACCCTCGCCAAGATCCGCGCAAAGGACCCGAGCGTGTACGAGGACGGCCGCAACGTGTTTGACGGTGCGTCCGTCGCCTACCCTCTCCCTCGTCCTCCCGTTGCTGACTCGTCGTACCCGCCGCAGAGGAAGAAGCCGCAACCGCCGCCGCTCGCGGGTCCGGCAAGGGCTCGTCGTCGCGCACCAAGACCTCGTCCTCGTCGTCCAAGCCCGTCCTCCTCAAGGACTACCAGCGCGCGCGCCTCCTCGCCAACCCCGAGGGCGACGAGGCTCTCGACGACGCTGCCGACGGCGTGCCGCGCACCCACGCCGAGGAGCAGCGCGCCCTCAAGCGCGAGATCACGGCCGCGTTCCACGCCGGGTCGGACGACGACGACGACGACGACGAGGCGGGCGGTGACGGCAGCGAGGACGACGACGGCCTGTTCCGCCCGAGGGAGAAGGACGACGACGAGCGTTTGAGGGAGGAGCGCGAGTACGAGAAGTTCCTCGAGACGGCCGTCGGAAAGAAGGCCGTCAAGCAGGCGCTCGGCGACGACAAGGAGGAGGCTTTCCTGCGCAGGTGCGTCCTCGCCCCCTCTCTCGCGCGCGCGAACCGAAGGAGCGCCGGCACTGACTCGTTTTCGCCCGCAGCTACATCATGAACCGCGGCTGGATCGACCGCGAGAACGACTCGTCGCACATCCCGTCCTACGACGAGGTCGTCGGCAACCCCAAGGCGTCGTCGTCGACCAAGAAGGGCAAGGCGCGCGCGGCCGACGGCGAGGACGAGTTCGACGCCGACGGTCACCTCCTCAACCCGGCGGCGCACGACGACGACGACGACGAGCTCGACGACGTCGCCGAGGAGTTCGAGCACAAGTACAACTTCCGCTTCGAGGAGAAGTGCGTCCCGCCTTGCCCTCCCCCTCTCTCTCTCGAGGCCCGAACCCTGACGCTCGAGCCCCTCGCAGCGGTGGCGCCGACCTCGTCACGCACGCCCGTGACGCCGCCTCGTCCGTCCGCAAGCCCACGACGGCCGTCTCGGCGCGAGCACGTGCGCGCGAGGCGGCCAAGCAGCGCAAGGAGGAGGAGGCGCTCCAGCGCAAGGAGGAGCTGCGCCGGCTCAAGGCGCTCAAGCGCAAGGAGGTCGAGGACAAGCTCCAGCAGCTCGCCGAGGCGGCCGGCGCGGGCACCAAGGGCCTCGACGAGATCGACCTCGAGGGCGAGTGGGACGAGGCCAAGCACGAGGAGGCGATGCGCAAGGTGTACGGCGCCGACTACGAGGACCTCGAGGTGCGTCCCCTGTCGCCCTTCTCTTCTCCGGTTGCTCTCGTGAGCCCTGTACTGACCCTCTCGAGTGTACTCTGCCGCAGGACGACGGCTTCAAGCCGACTTGGGACGACGACATCGACATTGGCGACATCGGCGGCTCGGACGAGGACGAGGACGACGCCGCGCTCCACTTGCCGTTCGAGCCTGTCGCGTCGACCTCTGCGCTGCCTGCCGGCGACGGCGACGACCTCGAGATGGACGTCGACGGCGACGAGGCGCCCAAGCTGAGCAAGAAGGAGCGCAAGCAGGCCAAGAAGGACAAGAAGGCCAAACGCGACGAGGAGGGCCTCCCGACCGAGCTCGTCGAGGCCGTCAAGTCGACGGGCGACGCCGACAAGGTGCAGGCGGTCGACCGCCTCGTCGACGAGTACTACGCGCTCGACTACGAGGACAAGGTCGGCGACCTGCGCACCCGGTTCAAGTACGCCAAGGTGCCCGCCTCGTCGTTCAACCTCACGCCAGAGGAGATCCTGCTCGCGACCGACGCCGAGCTCAACGCCTTCATGTCGCTCAAGAAGCTGGCGCCGTACCGCCAGGACAGCGCGTCGTGGCAGGCCAAGCAGGCGCAGAAGCAGCGCAAGCATCTCAAGGAGCTGCGCGACACGCTCAAGACGCGCAAGTGGGGCGACGAGGTCGACGAGGAGCAGGCGGCGCGCGCGCTCGAGAAGCGTCGCGACAAGAAGCGGCGGTACCGCGAGAACGCCGAGAAGCGGGCCGCCGAGGCGGGCTCTGCTGGCGGCGGCGAGGGCGCAGGCGGCGGCGAGGGCGCAGGTGGACGAGGCGAGGACGGCGAGCCGCCGAAGAAGAAGAAGCGGGCGGGCAAGTCGGAGCGCAAGCGGCTGCAGAAGGAGAGGGGCGCGGGCGAGGCCGGAGCGCAGGAGTAGAACCCCTCTCTTGTGCGTCGGCGATGCACTGCAGCGTCGTCTCATGCCTTCAGAGTCTCGCGTGTGCATCCTCGAGAGTCCTTGACCGCGTGAGTGCTGCCGCCGAGGTAGCCGGAAGGAGAGGCGAGGCGTCGCGTCATTTGCGCTCGAGAGCCTGTCCCTCTTCCATCACTGCCGCAAGCCACGCGCGAGCACCCGCAGCGTTTTTCCCGCACCGTCAAGCAGCAGCACGCCCCACCGACCAGCCCATCGACGTCGCCCTCGCCGTTCGCCGTCATCGCCCCCACCTCCTCCTCCCGACCTCTTCCCTCCCTGTCAGCAACTCGGACAGCCACGCCGACATGACCTCGACCTTGCCGCCGCTCGCACAAGCGACTTCTGGGTCCCTCGGCGCCGTCGTCTCGAACGCCCTCATCTTCCCGCTCGACACCCTCACGACCCGCCTCCAGACGTCGAACAAGGGCAGCCGTCGCCCGGCCAAGGGCGGGTACAGCTCGATCTCGGCCGCGCTCAAGACGATCTACCGCACCGAGGGGCTCGCCGCCTTCTACTCTGGCCTCGGGCCCGACTCGCTGTCGACGCTCCTGTCGCAGTTCCTCTACTTCCTGTTCTACTCGGCACTGCGCGATCGGTTCCAGGCCCGCAAGGCGCTCAAGACGTCGTCGACGCCGGGCAGCAAGGGCAAGAGCGCCAAGCCGCCCGTCCTCAGCGCCGTCGAGGAGCTCGCGATCGGGTGCCTCGCCGGTGTCGTCGCCAAAGGCGCCGTGTCGCCATTGTCGATGATCACGGTGCGGGCGCAGACGTCGAGCGAGCGGAGGCAGGACGTCGTCGGGGGCAAGGAGGGCGACAAGCGGCCGGTCGAGGACTCGGACAGCGACGACGACGAGGGAGGGTTCGGCAAGGCGCCGAGTGCGCTCGCGCTCGCCAAGGAGATCTACAACGAGTCGGGCATCGCGGGCTTCTGGAGCGGTTTCTCGAGCACGGTCATCCTCGTACGTCCCTCCTTTCCCTCTCGCTCGACCGAGCCACCTTCACGGGCAACCTTCCTAACCTCGAGCGTGTCCTCTCTCGCCCGCAGACGATCAACCCGGCCATCACCTTCTACGCATTTGCGACCCTCAAGCGTGCCCTGATCCCGGCCAAGCACCGCGAGCACCCGACGCCGACTCAGACCTTCATCTGCGGCGCGCTCGCATCCGCCGTCGCGTCGGGCGTCACGTACCCGCTCATCCTCGCCAAGACGCGGCTCCAATTCAAGAGCCCGACGGGCCGGGCGCTGTACCGGTCGCAGGTCGACGTGTTCCGCAAGACGGTGAGGAAGCAGGGGCTCAAGGGCCTGTACCAGGGCGTCGAGTCTCAGCTCCTCAAGGGCTTCCTGTCCGAGGGAGTCAAGCTCGTCGTCAAGGACCGGTGCGTCTCTCGCTCCCTTCTCTCCGTCGATCAGAGCAGGGCGTCGACCTGACACAGAGCGTCCACCCCGCAGCATCGAGCTCCTCATCGTCCTCGCGCACCGCCTCCTCGTCGCTCGCGGCAAGGTTCCCGCCAACTCGTCCATGTAGACGCTCGCGCTCTCTTTCTCCCTCTTCTTCTGTATCCCTACATCGGTCTGTTGCCTGCATTGCACTGCATCTTCGTCTCACAGCGGGATAAAGAGAGAAGCCGGCTCGAAAGGGCGAGTTCTGGGGTCGAGAGCGGGATCTAGCGGTGGTACGGCGACGCGACGTCCTTGACGAGGTCCCACGCCTTGTCGAGCGTGTCGAGGACTGCGAGCAAGAAGAGCGTGAGTACGGCCGAGAAGAGAGGAGAACGAGAGAGCGAGGGACGCACCTTCTTGCGGCAGCGGGCCCTTCTCGAGGTCGACGAGGTTGGCCTCGAGGTGCTTGACCGACGAGGCACCGATGAGGATGTTGTCGCCCTTGTCGCGCGCGAGGAGCGAGTGGTGCGAGACCCACCGCAGGGCGATCTGCGGGTCCGTGCGGGCGAGAGGGAGGGAAAAGGCGGCGAGCGTGAGCGACAAGGACTCTTGGATGCCGGCGACGAGAGGCACCGGGACGAGGAGAGAGTGAGGAGGGCAGGCGCACCTCGGCGAGGGTCAAGCTGTGCGCCTTGGCAACGGGCTCGATGAGGTCGAGCGCTTGAAAGTACTCCTCTCGCCCTGCACGGCACAGTCTGCTCGTCAGTTCGGGTTTTCGTGTCACAAGGGCGTCTCGTACGACGCCTCGAGAGAGGGAGAGAGAACCGCCGACGCACAGTAGCGCGTGCGGTAATTCTTGCCCTGGGCCGTGTTGGGGTCGAAGCGCGAGCCCTTTTCGACCTCGTCGTCGCGCTTGAGCTGGCCCGTGAAGATGCCTGCGTCGAGACAGATTGTCAGTCGTGCCAATGAGAGGGCCACGAGAGGGAGAAAGAAGGAGGGGAGAAAGAGGGAGACGCACCGCCGCCGAGAGGGTTGAACTCGTAGAACGAGATGCCGTGCTTGCGCAGGACCGGGAACAGCTCCTTCTCGACCGTGCGGTGCAGGGCGTTGTAGATGCCCTGGTACGCAGTCGGCTTGACGTAGCCCTTGTCGTCGGCGATGCGGACGAACTCGTCGACCTGCTGCGCCGAGTAGTTGGACACGCCGAAGCGCTTGAACTTGCCCTCCTTGTATAGGACGTCGACGGCAGCGAGCGTCTCGTCGAGCGGGGTCGAGGCATCGGGCATGTCTGCAGGGGAGAGAGGTTCAGCTAGCGTGCGCGAGAAGGAGGAGGGAGGAAGAGTGGGACGCACGCAGGTACCACAGGTCGAACGAGTCGGCCTTGATGGCTGCGAGCTGGATGTCGATGTACTTGCGCATGCTGTCGAGCGTAAACTTGACGTCGCGGCCGGCGTACTGACCCGGGGCGAGTTTGGTGTCGACGACGACGCCCTTGTTCTTCCAGTCGATGTTGCCGAGGTACTGCTCGGACGAGCCTGCGCCGTAGATGAGGGCCGAGTCGACCTCGCGGTGGCCGTGGCGGAGGAAGAGGTCGAGCATGCGCTCGCAGTCGGCGAGGTCGTGGACGCGAGCCATCTCCTCGCCCTCGCGGCCCCAGGTCATGAGGCCGAGGGTGACGGGGACGTTGGTCGACGGGGTGGACATGGTGGTGGTGGTGCGGTCGTGGGTGTGCTGGGTGGTGCGGAAGAGGGAGAGGGAGTGGTGCGGGGCCGAGGTGGACCAGCGCCTCCACTTTGGGTGGAGGAGCGGAGGAGGTCGACGCAGGGCCGTGGCACTCGGCTAGAGCGCGTGCACGGAGCTGCACAGGTCACAGCATGGCTGTCGAGCTGTCGACCAGACCAGGCGAGGTGAGAGCGAGGAGCGAGATCTCGAGAGCCGAGTCCAGCTTCATCAGCGCGTCGTCGTCGAGGTTGTCCTCACACCAACGAACTCGGCCCGAGCATGGCCACGCGCACGCTCAGCGACAAGCCACCGCTCCTCTTTGCCCTCCCACTACACCCGCCCATCCCCTTCCCGCTCCACCCGACCTACTCTGTCCAGCTCCCGACCCGCGACCTCCGCCAGGCGTACCTCGACACCCTCTGGCCGCCTGCCGCAGCCGCAAACCAGTCTGAGCAGGTGCGCACACTCTCCCTTGCCCCGTCCCTTCGCGAGCCCGAGCTCACACGCCTTCCACCCGCACAGGCCCGCCTCGAGTCGTTCGCCCGCATCCTCCTCACCCTCCTCGCCGACCGCGCTCCACCCGCCCTCAACACCCTCGTCCGCGACCTCGTCCTCCCGCTGCAAGACTTCGACAAGCGCTGGCGCATCCAGCTGCCGCCCCTTGTCGAGGACCCGGACAGCGACGACCACGACGACGGTCGCAGCCCGGCGGGCGTCACCGACGACGAGGCGCGGCGCGCGACAGACGACTACGAGCGGTGGGCCGTTGACGAGAAGGTGCGGCTCGAGGCCAAGCGCGAGGAGGACGAGCGGCGGCGCAAGGGCAAGCAGCGCGCCGTCGACCAGGACGCTGCGACGGGCGCACACGGCGACGAGCATGACGAGGACTCGAGCGTGCCCAAGCCCGTCGTGGTGCGTCCGAGTGGCTGGCTCGGCGACAAGGAGCTCCTCGAGTACGTTCAGATCACGGTCCTTGGTCGCCTGCGCGAGCCAGCGCCTGACCCTCCTCGATTCGCAGGACCCGTCTTCAAGCCCTCCTCCTGTTCACGCTCCTCGCCCTACCGGCCTCGTTCCAGCCCGACATCCCGAAAAAGGGCCGCAAGAAGAAGCACCCGGAGCATTTTCCCGACACGCTCGACGCCGCCATGCTCCTCGACTTCCTCACCGACCGCATGCAGATCTGGCGCGTCATGCAGGACGTGAGCGACCTCGCGTTCGCCGCCGACGTCCCACTCGTCGAGAAGGAGGCCAAGGTCAAGTTCGTGCCCGTCGAGGAGCGCGACGCCGTCCAGGTCTGGTGGGCAGACGTCGTCGAGCCACTGTGCGTCCCCTCGGCCCGTCGTCCTCCTTCTTCGCCAGACCTCGTACTGACTCGCACTCTCTCGACGCACAGCTTCCGCACCCGCATCGACGCCTCGGTCCTGTCGCACCACCGCCTCAAGCTCTTCCCTGCCGCGACCTCGCAAGCCGACCGCCTCGCGCAGCGCCTCGAGCCCGCCCCCTCACCCTTCAAGGCGCGCTCGCTCCTGTCGCTCGAGAAGTCGGCGCGTCGGCGCGAGGTGCGCGAGGGCGAGCGCCGCGTTGCCGAGAGCCCGACGATGAAGCGGCTCATGAGCATGTCGGGCTTGACGGGCAAGGCCAAGGAGCGCGATGTCGGGCGCACGGCGGCGGCGGCGGCGGCGGCGGCGGCGGCGGCGACGGCGGCGGGCTCGGCGTCGAGCAGGAGCCAGGGCGAGCAGGACGGCGACGTGTTCAAGCTGCCGAGCAAGCCGACTCGGCGCCAGGACGCGCTCGGCGATGGCGCCGCTCCCGCCGAGGCGGCGGCTCGCCCGCGTCTTCCGCGCAAGCAGGAGCGCCCACGTCCGCTCCCTCGAGGCGACAGCTCGTCGGCGGGCATCCCGGACGCGCTCAAGCGGCGAGTCGTCAGCCTCGGCAAGCAGGCCGGGTCGCGCGCCAAGTCGGGCATCGGCGCGCCACTCGTCAAGGACGGCGACGGCGACGGCCTCAAGCGCAAGAGGAAGAGTCTGAGCCCCAAAAGTGCGTCCCTCGTCGTCTTTCCCCCTCACTCCCTCTCGAGGACCCGACTGACCCTCTCCCCTTGCCCTGCAGAGCTCACTGCGTCCGAGCGCGCCGCCCACACGCTCACTCTCGTCCCCGACACGCCCGACAAAGCTGCCGCCGCGGCATCCTCGGCCGCCTCGTTCCGCAACCCGTTCCACCGCACCAGCACCGTCCCCTCGTTCGCCGCCCTCGGCGCCGCCTTTCGCGCAGGCGCCTCGGACGCCGCGCCCCTTCCCTTCTCCCTTCCGCCACCGCCTCGTCTCAGCTCGGACAAGGACCGGATGGACTGGAGCGGAGAGGGCGAGGACGAGGACAGCGAGGAGGACAGCGAGGGAGACGTCGTGCTCGGCGAGCGGGACCGACGACGAGGCGGTGCGGCGGGCGAGGCGCAGGAGGGCGGGACGGTCACGCCCAAGAAGCAGACCGCGAGGAAGGTGCTCGTGCCGGACACGTAGCGGTGGAGCGGTCCAGGAACGCGAGGCGAGGTCGGGCGAGGCTCGAGCGCGACCGACTTGCCCTCTTTCTCGGCTGTCCGCTCGCTTTCTCAGCTTCTGCTTGCCCTGTCTGGCTACGAGGGCCGCTCGCCATCTGCGCCTCGTCGAATCTTGCCCGCCGCCGTAAATGCGCGACTCTGCTCAGGCCGCCTTCCCCGCCTTGCCTCGGCGTCGCTCGAGCTTCTCCTTTGCTCTCGCTTCTGCTCTCGCGCCCGCCGACCTGTGGCATCGACATGCCGTTCGACGAGGTGCGTCCACGCTCTCCCACACTCGCCTCCCCCTGCCCTCCTCACTAACCGTCTCTCCTCGCCCCAGATCCAAAATGTCCTGAGCTCAAGATCGCTCAACTCGCCGTCCTTGCTCGTCACCTTCGCAGCGCAGGGCAGCAGCGGCGAGAAGAAGGAGCAGGTCGCGTGGAAGGACGGGAGGAAGACGCTCGTGCCAGTGCCGGTCGGCGAGGCCAAGCGGCTCAAGGTGCGCCGCAGCTCGTTCTCTCTCATCAGGCGTCCCTCCCAGGGATTCATCCGACGAGCACGAACTCGCAGCAGAAGCAGAAGGGCGGGCTCGACATCTCAGAGCAGGCGGTCGCCACGTGCGAGGGCCGGGAGGAGCCGTGCTCGCCCTCGAGCACCGATGCTGTGCGTCCAGACCCTCCAGCTCCTTCATTCCCTGAGGAGCCCCTGACGACGCCCCCTGCAGGTTTCGCGCGCGAGGCGTCTTGTCGAGGAGAATCGGCGCCTACGAGAGAGCCTCGTCCACGCCGAGGAGAACGCGAGCAAGCATGCGTACGAACTTGTGCGTGGACCTTCTCCGGTGCCCCAGCCCTTGTCAGCCGTCGTCGTTCCTCCTGAACTGACTCTGTCGAGCGTCGTCCTGCAGGTCGAGCTGCGCAACGCTCGTGATCTCGCCATCGCCGAGCGCGATTCGCTTCGGGTGCGTCCTCCCTGAGCCTGTACCTTTGCGTCGACATCTCCTTGCCGCCGAGGAGTACTGACATGTCACCCAAACCCGCAGCTCGACATGACCAAGCAGGAGGACGAGCTCTTCATCTTGCGCCAGTCGATCGAGGAGCGGACGCCTGGGTCGAGCGAGCTGCGTCGCGCACTCGCCGCCGTTGAGAGCCAGGTGCGCCCCAGTCTTCTCTCTCGTACTCGTGCCCATACAGAGTCACTTACTGACACTACCTGGGCGCACATGCAGCGAGATCTCGCACTCGACGCCAAGTCGCAGCTCGAGGTGCGTCGCCATCTTTCGCGATCTTGCGAGGCGCGCTCTTGGACCGCACTGACCTTTCCACTTCTTGCGCTCAGGCGCAGCACGAGCTCTCCCTTTCCAGCGCACGAGCCGAGAACGAGCAGCTACGCCAAGAGCTCGTCAAGGCCGAGAGCGACGTCGAGCAGTCGAGGGTGCGTCTCCCCGCCTGGTCTCCTCAAGCCTGGCGCGGTCTTTGACTCACATCGAGCCCGTCCTAGCAGGCCGACCAGAACGAGCAGCACCAGGCGTGCATGCAGCTCATGGAGGAGCAGGACAAGCTCGAGCTCGCTTACGAGGAGATTCTTCACGAGGTCCGTCCGCATCCTTTCCTTCTCTTCCCTCGACCTCGACGACCTGTGCGAGTCGGATACTGACGACACATACCCACAGCTGGACGAGCTCAAGCGTCAACGCGCTCTCGACGAGGTGAGCGTCCTCGCGGCGACGGTCAGACCTCCCAACCCTCGTCCTCACGGCCGCTTCTCGCAGGGTCTCGCCCTCGACTCGCTCGTCGAGCAAGGTGCAGAAGATTGTGTGCGTCCTCTTCTCTCTCCCTCAAGCACCGGTAGACCCGTCTCAAGCCTTCTCTCCCTGCTCGCAGCTTGACGACGCCGACCAGTCGTGGGACCATGTCGAGCTCGACGACCTCGTCTCGCCGCCTGGCTCGTCCACGACGAGAAAGTCGGTGCGCAAGAGCGCGTTCGGTCGAGCATTGACGGTGCGTCTCTCTCTCTCTCTCTATGGGTCCGTGCACGTCCGCAGAGCTCACTCGCTCCTCGTCTTGCAGAAACGTGCCCGGACCCGCTCGCAGCCGCTTCTCGGCGCTCCTCTTCCGCCGCATCAAGATGTCGCCGCCGTCAAGAACGACGTCGAGCAGCTCAAGCAGTGCGTCACACGCTCGACTCGGCGACAGAGCTCGAGCACGAACTGACTTTGGCTCGACGGTTCGCGCGCAGAACTATCGCTCTCCTCGTGAGAGAGCGTCGCCCTGCGGTCGACGTCGCGTGCGACGAGTGAGCCTTGAGCTGTGCGGCGCTGGAAGGAGGCGGGCGCGCGACAAGGGACCCCGCAACCCTATCACGCCTCGCTCTGCAACCTTGCCGTCGACGAGCGTGTCCCTCTCGCCTCTGCGCCGGTCTCTGTGTAGCTTACCTTTGTGCAACGTTCGTCGATCCAGCCGGAGCGGGAGCAGAGCTGGGAGTTCGCGCCGACCTGGTCGATGGCTTTCCGAGCTTGCGGCATGCGCATCTCGTCTTTCCACAACGACGGGTGCTCTCGCGGCGATGCGGCCTTACTCGACGAGAGCTTTTGAGTTGCCGCGAGGCTTTGCGCAGAGCGAGAGAGAAAACGCGAGACAGGAGGAGGACTGAGCGCTCCCCTTGTCCGCCGGGCGAGCTTCGACGAGGGGGTGGACTCGCTCGACTCGCTCTGCACTGCCGCCCCGACACGATGCCCTCGTTCTACGAGCTGCTGCAGACTGTCTCGCGCCTGCGCTTCCACCCTGCACCGGCCGCCGACGCCCCCGACTCGCCGTCGTCGCCGCCAGCTCGTCAACCTCCTCACGACCGACTACCGCTCCCCGTCGCCAACCGCTTCACTCGCGAGGCGCGCAGCAGCCGCCAGCAGCCGATACTCGCGCCCTCGGCCAGCTCGGCTCGCCATCGAGGGAGCCTGGCCACGCTGGCCACGCTCGGCGATGGCACCGAGACGGTGAGCCCGGAGCAGGCCGCCCTCTTGCGGCAGATCAGCGGCCTGTTGCAGCAGCGGTGGGACCGAGGGGCCGGGCGTGTGTCGCCAGGGCGGCTCGCGGGCGACGACTCGACGGTGCGTCCACCTCGCTCGATCTCAGTGACCCCTCTCGTTTGGACACGCGCGCTGATCCTCCGCCTCGCGTGGTCGACTCGCAGCCGACAAGCGCAGACCCTGTGGTCGCCGTCACCGGTGCGCTCAAGCTCTCTCTCTCTTCCCCTCGCGCGTCAGGAGGACGGAGTGCGGCGACTCGTGAACGGGGCGGTCTCGGGAATTGCGGGTGCTTGGGCGTCTCGAACCTCGCTCGAGAGCGCGTGGATCGACATGGGCGAGCGGAACCGGTGCCGGGCGCAGGAGCGGTCGGCGCACACGAGCGGGCGAGGAAAGGGCGCGAGGCCGGGGTGCGGCCGAGAGAGGCAAGGGCTTCAAGGTCCTTGGGCCGGCGGCTTCTCATTACGGCGCACTGCCCAGGGAGGGCGCAGAGGGTCCCGCTCTCGTGGTTCCAAGTCTCGCGCGAGTCGGTTCCAGGTCGACCGCGGGGTCGGCGCCGACGTCTGCGCACCGCGGCGGGCTTGGGAACCACTCTTCTCGTTTCCCTCAGCCTCCCGCCGCCGGTCCTTCTCGGTCGGAGCACGACTGCGCACACCCGCACGACGAGCACCCGCCGAGACCTTGGGCGACCGCCGAGCTGACACTCGATGTACCGTTCCACTTCCACCTCCTCCTCGTCGGCTGCCACCGCCCGACCTCCCTCCCGCACCTCGCCATCGTTCGCCTCGGGCTCGCCGTCGCCGTCCCGCCCATCCTCGGCCGCTTCTGCCCGTCGTCCACCCTCAACCCGCGGTCCGCCGGCGTCGTACACGCGCGACCACCTCTTCGACGACGACGACGACGACCTCGCCGGTCCTACGCCGCAACCTTCGTCGTCGCGGTACTTTGCCACGGTCGCGCACGACGACGGCCACCTCGCCTCGCGACGCTCGCCGCCCTCGCGCCCGCCCCGACCCGTCGCCGCCGACTTGCCGCCCCACCCGGGCCACGACATCTTCCTTCGCCGCCCTCCCTCCATGTCGTCCTCGGCCTCGTCGTCGTCCCGTCGCGCGCGCCCTCCGCCCATCGTCACGGCGTCGGCGCCCGACCGCGCTTTCCTCCGACCTCGTCACCCGTCCCGTCACGACGACCCGTCCTCGTCCTCGTCTTCTTCCTCCGACGACGACCGCCAACGTCCCCTCTCGGCCCTCATGCCTCGATCCGCCCTCGCCAACTACTTCAACCTCGACTTCTCGTTCCTAGACGACGAGCCGCCTCCTCGAAAGTCGGCGTACGGGCGGCACGCGCAGGAGGACGCTCGGCGGGTCGAGCGCAGCGCCCGAGGGCCTCGTGCGTCCGACGACTACTTCAACTCGAAGCGGCTCAGCGAGTCGCTGCCAGGTGCGCCGCACCGCCCTCCTCCTCGATCCCGCCGTTCCTCCTGACCTTCCTCCTCCTCGACAGCCTCGAAGCGCCTCTCGACCAGCTCCTCCACGACAAGCGGCCTCCCCTTTCCCAGCGCCAGCCTACCCTTTCCCTCTCGACGGCCGACCCTCCCGCAACGCCCGTCGACCGACTCGGTCTCGACCCGCCGCAGCAGCCTCCTCTCTCCAAGCCTCTCGCCCAACTACTCGCCGAGCCACCTTCCCTCGGTCGACGGGCGCCGTCCTTCGGCCGTCTCGTACACGTCCGTCGAGTCGGGCGGCAGCAATGCCTGCGCCACGGCGTATGCGTCGCGCCGCTCGCCCCTGTCGCCGACCTTCCCGGCCATCGCCGAGGCGGGACCCGACGCGGCCGAGAAGCGCAAGCGCCTCGCAGCGTTCCTCGACGAGGCGGCGTCGGCGATGGAGGGCGGCAAGTCGCTCATGATGGTCGTCCCTGAGCACAAGTCGCTCTCGGACCTCGCCGAGCAGCACGTCAGCCCGCAGACGTCCTCGCGCGCCCAGGGCTTCAGCCACCCGTTCAGCGACCACGGTGGCTCCCCGTCTCGCCACGTCTCGCCCAACCGTCAGCCGTCGAGCCCTGTCGTCGACCCGCAGGCCGTCAGCCCGACGAGCGGGCCACCCGCCGTACTCGTCGAGCCGCCCTCGTTCGCCGATCGGATCCGCGAGCACGAGGCGACCCACGAGTCGCTCCTGAGCGCGGGCGAGCGCGAGCCCGGCGTCGAGACGACCGTCCTGGGCGAGTCCGCCCGTGACTCGTCGCACTTGCTCGACCTCAGCTCGCCCGGCCTCGGCCTGTCGAGCATGGGCGTTCAGGCGCCGTCGCACGTGCAGCACGTGCAGCGCTCGCCGTCGACGGTGCGCGCGTCGTCGCCTGCATCGCCCGCTGTCGGCTCGCCGCCGCAGCCGGCGAGCCCGTCCGCCTCGTTCGAGACCGACCAGCGCGTCAAGCGCCTCGAGAAGCGCCGCAAGATCATCCGCGAGCTCGTCGAGACCGAGGCGTCGTACGCCGTCGACATGGCGGTCGTGCGCGACATCTACCTCGCGCGGGCTCGAGGTGCCCGTGCGTCCGGCTCTCTCTCTCTCTCCGTCTGCCTCTTCCCGAGCCCAGCGACGGTCCCTGACCCTCTTTGTCTCCCACAGACATGGCGCAGATCGCCGACCACGTCATGAGCACCGGCCTGGGTCTCGGCAACGGCAGCCCGGCGAGTCCTCCCTCGCCGACGCTCGCAGCCCGCCGTTCGCCCCTTCGACCCGACTTTGTCCGCCGCATCTCGGACCGCGCCGAGATCGAGTCGAGCCGCAGGACCTCGTCTGGGTCGCTCGGCGCGGGCAAGGGCGACCAGCGACGCCCACCTGTCGTGCCCTCGCTCCCGACGCTCATGCCCGGCCAGCCGCTCATGAGCGAGCAGGACCTTCACGTCGTGTTCGCCAACCTCGAGGAGATCGCCGGGTTCGCCGACGACTTCGCCAACGCGCTCGATGCGGCGGCCGGCACCGACGACCCGGAGGCGGACGACGACCGGATCGGCGAGATCTTTGTCGACAAGGTGCGCCCGGCCCTCTCACTCTGCCTCTCTCTCTCTCCCTCGCCTCAGTCCTCCTGACGTATGTCGTCACGCCCTTCCAGATCCCTCGCATCCAGCAGATCTACTCGACCTACTGCGTCCGCCACCACCGCGCCATCCTGCGCCTGCAAGAGCTCGAGCCGACGCTGCGCACGTACCTGTCCGAGGCCAAGACGCTCTCGCACGGCCGCACCAACGCCTGGGACCTCGCGTCGCTCCTCATCAAGCCCGTCCAGCGGTGCCTCAAGTACCCGCTCCTGCTCGACCAGATCCTCGCCGTCACGCCCGAGACGCACCCGGACCGAGTCGCCCTCCAGCGCGCCAACGCCGACATGCTCCTCGTCGCCGAGCACATCAACGAGGTCAAGAAGAAGCAGGACGCCGTCAACCGGGTCGTCGGCAAGGACAAGCCGAACCAGCGCCGCGAGTCGTCGCGGTCCATCTCGTCGTCGGTCACCAAGAAGCTCCTTCGCTCGTCGCAGAAGGCCAAGACGGCGTTCGGCTTCCCGGACAACGGCGGCGACGAGATGTTCGACACCCTCGTCGCCCTCGTCGACAGTACCCGGAGCGGCGTCCTGCGGTTCTCGAACGAGATGCGCGACTGGACCAAGAGCACCAAGGCGGCGCTCGAGGCGCAGGTCAACATGGTCGAGGGCTGGATCCAGATGTACGCGCCCATGGCCGGCGAGCGCCACTCGGCGGCGAGCGTCAGCCACCGCCGCCTGTGCATCTTCCTCGACGAGGTCCTGATCCCGATCATCGAGTTGCCCTGGCGCGAGCTCGTGCGTCGCCCCTTTCTCTCTCTCTCCATCGTCCCTCTCTGGCCGCACTCGTCGTCGTCGTCGTCATCTCGTGGACGGTCACTGACTCGAGCTCTCCTTCCCGCAGGACTACGAGGTCCGCCGGTCGCTCATCCTCAAGACCGACCACCTCCTGAGCCTGTTCGAGTCGCCTCGCCAGGTCATCGCCAAGCGCAACGACAAGATGCTCGACCACGCGCGCTACCTCGCCAAGAAGCTGCCCGTCGACCGCCGCGGCTCGGAAGAGTTCCTCCTCCTGTCGTCGCAGCTCCTCGAGGAGTTGCCCCGCTTCCTCGGCAGCGTGTCACGCTACTTCAACATCATCGTCGGCCACTTTGCGGGCGCCCAGGCGGCGTACCACGAGGCGGTCCAGGAGCGGTGGAACGCGTTTGCCGAGCAGTGGGTCGTCCAGGTCCACGGCGACACGTACGAGGACATCGAGGCGTCCTTCATGGAGCAGCACGAGCCGCTCGACCAGATGATGGAGACGCTCGCTGCAGGACTCGGCCTCGCCATCGCCCGTGCGTCCCTCTTTCCCTTACGTCTCGCCGACCTTCCCAAGTCGAGCGATGGCCCTGACGACCTCCTCACGCTCCCACAGATTCGAGCTCGAGCTCGCCGCACACCCGTCAGCCCCCGTCGAGGCACTCGCACCGCTCGTCGACCTCGAGCCGCCCGTCGTCGGCCGGCTACTCGTCGTCGCTTCCCGTCACGCCCGACGAGCCGCGCAACGGGCAGCGCGAGTCATACGTGTCGGGCACGTCGAGCTACTCGTCCGGCCTTCGTCACCGGGCCAGCCTCGGCTCGGGCCACCGCAGCAGCGTCACGTCCGACTCGTCGGCGCCGTCGCTCCGGCCGGCGAGCGCCGGCGGGTCGGGCTCGTCGAAGGAGGTCCTCACGCCGCCGCCGCTGCAGCCGATCCGGTCCAACTCGACCAAGCGCTCGAGCTCTAGCCCGTCGAGCCCGCACAACATCGTACACGAGCCGCTCGGCGGTCACGACCGCCGCACGATGGCCAAGCGGTACGACCACCCGTTGCCCTCGCCGCCGCCGCCTCCTGCCCGCAAGGTGTCGTCGGCGTCGACGATCGGTCGTGAGGAGTCCGCACCTCGCCTGCGCTCCGAGACGTCGGCCCGCTCGGCCAAGGAGCTGCGCGACAAGTACTTGTCGACGTACAGCGTCTACCTCCCGTCCGGCGAGGCGTACGGCGGCGACGGCGACGACGAGTCGTTCGGCCACGGCGACGCGCCGCTCTACATCGCCGAGGCGGTCAACGCGAGCCGGTCGACGGCGTTCCGCTCCGGGTACCCGATCCTCAGCTTCGACGCGGGCGAGCGGTTCTACGTCGAGCTCGAGGAGGCCGACCGGGTCGAGGGCGGCAGCGGGTGGCTCCTCGGGCGCAAGCTCGAGGGCGAGAACAGCCTCGGGTGGGCGAGGACCGAGGACTTTGTCATGGTCGAGGAGGAGGTCGACGACGAGGTCTCGTCGTGAGGGCCCGGGCGTCTCTGTCTCTCGCATCCAGCAGTTCTTTCGTACATGTCTGTTGTATTGCACGGTCCTGCTCTGCAGCTCGTCGTCGTCGCGAGCGCTTTGCGAGAGAGAGCGACACGCTCATTACAGATTCTCGTATTCTCGATTCCAACTTGCGTTCGTAAGGGCGCGCTTTCATCAGCTCGTCGCACCTGGCCTCGCCCCGTCCTCTCTCACCACACACCCCAGCCGCTGCTCGCCACCATGTCGAGTGACGCAGGCCCTGTCCCGTTCATCAAGAAGCGCAAGGGCGCACCCGCCGGCCTCCGCAAGAAGCTCGACTCGCCCGCCGCCCCCGCCCAGTCGTCGACCACGGCCGCCCGCGACGAGCCCGCCACCTCCGAGGTCGTGCACGCGACAAAGCGCTCGGTCAACAGCCACCTCGTGCAGGGCACGGGAACCAAGCGGCGGCGCACGCAGCAGGACGACGGCCTCGCCCTGTCCGACTCGGACGACGACACGGCCAAGGCGGCCGACGAGCGCGAGCGCAAGGCGTTCGCCGTGCGGCACTCGTCGGACCGGCACGCCGAGCGGCGCAGGAGCGAGAGCCCGCCGGCGTGGGTCAGCAGTGACCAGATCAAGGAGATGGCGCGCGACAAGGAGGCCGTGCCGGACGAGGTGCCCGACGACGGCCTGTACCGCGGCGCGAGCAAGCAGAAGAACCAGGTGCCGAGGGCGACTGGGCCGGTCAAGGGCGGGCCGGGCAACGTGCGCACCATCACGCTCACCGACTACCAGCCCGACGTGTGCAAGGACTACAAAGGTGCGCCCCTCGCTCTCTCTCCTCCCTCGCGCACAGCTGACACGCCTCTCGTCACACAGAGACGGGCTTCTGCGGCTTTGGCGACACGTGCAAGGTGCGTCCCTCTCCCTCTTCTCCTTCTTTCTCGCCGCCGACCCTCGACCTGACCCTCCCCCTTGCACGCAGTTCCTCCACGACCGCGGCGACTACATGCACGGCTGGCAGCTCGACAACTCGTTCCTGTCGAACTCGACCGCGTCGGGCTCGTTCATGGCCAAGCAGCGTGCGCGCGACGGCGGCGACGCGGCCGACTCGGACTCGGACTCGGACGCCGACGACTTGCCGTTCGCGTGCTTGATCTGCCGCAAGCCGTTCGGCAACGAGCCTGTCGTGACGCTGTGCGGCCACTATTTCGACTCGACGTGCGCCATCAAGCGGTACGCCAAGACGGGCAAGTGCTTCGCGTGCGGCGCGGCGACGAACGGCGTGTTCAACCGGTGCGCCTCTCTCTCTCTCCCTCTCTTGGGCTCTCAGACACGACCCTGATACTCTCTCGATCCCCCTCGCAGTGCGACCAAGCTCATCGCCAAGCAGAAGGAGCGCGAGGCGCTCAACGCCAAGGCGCGGGAGGAGGAAGAAGGCGAGGGGGCCGGTGCGGGCGACGACGACGGCATCGAGATCGAGGGCCTCGCCGAGGCGGGTCCGTCTGACTCGCACCGGCGGGGAGGACGGGCGGCCGACGAGAGGGACGAGGAGGAGGACGGCGACGAGTACGAGGAGGAAGAGGAGGAGGTGCGGCCGAGGAAGCGGCCCATCATCGAGATCCAGTAGCAGGAGATACGGCACTGTGTTGCAAAGATCGTCCTCGTACGGCTACAGTCTCGAGAGAGGAGGGGGTTCTAGAGGAAGAGAGAACTCGACGCAAGGAGCTCACGCGAGGAGCTCGTCGAGCTTGCCGGTCGCCTGGAGCTTCTTGAGGTCCGAGCAGCCGCCGATGTTCTGGCCCTTGATGTAGACCTGTTCCAGGAGAGGACCGCGTGAGTCGTCGACGCAGGCAGGGCGGTCTGAGAGAGAGGACGAGACGCACCTGAGGGACCGTGACCCTGGAGGCGCCGGCGCGCTCGGCGAGGTACGCCTGGACTGCCGAGCCGTGCTCCTCGCGGTCGAGCTCGAGGACCTGCGAAGAACGACGACAGTGAGCCTCGGCGCGAGTAGGATAGAGGGAGGAAGCAAGGAAGGCGCACCTTCATGCGCGGACCCTGGCCGAGCTGCGAGAGGATGCTCTTGGCCTCGGTGCCTGTCGGTGCGAGGAGGTCAGACAGGCTCGCATGGTCACAGTGGGAGGGTCGGGACGCACAGTAGGGACAGTAGGTCTTGCTGAAGACGGCCACGGGCGACGAGGTGATGAGAGCCTGGAGGAGGAGGAGGAGGGTCAGAGTGGACTCGGGCGTGCATAGCTCGGGAGCCAGTGGAGGCTAGAGGTGAACGGACCTCGACCTTGTCCTTTGCGAGCTGCTTGTGCTCGCTGCTGACGGGAGCCGAGGAGAAGAAGGAGCGGGCGTACGAGCGCAGCGAGCCAAAGATGGACGACATGGCGTGTGGTGGCGCAGGCGTAGCTGTGCGGTATTCGAGAGCTGGGCTGGTCCACACGAGAGCTGCGGCAGAGGATCAAGAGGACGAGGCGCCACTTTCCCTCGGACCTCAGCGTCGCTCTCCTCTCCCCCTCACTGCCGCCATGACGAGCTCAGCTGTGTTTGCGGGACTCGCACCCAGGCTCAAGAGCCAGTACAACGCCGCACTCAAGGCCGGCTCGCTCCACTTTACCGACTCGGACGAGGTCGAGTTGGAGGACGAGGCGACCGGCATCCCTGTGCGTCCCTCGCTCAGCGTGCGCGCGAGCAACCTCGACTGACTGTGCACCACCGACAGTTCGAAGTCCGCTACGCCCCAGCCCTCGCAAAGAAGCCCACCGCCAACAAGGACTCGGGCAGCACCGCCTCGACCGCCGACGACTCGAAGCCGGTCGACCCGTTCGCCCCGCCGTACCAGCAGGACCTGTTGGTCGCCGAGGAGACTGTCAAGGAGGACGACGACGATGCGGGCGAGGGCTTTGTCGTCCTTGTGCGTCCCCCTCTCCCCGTCCTCACCCTTGTCGACCCGTCCCTCGACTCACGTTCGTCGCGCTCTCTCGCAGCTCAACAAGTTCTGCGTCACGCCCCGACACTTCCTCCTCGTCACCAAAGACTTCCGCAAGCAGACGACCCCCGTGTCGCCCCTCGAGACGTTCACGGCCTGGTCCATCCTCAAGCAGCTCGGCTCGCGCGAGAAGCACCTCGCCTTCTTCAACTGCGGCGACGAGAGCGGTGCATCGTGCGTCCTCTTCTTACTCTCTCCTCACTGCCTGAGCATCGCTCTGACGCTGTACCGCCTTTCGCGCTCGCAGACAGCCGCACAAGCAGTGCGTCCTCGACTCTTCCTCGCTCTTTCCGTCCTCCTCTGACCGCATCTCTCTCCTCCTCAGCCTGCAGTTCATCCCCATCTCGACTGGCATGGCACCCTTCGACTCGTACATCGACGCTCACAAGCCCGCCAAGCCTCGTGCGTCGCCGCCACGTCTCTCTGCGCCCTCCTCGCGCCGCACTGACCCCCTCCTCGTCGCCCACACGCAGAGCAACCTTTCCAGCTCCCGCTCCCCTACGCCAACTTTACCGCCCTCATCGACCCTCCCTCGTCGGCCTCGCGCTCCGACCTCGTCGCCTACCTCGGCCAGCGGTTCCTCGAGCTGCTCGACCTCATGATCGACCACCGCCGGCGCCTGTCGCTCTCGGACCCGGCCGCGCTCGGCCTCGACGCGCCCACGCGCGGCATGCGTCTCAGCGAGCTGTCGTACAACGTCGTCATGACGCAGCAGTACCTCCACCTCGTGCCGCGGCGGCGCGAGAAGTACACGGCGCGCGCCTCGAGCGACGTCGACGGCGGCGGCGAGGGCGCACCAGGGCGCACCGTGTCGGTCAACGCGCTCGGGTTTGCCGGCATGGTGCTCGTCAAGGACGAGGCGACGCTCGAGGTCGTCAAGCGCGTCGGCGTCCTCGAGGTGCTCAAGGAGGTCGGGCTCCCGCCGCTCGAGTTCTCGGATCCGCAGCACGCAGAGGACGTCGGCGAGCTGGCGTAGCGAGCGAGGGTGCAACACGATCGAGATGTCTCCCTTGACGACGTCGAACGAGCGAGCGGGCAGCGAGAGAGCGAACCGCGACAAGGCGAAGCTACTCTCGGACCCCTCGCTCTCGCACGAGAAGCTCTCGCTCTCGATGTCTCGCTCGCCGCTCGTCTCTCGCAGCAGCACGGCGTTGATGCCACAAGTCTCCACGCGTCTGTTGCACAACCGGCGGTCGATGACGGCGGGCGGCAGGCAGTCGCCGACCCTCTCGTCGAGTCGAGTACACAAAAGTCGCTTTACGCCGACGCGGCCTTGGCGGCGCGCTCGGCAGCGACGACCTTCTGGGTGCCCTGCGACGCGTAGCGAGCGTTGCGGCGGAACTTGGGGTCGACCTGGGTGCGAGGGGAGGGGAGTGGGGCGGCAACGCGGTCAGTGACGACTTCGAGGGCGCAGGGGAGCGGCGGATACTCACACCACGCTGGTTCGCGTAACGCTCCCGGGTAGATGCGGGCTTCTTCAGGCCGTTCTTGTGCGCCTTCTGCTCAGGGTGGACGGGGAGGAGGCGACGAGGTTCAGCGGTCGCCCGACAGGAGGCTCGCAGGCGAGAGGGAGGTCGGACGGACCTTGTTCTGGTTGTGGTTCGTGTGGTTCTTCGACTTGGCTGTTCAAGGAGGCAAACGACGAGTCAGTAAACGTGCACGGCGAGAGGCGAGACTCGCACCTGGATGCTCCCTCCGCGGCCGTCGGCCGGACCCCTCGTCCCAGCTCCTCCTCGCGCACAGAGCCCCGCGTGCGACCCGCCGTTCCTCCGTTCCCGCACCGTCCTGCCCGTCAGCCGGTCCACCGAGTGCACCGCGAGCCGTCCTGGGCGTGGGCGGCGGGCGATGGTTTTTGCGATGGGCGCAGAGGGCGACGGCGAGGCGGCTCGGGCGGGCGAGGGGGCGCAGGGCGGTGCGCAAAGGGGCGAGAGTGGCGAGGGACAGGGCGTACACATCCTGAACGAGGTGAGCTGAGCTGGAGAAAGGGAGGGGAGGCCGGCACGAGCGGGCTCCGTCGCGAGGCGAGACTGTCGGCGAGCTCATCTCTCGCTCACCTCACAGCTCTCTGTGCGAGCTGAGGCTCGTCCAGCACTGCAGCCGACTGTTCACTTGCGAGACTGGGCAAAGAGCGTGCTCCAACGGAGCGTCTGTCCCCCGCTCTCGCGAGCTCGCCTCCGGCTCGTGCACGACAGGCTCTCGCTCTCGCGCGTGGCACAAGCTGCTTTTCCGGCTGCGCAGCGGCTAGCAGACAGCTCTCTCGCACGGGTCGCGGCAGCAGGAATGTCGAACGAGGCCGGGCAGCGCGACAAGCTCGTCGGGCGATGGGCTCGCAGTCGTACACCTCGTGTTACACGCTCTGCACACCCAGCTACATCGTTCCTCCGACGCTCGCGAGCATGACAGGACCTCGTCTGACCTTGACGCAGGCGAACGGAGGCGAGCGAGGGAGGAGGGCGGCGAGAGGACGCCTGCGTCGGGCGAGCGGGATCGGCGAGGAGGGCGTTGCGATCCGCTGTCGAGCAGGGGCGCGGCGTGCCGACTCTGAAGGCCGACGACGAGGTCAGTGTGCAGGGCACGAGGGCAAAGAGAGAGAGCGGCAGGACGCACCTCGAACGAGGAGGGACGAACCACCTCGAGCCGACCACCTCGGTGACGACGCTCGCCTCGCGGTGGGAGGAGGCGGCGACGACGAGGCGGTCAGGCGACGACCTTGCGACGCTTCTTGCTGCCCTTGTCGGCGTCGGCCTTGCGGCGCTTCTTGGAGAGCGGGTCGAGGTCGGACTTGGGGTGGGCGGGTTGGGGCTTGGCGGCGGCGAGCTCGTCGTTGAGGCCCTGTACGAGGCGGAGGATGGATGCGCGGACTGCGCCCGAGCCAGAGAGGAGGTGCGAGGCGTCGTCCTGGAGGAAGGACGAGAGCTTGGAGGCGGCGTCGAGGTGCGACAGGGGTTGGACGCGGGCGGGCTTGAGGCGGAGGGGCGCGGGGAGCTTTGCGTGGTTGAGGGCCATGGCTGGTCGGTGATGCGCAAGAGGCTCGTGTGGTGTGAGACGGCGAGGAGGGGCAAGCGTCTGTCGCTCGTTCGACGCGACGCGGGTGAAGGTGAGCCGCTCTCCCTCTCCCTCTCAACCGCACAGAGCCTCGCCCGCGCTCTTGACTGCTGCACTCTCGAGTCCACCTCGAGCCAGCTCCAGCCGCCACCCCCTCACGGCCACCCGCCGCCGCCCCACCGTCGCTCCCTCGCTCGACTCCCCCCGCTCAGCTCCATCGCGCCTCGTCGACGTGCAGCATCCCCTCGAGTTGCCTCTCCCTCACTCGCACCACCACCTCCTGCACCTTCACGACCCGTCCACGCCCAAAAACCCGCCCGCCATGCCGAGCGCAGCCCAGCTCGCCGGCCTCTTGTGGACCGCCATCTACCGCCCGAACGACATGAAGGCCATCATCACCTACAAGGTCCGCTCCCCTGTCTCTCTCCCCCTCACTGTCCCCTGCGACCGTCCACCTGACGCGCCTCGCTCCCTTGCAGCTCTGGCGCGACCCGCTCAACCGCATCGAGAACAACCCCGAGTCGGGCTGGTGAGCCGCCCTCGTCCTTCCGGCCTGCCCATCCACACCGACATGAACGAGACTGTACTGACACCGAGCACCCCCCCCCCCCCCCCCCATCTCCTTCCACAAAACTGACATCCACCCCTCCTTTCCTCCCCTCCTCTCGCGACCCTTCTCCTACATCGCTCGACGCGTCCTTCTCTCCCGCGCCTACGAGGGCCAAAGAGATCATGACTAACACGCCGAGACCCCTTAAG